TTCATTCATGAGTTGCTACAGTGACTAGTAGAGGGTTGGGCAATAATCAAATAGTGATTTGTCTAAAAACTCTTGATTTTCAAGAATAACTTGGTTGAGCTAACAGATCTGAATTTTCGCTTCACTGCTACTGTGGGGAGTGGAAACTTCAGTAGCATGTTTTTCAAAGTCTCGGATTGCTGGTCTTGACTTTTGAGAAGCGTCATCTCGATGAATGCGATCTCGGCGAATTTGTTGGATACTGTTTACAATGTTCTAACTTTTGTAGTTCAGCGGGAGTTTTCATTTATTGAACTAACGAATACATAAATTGCGGATGCAGAATGGGGTAGCCTACATCAGAGTGTTTGTTGATATTCTGCGGGACATCTCGAAGCAGGAGACTCGAGTATGTGCTCGCTATTATGTACGAGATGCTCGCAGTACATTGCTTACATATCCCAGACTTCCTTTCCTCATATGGAAGATGATTTATTTATAATATTCGAAAATTTCTGGAAGACTGCTGGTTTTGGGTTTGACTACATCACTCCTGAAATTTTTACTGGATTTGTAATTATCTAGATAGTAATTTGTAATTGACAACTTATCATTGTATTCTCTCATCTACACGATCAAATCTTTGAGATGCGAAACACACTTCTAATACGGTTTTCTGTGAGGCTCATAATATTGTCAAACTCTTATTTGTTTTTTTTACTTGGCGTGTCTGTTGTAGATTCCTGTCAAAGAACTGGTTTCTTTTTTTATTTTTAAGCAACATACCATTCAATTTTGTTTTCTTAGTCACTGAATTGCATTTTCAAACTTACATCTCTGTTAAATTTAACATTGATGAATTATTTCTCTTTCGGAGAAAATAACCTCTAAAACAAATGGAATTATTCTGACCAAATTACTCTGCACCAAAGGTCGTAAGAGTTCCCATGATGACATTAAACAACCTTTCAAGCAATAGAAACTTTGCTGGAGAGATGGTAGAGACTTGGGCATGTGCAAGATTCAACAGAGCCTGAAATTGCAAGGATGGAATGACGAGGTATGATTGCCTGAATTTTTCTTAGCTGCGACTATTGACTGCAGAGTGTAACGAAACTTGACCATTAAATAGTTGCAGTAAAACTTGTAAACAGGCAGCTCCTTATTTTTTTTGAATGCTTCGATATTGAATCTCAGATTTGTTTTTTCTTCTATTTGTAACCTCGACAGAAGCGCCCAGTAACAAAGAACCCACTATGGGTATTTTTTGCTGCACGATTTGTTGTAAGCACTGGATTTCTTAGATGCAGCTTTGACAACACTTTGACAAGTACAAGGCTGAAATATTTTCTGGGAACCTTAACTGATCTCCAATCCACAAAAATTCTGTGTTATGGTAGAGAACCTCTCCAAGTTTAAAGAAAATCACTCCCAGGTTCTTGTTGACCTAACTTTGATTCTCATAGTTCACTTATGAGCAACAAAGAGGCTCTCCTCTTTGTGGTTTTATTCAGATGTACTTTTTTTACATACGACCGCCACCAGATTATTTTAAGCATATGTTTATTGTGTTTACAAAAAAACTGTGTCGATTATTTTAAAAGCCTTTATTGGCTGAGCGTGAAGGTACTACATATCTGCATCAAGTTGTTGGACAACTCCCGAGACCCTAAAACTCTCGCAGTGACTTGCAACGATATAGCTGAGTTCATTCAAATTCACCCAGCTGGTCGAGGCATCATACTTGATTTGAAGGGCAAAGAGCGTGTGATGAATCACCCTAATCCTCAGACTGCAAAGCAAGCTCTTTTATGTGTGCAGAATGTGCTGCTTGGTGCCAAGAATGCAATCTACATCAAACAAAGCATTTTCTTATGAAAATGTTCCGTTGAAATTTTTAATATTGTTTATTATTATCTTATTATTTTCTTCGTTCAGCACATCATGTACTGGGAAAATGTGGTCACTTCTGTGAGATGTTCGTCTGTCTCTGCACGTAGCATCAACGATGTACTAGATTGGGGCGCCTGTTATGCTCCTACAATACTGCAAATAATGCATCACACTCAATTGCAAACCTTTCTTCAAAGCTCTAATTACTAGATGCAATTTGGCTATCTGGATATGAATTATGGACCCTTTGAATGAGCACTTCGCATGTCTTTGTTTGCGTTGCTTATTAATGTTTCTTATGTTCGTAGCGACTATCGTTTCGAACATTTCATTCGCAGCCTGAGAGTGTTGGGAGTCTGGTTCAGTTTTTAAGAACATAGCGGGGACATATCAGATAGAAACGTGAAGAAATTTAGAAAACAGTTGAATCTGTATCATGATATGGAAAAGAAACTGTGTTCCCATACGTACGAAAGCTCTCTGACTTCAAACTCTTTCAAGTGGCCGTCAAGTACATCAGATATTGAAAACAAAAGCAAATGGAAGAATCGACTTGTGTACCAAAATCCACAAAGACGCTCACCAAAAATGGTTGTTGAAACCAGTCAGTGTCTCGTATTAAACCACCCTTGTTGAACATCTAATATCATCGCCGATGGTGACTACAATCAGTAAACCCAGTTACTAGCACTCATGTGGCATCTACAATTATATCCCAGAATATTCTAAACCGAAAGCGTAACCTCCACGCTCTTAGCAGCTCTCTGCTGTAATTGGGGTTTCCCCATAGTATGAACATATGATGTCATGGTAGCCGTGTCTCTGCATGCCTCGGTGAGAAAAAAACAGGCCCATAGTCGCCATAATGGTCGACATTGTTCAGATTTCAGGGTTCCAAGGGTAGGTTTTATTGCGAAACAAGGTCTTCGTAACCCAAAGACCCAAAGAAAAGATTCCTCTACCCTCGGTCGCCCTCTCACTCTCACTCTCCCAAACTCTGAGCGCTAGACCAAGAGCTCACAAAATTTGTATTACGAAAAAAAGGTGCTAATCAAGTGAACTAAGCAGGTTAATGGGGAACACCGCCTCATCCTGGGAGTCCTGGGTGGAAGCAGGCTCGTGGCTCGGCGTAGCTGCGTAGCTGCGTAGCACGCAGTCAGAGAGGTGGTCAAAGTGCCAATGCAGACCGATTCCTGGCCGGCCCCGATTGGGTGCTGACTCTCCCAGGGAGGACACTTCTATATTAGAAAAGCGCAACAAGAGCAGCAGAGTTGTTTATCATTTCTCGCGACTTCTGGCATCGCAAAAGATCTGGCTGCGGTTGCCAATTGGACCAGCTCCCCCGCTAAGGACCAGACTTGTTCCTTCCACATGGCCCCGCAACGTGAGTCGGATTCCTTCGTGACAGCAACGCCGTGAACATTGACGTGAGCAGGCTCTCTTCCTCAACGACGGCGCTGCCCCTATCCTCTGACTGCGCTCGTGTGAACAAGACCCTTATGGTGGTCAGTGTGAATAGAGCTCTCCTGGAGACTCGTGTGAATAGGGTCCTTCTATTCTACTGACACAGGAAAGCACCTACAGCGGTCTTGAGGGGAAACAGTCAAGGGCATTGAGCCCACCCACTTGGTTGCTGGCTTTGGATTTTTAATATTAAGCACATTCGTAAAAATAAATAAGTAAACAAATACATACATACATACATACATGTGTAGATATAATGGGTGCACATATAGCAACTTGGGGTGTGCTTGTAGTCTAAAACTATGTATATATATATATATATATATATATATATAATATGGAAGGCCACAAAGTGGATTGCATGGGTGGTTCTTACATTACTACCATGAGTTGAGTCTTGTCATTATCACCAAATGGCATGTGTGGTTATTTGTTTGGTTTTAAGATTATTGTGGATGATTGTAAAGGTTTAGATTAGGTTTCTTTTTTCTTTTTGTGGATATGATGAAATGAGAATATTTTTGTTGTGTATTTTTTGTGTTTACTTTCCTCAAAGAGTGTTTGTGGTGTTAGTTTGATAGAGAAAAATTTGGGGACATGTAACTTGTATTTACATAAATTTGAAAATTGAATAGTAATAATAGTAATAATCCTCATTGTAAAGTTAATTAATAGTTGTAAATCAATAATGGTGGTAATGATCAATGAGGTGGGTCATTAATGAGACATGATAACTATAAAAAGTACTAAACTTCTACAAGGACATAATGGCTTTTTTGTTTATTAGAATGAAGCAAGTACGCTCTCTATTCCTAGCTTGATATGAAAGTAGTAGTCTCATATTTCTGTTTCCATAAATCACAGTAAAGTGCTTGGGAAGTCATAGATTGGTGAGGCTAATTGTGAGGCCTCTTTCCCAATGACTTTTTCATCTTTACAAGTTGGTAGAATGAGCATGATGTCATTAAAATTTACATAAATAAATTCTTAATTAGTAATGAGCAAAGTTTATAAAACATTGTCTGAACTCAAATAATTGTAAACAAACAATGAAAAGATTGGTAACAATGCTAAGTGCAATTAAATAACAACACAAATCATCACCACTCAAAAATCTCAAATGCTACACCTGCCCTTAAGTAAAACAGTTGGTGGTGTTGAAAATTCATAACTCTACAACAATGTCTTAAATGACAAAACAATTAAATCAAGGTTGTGACTGGACACTAATGCCACATGATTGTAACAAATGTTATATTTCAATGACAGCTTTAATAAAAATAATAATGTTTCACTTTTTAAAAACACATAAAAATGTACCAAACTCCCATACAAACTCCATCCAAAACAAATTCTCACACCAATCTTTCCAAGTTGCAATTCAACCAAACCTTTTTTCGGTGTACACAACCCAACCCATACATAACCCCATGCCAGTCTAGAAGACTCAATTGGAATCCTCCCAAAATCATCTCAATCTACGCAACAGGTTCAATAAAAGTAGAGAAATGGACATGAAACGATAGCTGTTGCCAGAGGAGGCTGAAGGGCTGTAAAGCAAATGTCATATAGTCCCAACAAGGAAACAAACACTACATTGCACAGTAGGAATCTGAAGGCGATGGAGGCCCAGCACTCACTCACACAAAACGGCAGGGCAAGGCAGCAGGCAATAATCGACGGCGACGGCAATAGCTATAGAATGGGTGTGGTGATGGGAGCGGATTGCCGTCGGTCGTGGCGGGCACTGGAGAGTGAGGTTGGGTCCGCGTCTATGTCCACGCTCTCACGAAGAGTCCCGCATCGGGGTATGTTGGGGAGTTGGCGGCGTATGTCTGGCGTGTTGAGGTGGGATTGCTAGTGTGCTGAGGGTTTGCTGGAGTCGGTCGTATACACTTGGGGTTTGGTTTGGATTCAAGTAGCGGAGTGTGAAGGAGAAGGGCGATTTTGGAATTGGGTTGTTGGCGGGCGGGAATTTGGAGCTAGCTCACTTTTAGAGCGGTGAGGTTGGGGGCTGTGTAAACTGAAGATGTGCTGGGTGGAGCGTATGCTCTTTCTAGTAGGCCTCCGTCGTTGTTGCTTGATTGCTGTGTAGTGGTGAGTGAGAAGGTGGAGGAGAAGCTTGAATTAGTTGGTGTCGTGCTCTAAGCAAGTGGTTTCTCGTCCGGTGGGGTTTGCGTTTGAAGGCGTGTCGTGGTTGTGAAGGGGTGTTGTGGAGTCGGATTCGTAGGGGTTGAGCTTAGTTTGAGAAGTTTGAGGTATCAGAGAGCAGCGAGAAATTTGTTAGCTTCCGCTGTCAGTCTGGCGTATTCGGCGTACAGCTCAAGTACTGGAGCCGGCATGGCTAGAGAGAAGCGTGAGAGAGATGGTTCTAAAGATGGTTTGCCGGACGAAAAGCGGGCGAGGCCACAGCTTGCTAGGTGAGTTTGTCCTTTTTCGTAGACTCGTAGTTGCCGTCGAGGTTTTGTAGACTATTGATTTGAGGATCAGGACACAGAATGTTTTCCATGTCTTCCTATTTTGTTGCCGCGTGTTGTCTGACGCCTACCATCGTCCTCTAACTGTGGGGAGATGTTAGAATGACACGCCTGTAGGACTGCAAATTATGTTTCAGTTGTTAGTGACTTGCTAAGACGAGGTGCCTTTTCTTAACCACCCTTAACTCACGATGCTGACAAGGGAGGCCTTTTCGGTAGTGATTTGCTACAAACTTGTCTCATCCGGAGGGCTGCTTTTGTGTGCTCTCGCGCGTGTGTGCAGTGTCATAGTTGAAGCTGTGAAAATTGACAGTCTTCAGAAATTATGTTCGACCTTAGAGCCGCTACTTCGAAGAGTGGTAAGTGTCTCATAAGCTTAACATAGTTAACTAAGCAGTAGATTACACATCTGATGCCCCTGGTATCTTTACCTTAAAGGAACAATGTGAATGGTCAAGGAGGGGCATTTTTCACTCTGCGCAGAATTGTGGAAGGTTAGCAAGACAGGGTATATGACTAAGTAGTGTTTTAAAAATGAAAGTTTTGCTAGTTGAGTTTTATCTCTATTTTTTAACCTGAAAAAACATACACATGTCTTAAATTATATATTCGGTTGCTTGTTCAAATTTTGAGGTCTTTAACGGCATCCACTGGTAGGTAGGAGAGGAGGTGGAGCGTGCACTTACAAAGTTCGCCTCTCCTAAACCTGGACTTCGGTACGATACCGTTTAACTTCCTTTCAATGTGTTTTTATCTGCATATTCACCAGGCTTTCTTTTTCTTTTGCTTTTTTGGAAAGGAATGGACCAATGTTGCTTGATTTAGTATGATTTAGTTGACCTGCTGAACACCCATTTGTACTTTAATTTTGAGAAACATAATCCAGTACTTACTGAGAATCTTTATTCATTTTGATTGCTCTAGGATTTTTTTATCTTTGTGAACTAGTAGGAATTGCTACCACATCAAGTACGTGAAACATACTAGGTGGTTATGGTATATGAGTGGACGTCGTCTTCTTTAGTTTTATCAATCCTCTTGTTCTGTGTGCAGATCTTCGCCTAAGAGGATAGCGGGGCCTGACCAGGAGAATCTTCGGTTGCAATTTAGAAACAAGTTAGCTCTACCCCTTTTCACCGGAAGCAAAGTGGAGGGAGAACAAGGTTCTGCAATTCATGTGGTCCTGCAGAATGCAAACACTGGGCATGTTGTTACATCGGATCCGGAAGCATCTGCCAAGCTGGATATAGTTGTGCTAGAAGGCGACTTCACAGCTGATGACGAAGAGAATTGGACCCAGGAAGAGTTTGAAAATTACGTGGTTAGGGAACGAGATGGGAAGAGGCCTCTTCTTACAGGGGATCTCAGTGTCGTCTTAAAGGATGGTGTCGGGACTTTGGGAGAATTGACATTCACAGATAATTCCAGTTGGATTCGTAGTCGCAAGTTTCGATTAGGTGTGAGAATTACATCAGGTCAGTGTGAGGGCTTGAGAATTCGAGAGGCGAAAACGGAGGCTTTCACTGTTAAAGATCATCGCGGAGAACGTACGTTGACTGTTTTGAACCTTGGGTCATCTTACGCTATAAGAGTTTGTCTGCGTTCCTAATTTACAGTTAGTTTCGTTTTAGGCAGTTAATAAAAGCAGTTTGAATATTTATCTAGATGGAAGTATTGAATCTTTTCTACTTGGGAATTTCGTGCAGTGTACAAGAAGCACTATCCACCTGCCTTGAATGACGAGGTATGGCGCTTGGACAAGATTGGGAAGGACGGAGCCTTTCACAAGCGCCTCAATCAAAACCATATTCTGACAGTAGAAGACTTTTTGCGGCTGGTAGTCATGGATCCTCAGAGGCTGCGCAATGTAAGTACCTGAATTTTACAGATTTCTGATTCTGTTACCGGTTGTTTATGTTATCCTGGTTTTTTAACTCCTAATGTTTAATTAACTAGTTTTAATTTTAATAATTATTATCATTATTATCATCATCATTATTTTTGGTTTTTTTGTTGTTGAAGATTGAGTTACCAAGCTTAGGAACTTGCTTGTTGTCCACTTCAGTATATTTGGTTGGGGTTTCGTAATCTGCACACACAATGTATCGTGGGTTTTCATCGTTGAGTTCAAGTATTTATGACGCTGTGTGTCGTGTTTAGATTCTAGGAAATGGAATGTCAAACAAGATGTGGGAAGGCACAGTGGAGCACGCCAAAACGTGTGTCTTGAGTGGGAAACTGCATGTATATTACGCCGATGAGAAGCAGAATATTGGCGTCATATTCAACAACATTTTCCAGCTAATGGGGCTTATTGCGGATGGTTCATATATGTCCGTTGATTCCCTTTCTGACAGTGAAAAGGTGATTACACATAAACCAAGTTATTGTCTAGTCGAGCTAATGTAGCTATGCTTTTAGGGTCTCCTCAATGCTCACGCAATTTGTTTTCGCACACGAAGTTATTTTACTTATTTATTTAGTTGATCATTAGAAGAAAGAAAAAAGAAGGGTGCTCTGCAAAGTCTGGCATACTAACTTAGCATCTGATATATATAGGTTTACGTGGACAAATTGGTAAAAGTAGCTTACGAAAACTGGGAGAATGTGGTGGAGTATGATGGAGAGGCATTGATTGGCGTTAAGAATCAAGCAAAGGGTTTTGATAGCCATACTGAAGATCCTCTTGGTGGCCGGAACTTCCCTTCGCAAGGTCCGAGTCTGAACCATCAGCAAGCATATACACAAACAAACTACTTATAGAGGGTTTCAATGCATGAATCTTCTTTCCAAGAATTTGAATTTTGGGAAGAAGAGAGCAGCTTTGGGTCCAAGTTTGGAAAGGATAGCATGAAGTGGTGTCTTTGCCTGTAAGTGCAGCCCACATTATGTCAAGACACTGAGTGTAACATAGATACCATCCTGCAAATTGCTGATTCAATCATTTCAGCCCTCTTGTCAATCTTGTCCTATAATTGAAGCGTCTACTTTTCTTTTGCACATGAACATTTCCGAGTCATGATGTTCAGTTCATTTCTTGAATGTCAGCACATTCTGTAGCTACTGATATTCTGTTGGTTTTGTTGCATTTACCTTTTCATACCGTCTGATTCATTGATTTGAGATATGGCTACAGTCTTTTTGTCCATTCATTTCCAGGTCTCTTTTTAATTGCGTTCAGGTTGGAAGCTCATCATTGATCTAAGTTAAAGCTCAGGTCCGAATCTTATAGATTCGATTCTTTTTCATAGTTGGGGGAAGAATTGGTCATCGTTAGATCCAGTGCGTGTGTGTAGGACCTCGGTTGGGTACGGGTTTTTGTTGAGAGGCAGTTTCACTAGACGGCAGCAAGGATATGGAAGGTTTACCTTTTCCTTACAAGTAGGACTGAAGATGCTCTTAGTTATGATACAGAGTTCTAGTCACCCCTACCTGAAGCTGATTGGCCCTATGTATGGATAACCATGCAGGCAGTGGAGGAGCAGGGTCTAGTACATTTGGACAGGATCAGCGAGGTATGGTAACGCGATCATATTCTGGTACTACCAACCTGCTGCGAGATAGTAACATTGTGGGACCTGTCCTGCAAAGGAACAGCAACATCGAGGCAAGCCGTCAACCCGTCCTGGCAAGTTCCTCTGAAAACCTTGCGGTGGGGGCTAGACCTGGAATGATAGGGTTAGCCCTTGGGCCTCCCCAGAATGAGCTGCCTGCTTCAAGTTCCGGAGTAGGTCCTTTAGTCCCTGCTTTGATGAACCACCCTTCAGCAGCGCTTGAGTGGCAACCACGTAGTCGTAGCATGCGGCTCCAAGATAGTTTCGGACGCATTACTTCACCTGAAGAAATGCTTAGTGAGGACGAGATTCGTCGTCAAAGTTTGGAACTCTTAGAGAATGAGGATATGCACGCACAGATCCAGCAATTACTGCGTATGTTCAATGGACGAGGGGATGTCCCCTCAAGTCCGTTCATTGGATTAGACGATGATTTCCCCTTCGCATTACCGGATAATAATGCAGGAGAGCTCAAACCTCGAGAGAATAACAAGGCTTTCGTAAGTTGGTTGAAACTGAAGGCTGCTTTGCGTTGGGGTATTTTCATTCGGAAGCGTGCAGCTGCCAAAAGAGCACAACGGGAAAAAGATGAGGAATGAGCTGACTGGACATAGACCCGCAGGTAGTTGTAGGATGCATTCTTTCTATATACATGACTTCTCACACAGGTTTAAATCTCACCTAGTTTAGCTTTACTCAATTGGTAGTGGAGTGGGTGAAGTGGCTGAGTTAATATAGCTTTTCCAAGGGCATGGAGTTGGATTTTTTTTTATTTTTTTTATTTTTTTAAATTTATTATTTTTTAATTTATTTATTTTAATTCCTTGTAAATGTTCATTGTTAAGCTTTTAGTCCTTTCAGAGTCACAGCCCTTCAAGGCTTTTGCTCTGTTCTGCTCTTGTACCAAACTGGAAGTATATTCCACAGTCCAGGAATGGAAGGCAAGGGTGAAGCTGTAAATGTTTAGATTGCTTAAGGAGATACACGTCCTTCCGACTTCGCTTTATTTGTAATTAAATAGGTCTTTTTGTCCACCTGGAGAACTTGTGGATGAGTAATATGACTAGCAGCAGCATCTGTAGTTTGACAATGTTGCGTTGGTATTTTCTTTCAGTAATTCTTGATCCATATTTAGTAATCTAGCGTTAATGCCGTCTTTTTGAACTGTTCACCAGGATGTCATTTTCAAACAAGGTGTAGAGTGCTTTACAGCTTTCTTGTTTGATTAGTTTGGAATGTTTCTTGAGATTATTGCTTGGTTTACTGAATCCAGTGTGAACGAGTGTAGAAAATTTCGTCGGTTGATTTTGAAATTGAGAAGATGATTTCTGGACTTCATGTTCTAATCATGATTCTCTGAAGCTTTTTTTTTTTTTTTTCTTTTTTTTTTCTTTCCCCATGATCATAGCTGTTTGTAAAAGATTGCTGGTGAAGTTTTTTCAATTGAAATGAAGTTAGATAATTTTCATAGATGTCTGTTAGTACAAGCAAATATGATTTTAGTATGTGTTGCAAATGTTAGAGGTTGTCAAAATAGGAGAATGATATCAAGATACAAGTTAAAAGAATGTTACACTGAAGGTGAGAATGATGTGCATAATAATTAGAGAATACAACTTTTTTTTTTTCTAAACAACAATAAAGTGACATTTTGAAGAGATTTAAGAACATTCTAGACAAAATTGTTGTTACAACAATTTATTTGTCATTTTTCTAATATTTTATTTTAGGAAATCCCAAAGTTTAAAAATATAGGTTTTCATATGGGACCAATTCATTGAGAAGAAACTGCCCATGTTTATTATTTAGAAAAATACTTTTGAGTCTTTTCTCATGCTTTGTATTCTCCCATTGTTTGGTGTGACATCATTCTCTTAGATTAGAAATCTGGTTCTAAATTTTCTATCATATAAGTAGTCTAATCTAATTCAACTTTATTTTCTAATCACATCATTTTTATTTTATTTTTTATTTTTGAATATTACCGAGGTTGAATTTCTTTTCATACTCTAAATAACATCTAGTAGAAAAATGTTGTTTTGGTTTTAGAGAGCCCTTGATTAACAGAAGCTCCTGATAAACATTACTAAAAAAAAAAAAACTTGACTTTAAAACAAAATCCAGTTAATTTTCGTTCTTTTTTCTAATTTCATGAGAATGGTATATAAGTGTGTTTTTGTCTCCCCTCCAAGCAATGTCACTTCGCAATCCTGCTTGCATGCGCCGTTGTAGCCACGCTGATAGCGGCACGTCTCTTCACTCAGTTTAGATCCACAACACGTGAAGCCCTCTCATCAAACCTAGACTAACCTCCGCATTTCGAATTGCATGAGAATACAAGTTCTTTCCTCTCTTAAAAAAATAAATAAAATAAAATAAATCATACCCTCAATTGAACTGCGAAGTGGAGGCCTGGAAGCATTTCTGGGATTCTTTTCAGTAATTTCTCAGGTGCATCTTCGAAACTCTAGTGCCCACAATTTTAAACAAAAAAAAGAAAAAGAAGCTTCCATCCTTTTCCGTGCATGACGCACATCGAGCATCAAAAACCTCCATTTGTAAAACCCATCTTTTCCCTCAAGTCGGGCTAAAATCTCGTGGAAAGAGTCATAATGGAGGCTACAGAATATTTGAAGAATTTATCAGGAGCGCTGTTCATGAAGAAGCAGCGTCATTTATGGGCCAAAATTCGGGTTTTGGTTTGAACTTTCAGTGTTGTTTTAGATAATAAATTTATGATTTTTTTTTATTGATATTCTAGTGATGCAATGGCACCAAGAGGTAAGAATATGCTAGATTCCTCGAAAATACGCTGCTTCTTCCGGCAGCCGCGATAGTGTCCTACGCAAACGATGCAACTCTAACAACAGACGGCAACTCCAGAAGCGCGGCCCAGCTAACAAGCTCCCAGAATCCAGCCCATGCAAGGACACACAGTTCCCACCTGATTCAAAGCATTCACGTTCTGCACTTTTTGACCGACAGAACAACACAAAAACAAAACAATGAATCCAAAGATAGAATAAAACGAAATATAGTGCAACAGCGAAAATTGCTGGACGCGGGCTAGGCAATTGCAGAGAAAGCGGGCAACAAGTTGCAACTGGCGTCTGGCCGCTGCAACAACACCTCCACTCCAAGCGTGTCCAAGGCTGGTGAGTGTGGTACCAGCGGCAAGCAGAATTCATTTCAACACTCACAATTGGTGAAAGGAAGAAGAAAAAACCAAAGTGAGATTATGAGAAATAAAACCTGTGTGAGGACATTGAGAACCTTTTACGCTGGAGAAACGACCCCAAAGACTAATTCCTGAGCACATCTTTCCAGCCAATTCATCACATTGACAAGTGTAAAAAGATAAGTCAATCAACCTTCAATACACCAGTGAAATAAGGGCCACAGATGCGGTGCAACGCAGCTCCATGGCAGTGCTATAAAGCCGAAAGTAGTCCTGCCTTCCCTGTACAAGATCCTCGCATTGTAACTCGACAATTGCGTAAGGAAACAACTGAGATATCTAAATAAGCATGGAGTCTTAGCAAACTGGAACAACGCGATGCGCATTACAACCAGATTTAAAAGCTAAAAAAAAACTTCCAAGGCAACGCACATTCACTGGTCCCAGAGATTGGTCATCTCGGTTGTGGCTGTCGTCCACATTGACGATAACTGATAATGAATACTTGGTCCAAGGGATACACCAGTGTAGAGGTCTATGCAACTAGGCTACATCGCTGGGAAAGCACGCCATGTACTCGCTTTAACATGGTACAATCTGGGCGGCTCCAGCCCTCAGCTACAGCTCCATTTACAGGGCCCGCAATCTTCAATTCCATTTAGTTGTTAGTTTGACTATTGAATCACTAAGAAGCTCCTTCGCTAAGCTGAGATCGAAGAGATGGGCATCTACATTTGAAAGAATCAAGCAATGGCATAATTGGAAGAATCAAGAGAAGCTTAAAAGTTGTGAGGACTCCCAGCCCTAGAATTAACAGCTGCACACGCCGCCGGGTGTGAGAGACCCTCGATCCCACTTCGGATTGGGTTTGAAGAGGTTTGGCTTCAATTGCACTGAGTCGGCTGTCAAATTGGGAGTATCCAAAATCTTGAGCACGAGCTCATTGAAGCAGCGTTGCACGTTGATGCTCGTCTTGGCACTCGCCTCCAGAAACAAGCACCCGTGCTGCTTCGCAAACGCAATCGCTTCTTTCTTCGTCACCATGCGTTCGCTCTCCTCCAGATCCACTTTGTTGCCAATCAGCATCTTGATGCAATCCTTGTTGGTAGAGAATCGCTCAACCTCCTTCAACCACACATTTGTCAAATCTGTGAACGTGGCCCGCCTCGTGACATCGTACACTAAGATAATGCCCTGCGCGCCTCTGTAGTACGTGCTCGTCAATGTCCTGAACCTCTCTTGTCCTGCGGTATCCCAGATGGTTAATTTCAGACGCTTTCCTTGCAAGTTCATCATCTTCACCTTGAAATCCACTCCAATTGTTGGCCACAGTTCGTCGAATTTTCCAGCAGCAAACCGGAGAAGAAGACTACTCTTACCAACGCCAGAATTTCCCACCACGGGAATTTTAAGCAAGATATCGAAATCATCGCCGGGACCGGCCATCAATTCTAGACCCAATTCACTTCCTGCAACTAAGTCAATCCCTTTCCCTAACTCTCTCTCTCTCTCTCTCTCTCTCTTAACTAAGACGACCTATCTAAGCTTCCACAAACCAAACCTTCCTACAAAACATCCTCAACGCGCCAGAAAACCTAATTTACAAGTCAGTTTCTGTGCTAAATCACCTGCATCAGGAGAGATATCGCCGGCAATACAATTCGACTACTTAATTGAAGCAGACGCAGAAGTATCCCATCAGTTACCATGTATTCCACCGCAGGATCAGAGCTCCATGCATCAGCAGACTGCTCCAAGCAATGCCACTCACTGTGCACGAACTAAACAACACCAAGGGAACGGAATGACGTCTCTCTGCATACCACAAGATGATTGTGTTTATCCCAACACGTCACGCAATAAACGTGGTGAAGAAGCGACCCGGTGAGCAACTACGCGAAGCGTTCCTCGTAGCGCAGAATTCTGTCCCTTACGATATAATGTGAGGGTTCGATCATATCCGACGGCTTCTGTCTCATAGCTGCCAGACTCTCCAGTACCAGCCACATATTCAGAAAGCATGTCTTGAGCATCCACACATTACTACACCGTCTCGTGCCTTGTGAATTATCGATGGCGACAAGGACAGTGCCTCAATTGACGGAGAGAGGTAGCTTGATTCCCTCGTCCGATCCCGGTGACGCGAATGACGGACTGAGACTGCAGCCGACTCATGGAAGTCTTCTAAGCATTACCAATTCGGGATGATTTCACAACCTTGCTTCGCAAAAGTAACCTTCCCGACCTTTTATCTACACAAAAAACTCAAACCCTGCAGCTTTACAACTAGACAGTGGACTACGTGCGCTATCCATCTCCAACCAAAGCGGTAAAAGGAAAATCACGTCAAGGGCTGAGCGGGGCGGGGAGAGAGGGGTTTTTGTTCTCTAACACTGCTCGAACCCTCTACAGAGTTTCTCCAGGTAGGCACGAGAATAATGCTTCGTATTTTGATAAGTTGTGATGCGCGTCTGCCCCAACTGTTCTTAATCCACGCTACACACGCCCAACTTGTGATCGTTACCACGTGTGCATGTTTAATCGCTCGGTCTAACAACAGCGCAGGCACCTTATCTTCGTCTCGCTCTTCCACCCTGACACTGGACTCATCTGTGCAGGCTTGTCATTCTAGTACAAAACTCGACACAACTTGGAAGACAAAAGTTGTTGCTCACGTCACTCCAGCAAACTCGACAAGTAACGGTTCTTGCAACAGGATTTACAACTTCGGTGCACAATCAGCGCTAGATTGTTGCTAGTTACCAGCACCACCACTTCTGTTGTGTACCCAACCAGATTAGACCGGGACCCAAGTAGTGGATCTCGGTGCAGTGGACTGTGGAATGATGTTCGTGTGCATTCGTGGTGCCAGTGCACGCAGGTCTCCGCATCCCGGCGGAGTGCGACACCGCCGATCCAGCTATGTCAGGTGACTAGGAGGAAATCGGATGGGCCACGGTGGGACCAGATTGCCCTAGGCTCGATGTGCGGAAGGCGGGATTCGCGAGGGAAGATCCTCGCGCAAACCAACGCCATGCTCCGCGTGTCCGAACGGGGCTTCCTCGGTATCATCGACGATGTGCTACCTCCGGACGGACTTCAGTTCGTTAGAACCGAGACTCGGGAGGGGGAAGGGTTGTTTCACACGTGGACTTCAATAACGGCATTTAAACTTTTTGTATAAAGACGAAAGAAAGAAAGAAAGAAATATATATGTGTGTGTGTGTGTGTGTTGCTATTGATATGTATATATGTGTGGATATATATATTTATATATATATATATATATATATATATATAGAGAGAGAGAGAGAGAGAGAGAGGAATGTGTGTGTGTAGACAGATGTAGGGTAATCAACAACGGTGGTAGATGACAACAAAATGAAATGGCATTAGAAATGTACATAAATTTGCATTCGCTTTATTCTTAGATAAGATTAGTCTAAGGTTTTAGTTTTCAAGTGGAATTTTAAATTATGTGGTGTGACATCAACTACTTTAATTTACATTGAACTTACAATCTCTTGTCCAGGAATACTTGTTGAAATTGTCCAATACTTTAGAGTGTAACCAATTATTTAACTTACCCTGTGCCAGATTTTTTTTGTCAAAACCTCTTGCAAAACAAGAGCAGCAATAATTTTGTGAGCAAAGAACATTATCATACCAAGTTTCCCTTTCCAGGTTTAACAAACGTAAAATGAAGCAATTGAAACCAATCGGTCATATAAATTAATGTAACTTGAGAATTTCTGATAACCCATCTGACAATATAGAAGATATTGTAGGTTCAAGCAGCTTGAGATTTGAAGCTTGAACATTTTCTAAGTTACTAGGAATAAATGAGGTCTTTCATGGTGATTTGTGAGACCATGACCCTCAATTGTTGAACTACCGAATGATTTGGACCTCATCAACCAATACCCATCCAATTTTAAGATGTAGAAAAGTAAACAATTCTCTTGAAAGTCAAGTCCATATCACCCAATAGACTCGGTCAACGAAAGTTTTTAGGCAAAGCCAGTAGTCACATGAATCATACAAACTTTGGTCCAGTCACACGTCATCAATCGATCACTGTCGATGATCAGATTCTTGCCCCTTGAAGAATTTCGACTTCAAACCATTCAACTTCTATTTACATTTTTATGCATTTATAAATGAATGTAGAAGTTACAGAAGGAGGAATAAATAAAAATAAATAAAAAACTAAAAAAGAAGTATCAGAAAGGGGAATGACTAGTAGTAGGTTTCCAAAATCATGCAAAACTGGTTAATGGAAAACTTAGACAGATTAGTGCGTTTGTGTCTATCAATCCAAGCACAACCCTATCCAGTACACTCTTAACAATAAGAAACTTATCAAAATCGCTCTCTGCCCAGATAAAAAGAACCTTCGTAGCATTGCGATATCGCAGGCAACACTTGGAAGACACAAAGAACTTGTAGATACCTGAAACACAAAGAAATCTCCGAGAGAAACGTGAAGTCTATAGTTATGAAAAATCTAACCCCAACTGCACACCTTCCAAAAAGTTCAGCCATCAACCTTGTGATGAGAAACAGATGGACAAATTTTAACTAAATTCTACCTGCAAACTCTGCACACAGCTATCAACATACAACGGCATACGAACCTGCCTAACCTCATCAAAAATATAGATGTGCAGCATACCTACAGCTGAAATGTTTTTTACAACTTTACCTAATGCATGCGAAAGCTTAAGCTGTTGACAACTCTCTCTTCTTTTCTCCCTCTCTTAAGCATGTTATTTGTGAGAACTAAAATCCTATTGAAAAGAAAAAGAAAATATGGTAACAAAGCTGCAGAAACGGAAACAACATTGAAGAATATTACACTGCTCTAACTTATTATCTGGCTTGTACCATCTCTGAGACTACCAGCGCCGGATCCATAGGTCCTGCCCTTCTCAAGTCGGAAACTGGGAGTTGAGTCTTCGATAGACTCTTCTTCGTAGCAAGAAAAGATGGGAGATCTCGATTTTGAGAAGTTCTTCCTTCAAAACCACGCTCCCTCTTCCAGGCTGGATCAACAGGGGGTAAATTGAATGGGTCTGCTTCCAAAGCAATCGGAAACTCGGGCAATTTGGGTGTAGAGGCTGGAAACCTGCAGCTCGAAAAGTCTCTTACAATATTAGTAATTATTTCATGTGTGACACATTGTTACAGAATAAACTCAACTTCACTACCAACAATTTAGAGACATCAGAAAATGATATCACTGATAAAGTTCCTGAACTCACTTCTCTTTGGAGTAATTATCTTTGAAGATACGTCCTTTGCTCATTGTTTCCCTCGGTATTCTCTCGGCGAGGTACTTCATCGGGCCCCACACTGGTGGAACTCTGCAAAATGTTGTGGCATCAGCTACAGGTACTAACTACGCTGGCCATATCATCTTCATCAACGACCCATCAACTAAGTCAAATTTAAAACGTGTCAAAAATCAAATAATTACATAAGTCTTAAAAGTATAAGCATACTTTGTAAAAGGTTCCATGTTGCTGAACTCGGTTCGAACTTTTTGACTTTCTTTCAAGTGAGCGTATGCAGCTTTAAGGCACGACAATGCTTCAGCATGTGCATTGGCTTCGTATCCTTCGTCTAGAATGAGCCCATGAAAATAGTACGCTGCGGCCTGTCAAACACAAGTATGTTAAGACTGCAGAAAACTGTGAGAAAAGAATGAAATAAAAATGGTTAACTCATAACATCATAAATTAAAAAATGCAACTGTAGTTAAGGCTGAATTATTCATATCCCCAAATTCTTACTAACATAAAATTTCAAAATGGTGGCTCTGTATAGTACCTTCGCGTCCGCAAGTTTCCATTTCACAAACAATATGTGTTTGTCCCTCAATGCTTCTGCCAAGGGCACACGAACCAGGTTCTCCATTGCCTGTCATGCGTAACGTAATTATCAGGTATACTCGAAGAGAAAATTGGAAGATAATAATGTAACAAATGTTCAAAATCATATGAATCAATACTTGAGATCATATTTTACAGTACATTGACTTCAGAAAGGTTCCAAGCCAATTGGTTAGTTTCTTGCAATAACTACCTGTTCCCATACTTCGACTTGCTCACAGGCTAGTCTTCGCTTAACTGCTAGTGAAGCCTTCACATTGCTAATCGCAAACCCTAGCTGCAACTCCACAGCCTGCACCACGACGTTGATATTAACTAACACTGAAATGTGCCAGGTTTGTAGCAATCCTTTTTAGAATATGTCAACACCTGAGACATCAAAGCATGCAAAACTATAAGCACCTGGCCTAAAGCTTGCTTTTCCAGTGATTTCAACATCGCCTCTGTTAGTTCGGCAGGAAGCTTTTCTCTGCAAAAGTATAATCACGGAAATATCAAAATCAGTGGAATAATATGTATCAACCTCAATTTAACTGTTGATGCATATTTCGGCACACTAAAACTACGATCCTGAAGTCGCCGGAGTTGACAACTATTTTGCTGCTATGAAGCTTCTGATAGATTTAAAATCTGTGTCACATTAGTAGATCGCATTGGGATCCATTTTCCTAAGAAATAACAAGACGAACTTATTTATCTTGATCGATTCATAACATGCAAACTACTGGAATGCAGAGTTTAAGAGTTACAAGCTAGAAACCAATCCAAATAACTTACTTTATATGCTCTGAGATGTTGGGCAACACACGACTTAAGGCACACTCAAAATATGATGCGGCCTTCAATAATATATCAATGGCATCTCTTTTGTCTTCTGTAGAGAGCAAAAAATATCAAGTTAAAATGACATAACAAATTGCATGACTCGTACACACAACCCAACCTCTGTCTTATCTCGAATCAATCAATCAATTAGAGGTCGACTCTGATAACAAATTAATATTCGTAGGACCAAAATTAGCTAAATATAATACATCAGCCTCAGAGGATCCCCACTACGAAAACAATTTCGTGTAATCAACTTCAATTCGTCAACGATAACAGAATGTGTCACTTCTGATGCCTGTCAATTTACTGTAAATTTGTGTGCAGAGAACACTTTACCACTGGATTAATATTAAAGATGATATACGAGAAGCTTCCAGGTTGTGAAGCCACAAAAAAAGGGAACTTTGTACTGCAATTGCAATAACAGTAGCAAAGCTAGTAGGAGTTACCATCAGTTAAACTGTACCAAGAAAGACTCGCAGATATATACCGCCCAAAAGTAAAGACTGGGTGCAAAGCAAAGCACATGCCTTCAGATGCTTTGGGATTGAACCCATCTGCCGAAGGTCTTGGTGTTAAACATAAATTAGCTTCTTGTAAAGCCAGCATCCCTAATAGATGCAGCACCGATAGCAACTCATAATACCCACTTGCAAGTGCAGTTTCCTGCCAGAGGAATAAGCGAATCAATATACTTCTATTAAACTTCAATGAAACATGAATTAGCATAACTCGTTTTGGGCAATGTTATCGTGCATGATTGCAAGGTATAAGCAAATGCAAAAGACACCATCATTCCCTAAACTCTTAAAGAAGCCAAAGCAGCACAAGTGAGCCACCCCTCAAACCAAAAGTTGCAAGTCTTTGAGCACTGACCTTATGTTCATCTTCTACATTTGTCCAGGGATATTCAATATCGGACCCAAATTTGTCACCTGATGAATATGTAGTGCTGCTTCACTTTAGTTCTTAATATCATAATACTCATAATGCAAGTACTTTGTATAACCCTCCGGGCAAACCTAATGAACTGATACCACAGATGATAACGAGCACAAAGGAAAAATTCCAATGTCTAAGCCACGAGTGATTATTTCTTAAATTTATTATTATTATCATTGGCGTTGATCTTTTCATTGTTTTCTTTTTTATTATATATATTATATAAATAAATAAACACAAACACAAACACAACCGAAAAAACTCTGACGATATCTCACCTCCTGTGACCAGGCCCACCAATACGGGTAAATAAGAATTCAGTGCTGTTTCCAAATCTACCTCAACAGAACTACCTGCAGCACATGTAAAAACAAGTCTTTGGATCATTTTACCCCAGCGAGCACACATATATACAAGCATCATTCGAAAAATGTATCACTTGCACTGAAAGCAAAAGAGATTGCCTACGAGAGTGCAGAGAACTACCAATCATGCTTACCGTCAAGAGATTTTCTTCGTCTTATTTTGACCGCAGGCCCGCTTTTGCAAGCGATAGAGATAATTTGTGATCGAAGAGATTGCAGCTTCGCTGCCAACCCCGCAGACACATATCCCTTCAAGAGCTCTGTTAAATCAATATGTTTAGGATTCCTTAAGCCCGGCACAAACACATACACTTCACTCGCCTGGACGGGGATTCCTAAGACACCCCCATCATCTACAGCTTCAGTGGAAAAAATGCATCCCATGTTTCTGCAAATCTGAGCCCCCACATTCCACTCGTTAATTACGTCGCATTGGAAGACTACAGCAAAAACGTTTCAAATGAACATTCAGCTCCTCAACTTCAGATACAATTGCAAAATGAAGAACCGATTCAGGAATTTTCTGACACTTAACAGCGACTTAGGAATTCGCCAGTCATCAAAATAACACGAATTTTTTTTCGAATAACACACATCAAAAAAATTCATCCCGATTCAGCATGTTTTACGAAAAAAATATTGACAAGAAGCTACAAAGTCTCCAGACAACTCGCAGTGTACTCAACAAGAAGCAAACCAAACACAGCACAAGCATTATATTTCCAAAACCGCACGAAACCGGTATATAGACCAAAAACTACCTAGAGGTCACAGCTTCCAATTTACAACTCAAGAATCAAACGTTTCGCATACTTGACACAAACTCACAACCACGCTGCACCAGGGAACCGACTCAGTCCAAACACACTGCCAAAAACTCCACTGACGCTACCACCAAAGGACCAAACCAGCAACGAATTCACCAACAAAGGGCCGCTGCGCTGATGTCTTCTCTACCTCGAAACCACCCGCGCAACACCCTCTAACAGACCACAAGCACGACCGGCTGCAGGAAAAAGTCCAGACGAACTGAAACAATCAGCCCAAGACTTGTGCAATACGCGGCTGCTGTTTCGCATTCCAGCAGCTGGGTTGTAACAGATTCTCACATATGCCAAAAACAAACAACGAAGGGTGGGCTTAGATGCATGACGCAGGCTAAACGGAGGTGGGGGAAGGGGGGGGGGGGGTCAGTAACGAAAGAATCGAACAAGCAAGTAAAAGAGAGCGAGAGAGAAGCAAGGGTCGGTGGTAGGCGAGAGAGGTGGCGACTTGAGGAGCCAACGAAGCGGAGACTGCTCTCTCTTCACCAGCGCCCTTAACCGCGATGGATGCTCCCCTCCTCGACCCAAGGTCATAGGTCCTCAAGGGAGTGGGGGTCCCGTGACCGAGCCCTAGACTGCTGTGCTGGCATCACTCCTCGTCGCCACCTCTCCGCTCTGATGCTGACCGGGCGTCGACACCGTTGCCCACGTCCACGTCCAACCCCAAGACCGCCACGGCATCATGTGACGTGGCATGCTCCAGGTCATCAGCCTATGTGGGTAACGGTCTCCGTCCATCAATTTTCTGCCATATTCGGGCACCAAGTTAGTTTTGTTATATTGTGGGCGGAGCCCGTGTGGGGCCACTCTAATTGGAATTGGCAGCTTTGAGTGAGAACTCGATTTCATGGCCACGCTGCCGTTCAGGTTGGATGCTCACATTCTGCTTCGTGGACGGAACCCGCACGAAATTCTTCCGTCGTCATCGTGGGAATGAACGTGAATCGTCGCATGAAGGAAAGTGACAAGGATTCTGCATTCATTATGGGCTAATTGCTATTGTTAGTGACATCCACCAGACAAAGCTGCTTTTGCAGTTGGGCAGTCAGATGCCACGATGAACAAAAAAATCGCATTTGTGTCACGGAACAAAGGGAAATATCTCTCTCTGGGAACATGGGGACCACGTAAGCGAAGCAAAAGGAGTTTTTGGCGGTGCTGGGACTTTGGGCTTAGTACTAAGCATTCTCTCGCACCTCCATTGGGTGCAACGTCTGTCAGGCTGCTACAAAAGCCTTGGACCCAGCCGTGTGGATCACTTGTGACTTACACCACCACCAAACCCACATTTGGCTTTGACAATAGCCTTTGTTGCTCTTGTTAGGGTACACATCAGCAACGTAAGGGTGACCACAAGAATAAAATCAATAGCAAGCAGAAGGAGGAAGAAGTAGAAAAGGGGGTTTAAGGCTTGGCTCAGGCGTGTCAAGGGCGCGATGGCACTTGGAAGAGGTTCTTTGAGTCTCTATGAGAACACTCTGGGCAACATTTAGACGCCTTGACACGCCTGAGTTTGTTATTTTGTGTTTTATTGTATTTCTAGGTGTGTTAGTGTGTAGGGATTTGAACGAGCTTTTAGGCACGGAAGCTGATTTTAGGACACTTCCAGTTCTTAAAATAGTAGCTTGCATGGGCTTGTGTGTCCCACATACTAATCTTGTCTTGTGTGATAACCCGGTGATGAGGATTCAGGTAAAGCTTGGGCCTAACTTCTCGATAAAGCAGCTTGAAAAAAGAAACCAAACAGACATGCAATCAAACTTACTTATCTGGATAATCGCATGACCTCACAGGATTGATTTTAAAGTCCCAAATTTATAAAATCTAATATAGACATTTAATGAGATGTTTTTAAGTCGTGATCATATTTTGATCTCCATTAGTTCGGTTTTAAGGCACAGTAGCTCCTATTTTTTCCATTTCAACTTCTGTGTTCTCAGAAGCATTGACCAGATTTTGCAAGATTCTCATTTGCAACTACGTTCTTAAACAGGCAACCGCACTAGCCGCTGACCATCAATCAAGCTGCACAGAAATCAACCACACAGGAACCACTCAGAAAGAGGCTCCAGAGAAGTTGCCGCCTCTGCAGACAAGTGTCAGGATGACACTTAAAGAAACTTCATTGAGTGGCTATTATCTTTTCCCGATATCTCTTCTAGAATCGTGTAAATCTTAGCGTTAACTTTTTAAACTTTTAAAAAAATGAATGCCGCTTTGAGATCTCTAGATGCTTGCAGACTTACAGGGTGGAACTGTAGTACACGAGTTACCTTTTGATGTAGTAGAAACTGAAATCTCCCAGCATCAGAAACGATAGCAGCTTGGAAACAAGTGTTACACCCGCCCACGTACCAGGCCCAATTATTTTGAACAGGTGCTTGTTTCCCTCCACCATCTGGTTATTTTGCCACACCAAATCCAAGCTAATCATTCATGACCCCACAGCCAACAAAGATTTCCTTCAGAAATTTACTATTCAAGAGTAGTTTCGAATTAATGTCAGTTGTAACAGCTCCCAGATATTGCAGACTCACGGTATTTATGACAATGCAGTTTACTCATTTTTTAAATCCTTCAAACAAAGAAGAATCGTTACAAGGAAAAGATGAAGAAATTGTGCTGAAATTATAGGAAGAGGTGTTGAACCCGGATGACGAAGTGGATGCAATTCAAGAGGTTAGACACTCCCAATGCAAATACGTAATGAGCCGTGTGAGGTTCGATCACCTGCGAACGTTTCGTTAATCAGATCGTAAATTGATTCATCAAGTTTTTATCTCGGTGAACTCTAAATGAAATTGCAAGATCAGACCATATCACTAGGACATTCTTACTTGAAATGCTGCACAGTAGGAAGAAATTTTACTAAGGATTGGAAGTTTTTAGGGTTGGAAAATTTACCCTAATTGACTGCATCAGATTCAGTTGAGGTATGATCTGTACTGTCTCCAAGTAAACACCGAAAGCCCACAACATTCTGTGGAGAACAGGATACCCGGTCTTTGGATACGATATTATTGACAGCAACACACAAGGACCCAGCTGCAATCCTCGAGAAAAAACTTAAAGTCAAGCTTTACTACCACCTAATACATCTTACAGTAGGATCCATCCCATCCAGGATTGTTGAACAGAAAAAAAATGCCTGATCAAAATATCGAATTCGAAAATGTCAACAAAGTTCAAGTTATTTGTTCGTATCTATACAAAGTGTTCCTCTGTTGGAGGCAAATAAAGTTATTGGATGTAAATTTGTGGGTTAGCATTTGCATTACCAAGTACAGTAAAGGGAACTGATCAAGATCTTTGGAGTAAGTCGACCTCAGTCTGAATTGCAGCTTGCAGAGCACCCACAAGGTGACAACAAGTGTCATGAAATCCATGAACACGTAAACATCTTGCTGCATCACCGAGCTACAGTAGAGCCGTGCGAAGAGAGACATTGCAGTGATCATTTGTGACTTGAAGGACAAACCTGCATCGACGATTTCAATGCTTAACAGCCACGTTGCATGAAAGTTGTGGCCAAATTTTATTACAAGAGTTTAAAATAAATAAAACCTAAAATCTGTGTTAATTTCAGAGAAGCCTATATCAGCTTCTGATGTAGGCAAGATTATGATTCAGTTGATTTAAGGAATGCATAACTCGAAATTTCAACAAAAAAATTCAGCACTGTGGTAATTGCATGCATCACAAGGAATCCTGACACTCTTGGACAGCGAACTTTTGCCTCGTAGCAAATCACAAAACCTTTGATTGTCTTCTCTGATGTGTAGCAGTCAATTTATTGTTGCGATTATAAATTGTTAGTAATCGCGAGTGTGATGCTCACCACCACAACTCTCCTCCGTGCCAATCTTGTGAACGAGGCAGCCAAGGCCCACAATGCGAACAAGCTCAGCAGCAATTTTAATCTTGTTCACGTCATAGTAAACTAGGTTCATGAACCACAACAATGCAATCGCACTCATCACAAACTTTCCCCTCGCGTATTGCTTCTCCGCCCATTCTACCGGGTTTCGGTGCAACCTCTTTCTCTTGCTGACAAGACCCATGTCAGAATCACAGATTTTCAGTAACTGAACTTTCCTGGAGAGTTTGTTGGGAGCTCACATCACCCTAAATGCAGAATGGGTTGGTATGTGACGAAGGTCGTCTGCCAATGAGCCTCCAATTTTGCGCTCTGCCTCGATGCCTTGGTACAATAGTCTGTTGCAATTAGGTCAAACTCATGGAAACTTTGCAAACCATCTCGTGTCCTTACAAAATGCCACCTATTGTATTGTAGATCTGACAGAGACGACGAACATAGAAATGCTAAATGCTAAATACAGTCATGTGTGCTTCAAGTCCCAAAAGACACGTTGCCAGTGAAGAGATTCCGGGAGGACTTGGACAATTCACGTGGATTCGTCTTGCAGCTTGTAAACCAGTCGGTCTCTCGCCATGTCCGCATCAGGGGATGATGTTTTGGCTTCTGGGGCGTGGCATGGCCAGTGCATCGTTCAGAGGTTTAGGGCACCGGCGGTGATCGGGTTCTATATTAAATGTGCAGCTATGTTACGTGTCCGAATGAAGATCGTCGTCCGGGAAGTTTTTGATATCTTACTATTTAGCTGTATGGGTCAGTTCCTTTTAGAAAGCAGCGGAATTTTATGATTTGTTAATTATGGTCGAGGATTGTGGAGCTGCGCTCGACGGCGTTTATGGGCCAATTGGAAAATGCAACAGCTGCGATGGTGTACACATTGACTCGTGTCGCAATTGCTAAGGAAGAGAAGAAGCTGCATCCAGCAGCCGAAATCGTGTTTGTGCATGACCTGGGTTGCAGTTCCTAGAACAGGCTATCCAATCTCGCCGATCCCTGTGACGATACGGTGGTCACCGAGGAGTCATGCGAATGTACTCTTGGCGTGGCGATTGTTATTTCGATGTTGGTTTCTCTGTGTACCAGTGTGCAAGTTAAGACTGGATGTGCTGTTCGGAGCAGGGGGCTATTTTGCAAGCCCATTATTGCTCATGGCCTTGTTGAGTATGACCGTGGTGGGCATTCAAGAGGAGACTTCATGTGAGTGAGAGATCAAGCTCATTCTCGGTAGAGTTGCTACGGTCTTGTGCATATCTTTTGCGGTTGCTGCCTCCTACTTTTTCAAAGCAAAAATATGCCTTCGTTAGGGACCCATGAAGCGGATGCTTCATCAACCAATTCATTGATTACCTGCATTGCAATCAGTTTTGAGGATTTAAATGTGGATGGCCGTGAGGACCTGGAGACTATTGCAGGGATTGTAATCGTGATGACTTGGTGGAGGTATGAAGAAAATGCTTTAATCTTCTTGGAACAGAACTCGCGCAGGTGCGTCATTTAGCAGACAGTGACTACAGATTGCGATTCTCGTCTGGACAGATGAGGCATCCATCCACCTTTGGCCCTCTCATCGTGTGTCTCTGCAGCTTCCTCCGCATGCTTCCATCAGGTCGTTGCACTCATAAGAATCCTGGAACAATTTCAACTAACTCGTATGCATGTTCCTGCTGGTTATCAATAATAATAAAATAAAATAAGAAAAGTCCTTCCTCGAAGCTGGCGCGTAAATCAACTTCTGCAGTTCACGTTCATGTCATTTCATCAAGTAGAGTTAGTTGGTGGCTTATCAGGATTGTAGGCAAAATACATTGATGTCATGGAGGTGATCTCTGTCGCTTTAAACTTCGTTGTTAGGGGGGCAGATTGGCTGTGACGAATGGCCTGTCACTGTACTGCCTACTATTCCGTTATGTGATCAGACGAAGGGGGCAATCGTTCTAGGAAAGCCAATCGATTTTGAAAATAAGGCTTTTTTTTAGCAGAAAGCTTCGCTGCTATTTGTCCTGGATCGTTTGAATGTACACTACTGGGTCAGTATTTCAAGCAAAGAATAAAACGCTGAGGATCAGTAATAGTTTGCAGATTCCAGTTGCGTGCGCATCTGAAGACTACAAGGTGCTGCGGCTGACAATGCTCTACATCTGCTGGACAGGTATTTCACTGTAATCAGCCTCTCGCCGGAGTAGATCTTGAAGTTACAGGAATTGATCTCAACTTTTCCAGCTGCTTCATACACCTCAACCTATTTGCTGGACGATTTCTACGAGATCCTTCCTACTTTGTTCATTGCGTTAATGGGAAAAAATGCATTGTGAAGCGATATAGAAGTGTAGATTGTCATAACAGGTTTATGTTTTATTCTCCAGACATACTATAAGACACTGTGTTTTCATGACCTAACGTGGTAATGTCTATGAATTTCTCTTTGCTTTGTTCAACTTAACCGGCAACTGCTAATTTTTGTGTCCCACTAACAACTGACGTTAAGGCTTGCGGTGGCATTGCAGGCTTACCATCTGGAAGCTGCTTCCCCAAGTGAACTATCAAATGTTTAGCGACAGAGTCAGTTTCACTAATTGGTTCGAATGCATGAGATTTTTCCATCATCATGTACATGGAGTGTTGATGCTGAGTAGAAGTGATAACAATGAGATAGGTATGGAGATGTTAGAAGGACGTGGTTAGTATGAATATGCATACTTCTGATCATTTCTAGCTCCACTTCATGATCATTTTGTAATTTTAAATATCGAGTTCATAAAATCACAAGCTCTATTTGCCAAGCCGTCCGTTTAGTCGAGGAAAAAGTGGTCCAAGTGAATACGTGAGTGAAACTTTTCGACTCTCTGGTCCTGTGTAACGAGTTTCCACTGGTGATCACACAAGTCAACTTTTTTTCTCAAATCCATGGATTGTTTTTCACCGCTCCTAAACCGTCGTCTGCCGCCCCCTACTGAAACGCCAGCCCTAGCGAAGATCTGGCCTATAGTCAAAGATAACTGTGTTGCATAAAATCTTCAATTATGGTTGCGGCTTAAAGCCTTCAATGAACGTGAAGTACTTAGTCACGATGTACATCAGACAGCAGACACCTCGATTATACAATAAATCTACTTATCGTCAATAGTCTCGTCGTGAACATGCTTCGAAATCCTCTTGCACAGTAGCCCATTCTCTCAGACGTCGAGAATAGTAACCCATGACGCATTTTAACCATGACACGAGCTAGCCTGGAAGGTGTTGCGGAAGTAAGAATTAGTTGAGAGGGATGAGTATTAGTGAACCTCGCTGGGTCACTCGCAAATCAATGACGGGGTTCCGCCTTTTGATTTTCAGGGTTAGAATGTATGTCTAGCGCGATATTTTTGCATGAGCTTTGCAAGTTTTTAAATGTGAGTAATATGAAGACATGGGAACTCTTTCCGTTCCTTAAATTTCACAAAACTGTGCTCTAGGTCTATTTGTAAAGGGAGATTGTTAGAGCAGGAGTGTGGGTTCTTGTAGCGGCTCAGAGAGTTCAGGCAACTTGTGCCCCCATTGTGAGGAAAGTTCACTCCTCTTCTCGTCTGATACATTGTGTGCTTTTCCACGTTTCCAAACTTAGGTGATCATGTTTCTTTTAAAATCGCTGAGATTTTGAAAAGTAGTTTATGCTTCGAACCAGTTTTTATCAGATGCCCAAGCGGGCGATTCCTACAATGGTCCCAAGAGCTGGTACAGTGGCCGTGCGGCGATCAGCCAGGTTGGTAGCCGCAGCGGCAACTGAAAATCCTGATCACTCCAGCGTTGGGGATTCTACCTCCCAAAAAACTCCGGAAGTACAATCTGGAGCTATACGTAGGTCAAAAATTGCCCGAACCACCAAGCCTCAAGTGAAGAAAAGTAGGGAGAATGCTGCGGAGAAAGAGGACGAAAGTTGCAAGATTCAATGTACGACTAAGAATGTGAAAGTGGAATCTATTTCTGAGGCAAAGGATTTCCGAGCGAAAGAGGTCAAGACATTGCGAAGAACAAAATCCCTGAAGAAGTTCCCCAGCAGAGATTTAGAGGTTTGGTCTTTCGCTTACCTTGCTCATCATAATTTTCGAGGTGCAGTATGATTGGGATTGTTGTCCACTAAGCTATAGCTACAAAGTAACTTCGTCGTGCGACCTTCAACCCTGAACCCTAGATGGTTAATGCGTACAAATACCAGATGAAGCTTTGGGAGCTAGGATTTCGTAACGTTGCTGGAGTGGATGAAGCAGGGCGCGGTCCACTAGCTGGGCCTGTGGTAGCCGCAGCGTGCATTATTCCTGCCTCGGCCACAATTCCAGGCAAGATCTGTTTTTGTGTATCACAATGGTCTTGCCGAGCAAGTGGTCCATGTCAAGAAGAACCTTATGTAAGGCTAAACGGTGTTGCACAATGGAAAGAGACTTTCACTGTTCATCACTTGTGGATGTCGAGAGAACTGTGGTGCAGCTGGTTTAGGGTAGCAGGCCAAGTGTGTCGATTGTAGCTGTGCAGGTGTGGACGATAGTAAGAAGCTAACTGAGGCCCAACGGGAAGAACTGTATGCCCAAATTGTAGCCACTCCTGGAGTTGCTTATGCTGTATGTATTTTTTCCTCTTAGAACTCCAGTGCCACCTACTGTGTACTAAACAGTGGTTGCATTTTGTACTAACTCCCTTGTATAAAACAGAGCTAAGGAAGAATGCATACTAGATGATACTTTGCGTGTAGAGCTCCTAAGTATTTTCTTTAATCATCGATTTGTTCTGTTGAATGATTCAAGTTCGTCTTCTTGATTTGTCAACATCAGCGTTTGATATTGGCATGAACTCTCGGTTGAACTTTCTGAGCCTCTAATGGCGAAATGTGCAGATTCATGTGGTGGATGCAGCTAAAATTGACGAAATCAATATTTTACAGGTTCTTTGATTTCTTCAATGAATGTTTCTCATGTGTTTTATCCGTGAGGTTTGATCCTTCAGGTTATGAAAGTTTTGAGTGAGAAATACTCGCGTAAGATTCAAACGAAGAGCCACTACTAGTACCCACAGATCTCAAGGGAAGTTTTGTTTATGAGTCAGAATTCAATTGCAGGTTGTTGAAGCGTGAGCAAGAGGTGATTTGATTGATCATCTTGAACGTCTGTTGCAGGCAACTTTACTTGCAATGTCTACATGTGTTAAGAAGCTCAGAAAAGAAAGAGGTGGAGAAGCTCCAGATTACATTCTTATTGATGGCAATAGAATTCCAGACGAACTTTCAAAAGAGGAAGCTCAGTTTGTTATTAAGGTGCATGTCCTGCTCTGGCAACTACATTGATTTATCTTGCCATGAAACCTCTTCCAACTCCGAACCAAGCACATTACAGGCGTGTCAGATGTCTGAAACTGTCTGCGTTCTGTTCATCACTTTGATGTATGCAGGGAGATGCGGAGTGCCATGTCATTGCAGCAGCCTCTATCTTGGCGAAAGTCACCCGTGACCGTATGATGGTGGATTATGACAGGTAAACCTCAAAACTGCCATTTATCTTCCTCTGAATTCATTAAATGCTGTTTCTGTAACATTGGTTTCTCTGCATCATTATGCTACTGTATTACAAGGAGCCTTTTTGTTTCCCTTTTTTATGTACAAACAATGTCCACACTGCGGAGGCTGGGTTGGTTGAGTTGGGTTGTGGTTACAGGAGGTGGCCAGTGTATGGATTCAAGGCTCACAAGGGCTATGGAACTGCAGCCCACATAGGAGCTCTGTTGAATCATGGACCCTGTGACATTCACCGTCGTTCGTTTGCTCCTCTCAAGGGCTCCAACACTCTTCTGAGATAGAGATCAAGGCTCTGACACACTGGTGAAGAATTTACATCCTGGATATATTTTAATTGATAGTAGTTTATAAGTGATGTTGAAGAAACTGTGACTTTGACAATGGTTTCCAACCATTTGATGATGATAAATGAAAGACCGTCCAACGAAAAATCTCTCTGTTTTTGTGCACCCATCTGTTTGACAGCTTGTAGAACACTTCAACAAATTTGACGCTATTTAACATCCATTGTGAAATCGACATCAAATTCTTCCCATAGAAACCATGGTTTTAAAGTTGAACTGCGTTGAGGAGGCAGTGTTCGATGAAGATGTGGTTGTATTCAAAATGGCACCAGTGGAAATAGCTGAAGATATGTTATTAACATTTCTGTAGTTATGATTTATAAAAGTGGTTTAGGTGATTAGTTGATTTTAAAAGGTAGTTTAATTTGTAGCAAATATAAAGATTTTAAAAATAACCTTTCAAAAAACACACACACACACACACACATCGATTAATTCTGTAACAACTTTAGTTTTTCACAACAATTGGTATATCTTAAAACATGCAATTGTTGAAGATTTTAAAACATTGTTGAATATGTCATGTTTGTTTATTGTAAAAGGTTTACGTAACTTATGGCTGTTGTTGATTATAGATTAAGTTTGAAAGGTGTATGTATATATGTAAATAGAGAGAGAGAAATATTTATTTTATTATTCATTTACAGAGGATAAAAAAAATATACATTTAGAATCGTAATCAAGTAATATGATAAGCATAGCATTTTTTATAATTAAATAATCTTCTTTCTGAACAAACACGTGTATTTTACTCAAAAAAGAAAGTTTCTCTATCTTTAACATGTATTATATATAAGAAGATTGTGGATGTAAGTCATATTCTTTCTTTCAATTTGATTTTTTTTTAATAAAGCAAACATAATCACAAACTTTAAATATTCCATCGGAAGAAATTAACTATATATTTCAATTTTACTAATTTAAATATCACCATTATAAATATTAAAAAATATATATAATCAATACAAAGAAAAATCATCATAAAACAAACTAACATTTCTCAACAGTTTTCTTTCTTCGTTTTTTTTATTATAGATTATTTATGAATGCTGTAGTAATTTAGTTTGTACGTAAACTAAATTACTACAGCCGTACTAAACTATTTAATTAATGTAAATTTTACTTTTTTATATATTTTGAATTTTAAAAAATCATAATTAATAATCTTATCGTTTTTTAATTTATTAGTGTGAAATTTTTCATAACGGAAAAAGGATCTAAAATTTAATAACAAAATGTTTGAGACCTCATTCCAAATGTTGTCATCAGAGTAAAAACAATAGTGTCATAAAATTACAATGTTATTATTCTTTTGAATCTTGCTTGTACAATGTAATTTTTTCTTAACTTATTAGCAACCTCAAGGATGCTAAAACTCTAAGTGAAAGATACAATTCACACATTTATGTAAGAATTCACATCTTTAAGAAATTCAATACTTTTTTTATACTTATTATTTGGTTTCTTCACAGAGTCCATCCCAAGATCGTGACCGTCCAACTTCATCGTATAGATTGAAGAGCCGATTCTTCCAAGACCTCAATCGGACAAGACTTCATCGCCGGATCTCGAATGGAACGTAAATTTGGGGGCTTGAATTTGGGGACTTGAATTACAGAAATGCAAAAGCTCTCCTGGAGCAGCCACGCCTTCAAATTTGGGCTGGGAGGGAGCTTGACGGAGCTGGGGATATGGCGATGCCAATCGCTCGATGTCTGCCTCGATTGCTGCCGTGAGTGCACTACCTGAAGCTTTTTTGCTCCTACTCTTGAATCCTAATCCTCTTATTCTCCCTCCTCTTGTCTTCATCCCGCTGTTTTCACGCTTGGTTTGGTCACATGGTCGGGATAATCCGTCACCTTGTCCGGCTTCGTCGAATTCTGTGAATTGTGTCGTGCTGGTTTCGGAAGATTTGAGCTGAGCGTTGCATGCCGTTGCCTATTCTGCGAGGTTGCATCGATTTTCGTTATCTGGTTTAGAGGTATTGAAGAGGCCTTTCTTTTTCAGAGGGTTTGAATTGGTGTGGATGATTTGACAGCGTTAGTGCTGGCATTGTGATAGTGGTGCTATGAAGTTATGCCCCGGAGAGCCCTAATAGTTAGTTTCTTTCGACATTTGATACACATATGCAGAATTCAGTCGGTTTTGTCGTGAGAAAGCTTATCAGTGTTTAGATGCCAAGCAAGGACGAGTTCAAGTGTGTTTGACAATCGGAGTGCGCGGTCACTAGAGATTACAATGCTACATTAAGAAAGATTTTACACTGAAGTAGCGTGAGAAAATTGCATTAAGCTCTGTTCTTGCGAAGCTCATCATTTAGAAATAATCTGCTGATGTTCTGTAATTCAGAAAGATTCGGGTTGAAGCTATTTGAATCAAGTAGCTAACAATCTTGCCGAATGCAAAACCTATATTTCACTCTAAATGTGTCTTGAATAGCCCAAGACCAGGTCCATAGTTCAAAGTTTATGTATCGATTTTCATCTACTGATTCAGGAGATACTGCTCAACGGCATGATTTGAAAGCTCGTTGGATTCACTCTATTCTCCTTGTTGGTCAGCAACTGGAATCATCAATTGCATTTTTCTCGAGCTCCGGTCAAGAACGGTTCTTGCTGGAAATCAATCAAGAATTTTAGGTGAGAGTAGGTCTTTCTTTGGCTAATTAGTCAAAACAGTTCAATGCATATGCAGGCTGGACCTACATAGTAACATTCTTGTGGACCAAATCTCTTGGGATAGACGAATTACTGTTGTTGTAGGTGCAGCCTGCATATTATGATCATCTTTTCGGAAGAAAGTTGAATCATCTTGCAAATTTTCTCGAGATCTCAATGTATGTGTAAATTTCTCTTGTATTTGCGAATAAATAAATCACCGTAATCTTAGACATCAGTATGCAGGTTGAAGAAAAAAGACATGTTGTTTCTTTTCTAGTCAGCGGTCATTCTCGTTAATTGATCACCATTGAATTTTAGATTCCAGAACTCTTGCGTGAAACTTCTGAGAATCAAATAGAGTTTTTCGAGGTTACAGATACCAGTTTGGAACTACTTTCTTGTCATTTCAGTACTGATCAACGCCGATTATAGGTTTGGAGTCGGGCAAGGTGAGGCAGAACTGGGACGTGCCTTTACTTCTCAAGCCTTGCAGTCTATTCAAGCTTCTCCACTCTTCGATAATTCACGTTATCCATTCGCTGAGGTTTGTATTTGCATCAGCCCGAACAAAATAGTGTACAACTCAGTGTTTCGTGTATTAGAAACACAGTGATTGGAATTGATATTGTAGGTGCAATTGAGCACATTACAAAGCTGTAATTTTAATGAATATCTACTTAGTTTGAGGCCGCATCATGCATGAAGCACAATGATAGCTGAACTCTTGCGACTTTGAATGGATATCATCTTAAGTAATCGCGTTGTGCATGGATTGTGTGGTTCTTGGCTGGTTTGGTGGCAATGACGTCTTTAATTTGTTGTATCCTCGTTTGCAGGCCAATCGAACAAACTTGCAATTCTTGAAACACCAGGGATCACCTTTTTGTAAGAGAGCATCTGCTCTCTCTAATTATAGGCGCTGCGCAACGGCTTCATCGACAGGGATAGCTGAGCAAGCATCTAGCCAAGGGTATCATAAACTAGTTCTTGCACTTTACAGCTGCAGTGTGGTTATGGCTTGTACATAAAAATGCGGAAGTGTTATCACGTAGTCCAAAATTTGACTTGGTACTTTCATGTATGTTTCGAACTTGTTATTGAGGCAGTTGTTTTTGCCTCTGAAAGTGTATGATAAAAAACCTCTCACATCTAATGGTTATTAAATAGCCTCTATATATTGGATTGAAGGCACAAACAAGTTACATTTTGTAGGACATTTTTTAGTTACAAATTAAAACGTTTGGTCTTGTTAATTGCAGTGAAAACCAAATGGCGAGCTCAACACCGCACAATGACGAGTCCATTTCTTATCTTTCCCAAGCTGAGGCCTCAGCCATCGACGAGTTGCTTATGGGAGAACTTGGTTTTTCAATTGATCAGCTCATGGTTAGTCCCGTGCGCTTGCTTCTAGAGTGAGTAGTTTAAACTAGAGATTGGACCATCTCTTGATTCAAATTCGGACATTTCTAGTCCTGTTAATACTAAACTGTTGAATGTGTCTAGCATCTATTTGAGATTGACCATATTGGTGTGTTTGGTATTTGATGAGCAGGAATTGGCAGGATTGAGTGTGGCATCAGCTGTTTCTGAGGTATTAAGGTTGCCTGTTAACGAGTCAGTTTTGAGATAATCATAACAGGCCTTACGTTTTATTGGTCGCTGTTAATTGTTCCGTAGCTATATATGCAGAAGGATCTCAAAAGAAGTTTATGTTTTTATCACTTTGAATGTGAGGAAGTAGTCTCAAAACCAGAAAAACTGTGCAATTTTTTTGGCTAGAGGATCATCTAGTCAATTTTAAATAACAAGTGGTGCTTCTCACCTATCGCAAAAATTGAATACTTAAGCGCGTATGTTCATCATTAAGCCTCCTTGATTTTGGTTTCATGATGCTCTTATTGTGACGACAGGTTTACGAAGCAAACCACTATCGTCGGGTACTAATTATTTGTGGACCTGGCAATAATGGAGGAGACGGGCTTGTGGCTGCTCGGCATTTGTGCCATTTTGGATACAAACCAACCATCTGTTATCCAAAACGGACCAATAAGCCTTTGTACCAAGGACTTGTGACTCAGGTTTTTCTTTTTCTTTTTCGTTTTCTTTTTTTTTTGGGGGGGGGGGGGTATTTTCTTTAGGGAAGATCAGATCGTGATGTCTGACTTTATATCAGTTATGAACTACCTTAGTGAACATTTGGCAGTCGTGAATTGTCCTTGTGTCGTACGTTCGTCCCTAAGAGATGGCGTTTGATACTATCTCTCATGCTTGTTTAAATTACATTTTATGATCTGCTTTCGAAGCTGTTGATAGTGATCATTCCATATGTGCAGTTGGAAAGCCTGAAAATACCTTTTGTATTACCAGAGGAGCTACCCTCGAAACTGAAAGATCAATTTGACCTTGTCATTGACGCCATGTTTGGGTTTTCGTTTCATGGTAAGCGATGTGTAGACTATTCATATTGTTTGCTCGCATTGGCTTTAGTAGTGAAAGGAGTTGCTCATTCATGTTATTTGGATGAATCAATGGGTAGCACAGCTGCTGATAAGCCACTAATGTCTGCAGTTGTTCGGTTTTGTTTGGTGTCACAATTTGTTGCAACCTAGAGTGTGTAATGTTACATGAGACTGGTATAACTTACTACGTCTACGATTCTGCATTACAGGTATACCACGTCCACCATTCGATTCCCTACTTCGAAAACTGGTGGCACCAAATGGAAAGAAAGCTGAGGAAGTGGGAGTCCCACCTATTGTGTCAGTGGATATACCATCTGGTTGGCACGTCGAGAATGGAGACACCGAAGGCACCTGTTTACGGCCTGATATGCTGGTCTTTCTCTTTCGTCCTTTACTTTCTCTTTGTTCAATACTAATAAGTAGAATAAATGTACTCTTTCCTTGCTTTCAGCTAATTTGCTTCTCGACTTACTACCTCAACCTACTGTAACATGTGGTCTGTCTCGTCTGCAGGTTTCATTGACAGCACCTAAACTTTGTGCAAAAATGTTTAAGGGTGCTCATCATTATGTCGGGGGTCGGTTTGTTCCCCCAGCAATTGTTGAAAAATTTTCCGTTCGTCTACCGTCGTATCCTGGTCATTCCATGTGCGTACGTATAAGCCCTACGGAATCACAGCCCGTAGACATTGCAGCGCTTAGACTTAATTATGTTGGTTTTGAACTGCTCGAAGAATCGGCTAAAAAAGATCCCTTTGAGCAGGTACTCATGTCTTCTTCTCTTTTTTTCTCCCCTTCAGGTTTTTTTTTTTTTTTTTTTTTTTTTTTTTTTTTCTATAAAATGACACACTGAAACTCAAAAAATTGCTTGGGAGTGGTACCAACTTGTCCCTGTGCTAAATGATGGTATCGACTGTGAAATTTCTGTCTGGTTAAGCTAAGAAACATCTTGCGAGTCTTGGAAACTTCTTTCTGGTTAATTTCGTGGAAAGTAAATGTAAGTTCTGTATTTTTAACAATGTTCTGATCTTATTACGTGATCTTAGTTTTATGTTATTAGCCTGTATTGTCTGCCCTTGACCAAGCCCACTTCACGCTAAGGATTGTAGAGTGGAATGTGCAGTTCAAAACGTGGTTTGATGAAGCTGTTTCACGTAAAGTATCAGAGCCGAATGCCATGACCTTGGCAACGGCTAGTGAAAATGGACAACCGTGAGTGCTGTGTTGATTGAAGCTATCTATTGATTTGTTAAGACGTGATTTACACAGCTGGACTTCCTCTTGTAAACTTAAACGTACTTGATCAGTTAAGTTTTTGTGTTGTTATTTCTTCTTATTTATCTATGTGGTGCTGGGATAGGTCTGCGCGATTGGTGCTACTGAAAGCCCTTGATGAACGAGGCTTTGTTTGGTATGTAATGACTTTGAACCCAGTCTCTTAGTATTTATGCATCTAATTTGCTGGTAATATGATTGCATTCTCAGCTAAATTATTGATAGGAAAGATTGCTTGCTAATTAATTGCTTCAGGTTTCAGCCAGTGTGATGTGAAAGGTTTTTGCATATTTTCGCAGGTATACCAACTATGATAGTCGGAAGGCAGCCGAATTGAAAGCCAATCCAAAAGCCTGTTTGGTCTTTTTCTGGGAACCCCTGCACCGCTCTGTATGTTTCTATGCCTTCACGGTGATTGTATTACTTTGTTCTAGGGGCGTTTGTTCTCAGAATATAGCGCCAATTCAAAAATGATCCTTTATTATTACTTTTTGTCAGACAACCGAATCACCGACGTCTATGTAGTTACTCGTGTTGCGTCGCACAATAAGAGATCCTCAGAAAGAATACACGTGATAGATAGAATCGAGTTTTGGCTGGTTGTTGATAGCATTCTAAGGATTAGACATTTTCAAGAATCTTAAAAAAGTCCGTTCGAGGATATGGTTTAGGATGAGAGACAATCTGTTAGTTGGCGTAGCTTATTTTGACATGTGCTGCAGGTGCGAATTGAAGGCAGTGTTGAAATGGTTTCTTCGGAAGAATCAGATTCCTATTTCCACAGCCGCCCTAGAGGGAGCCAGATTGGTGCTCTTGTCAGTGCTCAGGTAAAAGAAAGTTCCATTGTGCTTGTGGCAGTTAAAACGATGAAACTGTAACTGTGAGGCTTTTTCTCACTTTTAATTGTTGTGGTCAAGTTCATTAGAATTGAAAATACGAACAAGATAATGTGATAAATTGTTATGTGTTGATTCGAGACTTAAGATGAATATACTCAAATTGTTGAAAGGCAAATAACGATTCTCATAATCATGTAGTTCGTTGATTGATGACATTCTAATAACAACGAAAAAATGAAGGTAGAGGATGGTCCAGATGTACTGCCAGCTTCAGGTGCAGTGAATGTGGAGTTATGAATCTGTATAGCAATTCTCATGGCGTAACTATATCTACATTAATTGCAGAGTTCTGTCATACCTGGACGACATGTGCTGGACAAGGCGAACGAGGAGCTGAATGCAGAATATGCTGATGGGTACGACAATAAATTCTTTACTTAATATTTGCATTAGAACACGATGCAAGATTTCTTTTACCATCTGTTTTCATTTTCCAACTTCAACATTCTCTATTTGAACATGCTTTTGTATCAAATTATTTTTCGTAATGAGCTTTTCAGCATTTACTAATGGTAAGGTGCATCAATTTATTTGTAAAGAAATAGCATGCGTATATTCGATAGTCCTTCCAGCTAAGCTTGTGCCTCAAGTCTTCGCGTTGTGTCCAAGGGCATATTGAATAATCACTAACGTGTTAATTTTCGTCTGGATGCTTCATTTTAACGAAAAAAATTGGAGTGCAGAAAATTCATTCCGAGGCCGGCTCATTGGGGAGGCTTCCGGTTAATCCCTGAAATGATCGAGTTCTGGCAGGGTAGAGAGTCGCGCCTGCATGACAGGTGGGTCTTCAATTTTCCATCATTCAGCTTACATAAATCACGAACTGTACAGCAAGACCTGGAGTTTGTCGCTGAGTCTTGAAATGGTAGTAGCTTGCTTGTTTTTGTCGATACTTGCTAGTTTTTATTCAGTTTATTTATGATCTGATTAAGCTTTCATACGCATGTTTGAATTGTTGATATCTCAGGTTGCGTTACACAAGAGAAGGTGATAGCAACGGACAGAAGACTTGGAAAATCGACCGTCTATCGCCGTAATTTGTTTCCATACATTTGAGGGAGGAGAGGGGAAAGCTGGAGTGCTTCAAATCTTGAGCAGCCCTTGGCCAAGACAATGTGGATGAAGGCAGCGTTATAGTACTGAAACGTAGGAGTGACTGATGAGCAGAGGTTACTTCATAATGCCAGTATTGTGATGTGGAGTTGAAGTGCAATGGAATAACATTTGGGTAAAATTAAGACTACATTCCTTTATGCATACATTATATCACAAGCTACATATGCAGTTAATATGAAGTTAGAGGAAGCATCTAATTACATGCTATGGAGCTATAGAGTTCAAATGATTCTAATGCAAGAAAATTTGTAGAGATTGATTGAAACATCTCTATCCATTCTTATCAACACCAAAAAATGTTACAAACTCATTTGTTGGTGTAGTTGCACCTACAAATTCCACCACAATATGACAAGATCAAATCAATACAAATATAGTAGTTTCTAATATTCAAGACAATATTATTGTCATATCATCACCTCTATGATATAAGAATCCATTATTCCTCATATCATTGGATTTCTTCAATTTCAAGTCATTTGGAAACAATTACAAACATTACAAACATTGTATGATGTACAAAATGGAAATAGAGAGTTTGCCTAGAGAAAAAGTTGTATGCAATCTGCTTATTAGAAAAGAAAAAAATTAATTAAGCAAGCAAGTATTTGCAAGAAATTAATTTTCTATTTAATTAGTTAGCTAGAATAGATGGTGCCATATGTGATAAAGACTTTGTTGCTTTAACTTTAAGTAGTCTACCAAGGAGCTAGGCTACCTTCAAGCAAATTCAAAAAGGAAGACTCAAGTTATCTACTTTTTATGAATTAGAAGGGATATTGTTATTGAAAGAAGTTTCTCGTGAACTTGAAAAAACCAAAGATAATAAAAAAAGAGGTATTATTCTCAAAAGGATATTTTTGTGACTTTGGACCTAAAAGACAAAGCTTTCATCAATATTATAAAGAATGCTCTTTTGGACATCATCACCAAAGAGATGGATATAATCATCATCTATTTGTAATAAATAATAATGTATTAAAGTTGGAATGAGGATCAAAATAATACATCACTTACCACAAATGTGGCGAACTTTGTCATTTTACTTGAGAGTATGATGTTAAGAACTTGGAGAATCAAATTGAACAAGTACAACTTTAACTACCAAAAATGAAGAAAAGTAGTCATACCAATATAATAGAAGATGATGATGATGAAGATTATTCAATAGAACCTTTAACTAAAGCTATTATAAATGCAAATTTTAATGCATATGATTCTGAGAACAAATAATTCTTGGACTCTAGACAAAAACACATGTGACTAAAAACAAACAATTGCTATTAACAATTGAAGAATCAAATATTTCTAATATTAAAAAAATTAAAGGGCAAAATATTCATATATTTGGATAGAATAATGTATTTCTTAAAAATTCATTTGAAAAAATAAAATAAGTGAAAAATATTCTTTATGTTCTAGGTTTAAAAATAATTTAGTAACAATTGAAAAATTTACAGATTTAGGACACATTATATTATTCAACTCTACATCATGTTATGTACTTGATAAAGTCAACCAAAAGAGTGTTAGTATATAAATCAATCAAGGAAAACTTTACCATATTATAGAAAAGGAAAATGACTTGTTCTTAGCTACTTTACTATTAAGAGAAGAAAGCATCAACAAAACAACAAACAAGGTAAAACAACCAAATAAACCTCAAAGTTTTAAAGAAATTATTCAATTTTAGCATAAGAGGATCGGTCATTTCAACTTTTAGTCCTTGTATCTCTTATCTAACCAAGGATTGGTTAGTGAGATATTGCACATATCCTTGTGGAAAGAATTGTGTGTAAGTTGTATACAAAGAAAATTACATAGAGAACACTTTCATAAGAAGAGAAGTTGATTGTGTGGCATATTACTATATACCCTTAATTTTCCTGTGATAAATCAGAGTCAAAAGCTTTATGTATAATATGTATTGGCTACAACAAAAACAGCCAAGCATATTGTTGATATAATTTCTCAAATAAAGGATAATTATTTCTAGAGATGTTATTTTTAACAAGAAGAAATTCGACCCAATTTTTTTTTTTTTTTTTTTTTTTTTTTTAATCTTCTACTCCATTACTAAAAGGAAATTTTGACTTGTTCATTAATGAAAATATATTATCTAACAATATAATAGAAAGAATTATTAACCCTCTTTTTACCAAATAGTTAGTAATAAAATCATTCGAAAATTTACAAATGAATGGGTCTATGACATGCATTTTAAATGCAAAGAGTAATATATCAAAATTTCATTGATGAATACAATTATGAACCTTCTCTCAAAATTGCTCTTCTTGTTTACAAATCTACAAGGCCTAGGAAAACAAACAGCAAACTAGATGATTATAATGTTTATGTTTCAATTGAAGATTATTACTTGTATCACTTAAATTTAGAAGGTTTCAATGTTTATTCTACAGAAAGTGAAGAAATGAGCTCAAAATGTGAAAATATCGACTCTACTCAAGCTTATAATGATTCAAGTTTTAAAAAAAAATGGAAGAAAAAATGGACTTTATAATTAGTCATGAAATTTGGACATTGGAAGCATTACCTGAAGAGAAGTGGACCATATCATTAAAGTAGATATTTAAACTCAAACTTGGAATCAAAAACCAACCACGCATGAAAAAGGCAAGATTAGTTGTTAGAAGATTTGAACAAAGAAAAGTTATAGAATTTACAAATATTTTTTTCTAATTATTAAATGGTTTATAATTTGAACTACTACAACATTAGTTACAAAAAATAATTAAACAATACATCACATGTAAAAATAGCTTTTCTAAATGGTATTTTTAAGGAAGAAGTTTTCATGACTCAACCAACTGGTTTTATTTTATCCAGAAATGAGGGACTAGTGTTCAAACTATAAAAACTAATTTGTGTGCTTAAACAATTATCCAAGACTTTATATGAAAGAATAGATGATGTACTAAAAAAATATACAAATAAATGAAAGGTAATTTTGATGCAAACATGTATTACATGCACAAGAATGGTGATATTGTTATACTTATGCTATATATATTGGCATTTTTTTGTTACTGAGAATAACATCAAGCTTATTACATGGTTAAAAGATTACCTTCAAAGCATGTTTGATATGGTTGATCTTAGAATCATTCAACACAAAATCCAATGTCTTGTGCTTAAACTAAATGCATTAAAATTCATCATCATTTTATCTGTGAAAGAATGCTAGAAGGCAAAATTCAATTACATTATGTCAATACCAATCAACAACCTGTGGATTTGCTTACAAAATCCTTGGGCAAATATTAAATTCAAGCTACATTATCAAGCCCTTGGCATACAAGGATTATCCTCATTAAATGTGTTTTATTTTATGCAAAGAGAACTGCTGACTACAAGCATATACTAAAAACAAGTTTACTTATATACATATAAAACCATATATTAGCTTGTGGAAAAAAAAAAAAAAAAAAAAAAAAAAAAAAAAACTCACCTTGTTAAGTATGCTCAGTAGTAGACTATTCATTGGCGACTCCATTGCAGCATTTTTCACAGTGTGTTATAAGCCAAGGATTGCACCTTGCAGTCATGGATGCGAGATTGATTTAATTAATAGATTGATTACAGTGCGAAAGAGCACACATACTAAATCTTAATATTAATATCATTTTGAATTTTGGTTGGAATTTTTTTAATAATATCAACATCTTTATTATATATATATATATATATATATATATATATATATAATATTTATATCAAAGATATAGAAACACATCATGTGGTTGTATGGGTCCTTTGTAAAATATTTTACTTCATTAAAAAAAAAATGTGATATTATCTCGTTTGCTTTTTCAAATAAAAACCAAAGTAATTTAATTTTACAAACTTTTAGTTTTTGTAGAGTATTACAGAATTCTATCAAACTTAGGAATAGAAGAAGGAATTTTTTTATAACAAATATTTATTTAAGAGACAAAAAGCTTTTCGATCATGCAGATTTGAAATTCTTTTGGAATAGGTTTAGTTTAAAAAAATTAGTGTGTTTTGATTGATAATAAAAGAATGCCAAGTGGTTCACATGGAGTGAGGTGATGAGAAAGCTATTACCTATGGGAGAAGGAGCCAAAGGCTAAAGAAAGAAATGAAAAGAACTTGAGTATCTTATGAATACAAAATTGCATTTGTCAAAGTTTGACCCTAAGACCTTAATCATAATAATTAATACATTATGTATTCCTCTACTATTTCTAGTGCTTCCCATAGCCAACTAAAAAAATTATTTAAACAAATAAATCCTTAACTCTTGTTAATTGTTCACATGAAAACTTGGAGCAAGGGATTAAAAGAACTAAATCCTATGAATGATAATCTGCATGATCGAAAAGCTTTTTGTCTCTTAAATTGGGATTGGTAGAAATCATTTGTACATCCTAATTTGAGAAGATTTTTGTAGCATTAGGTCTTGTGTAATTATGATAGTTGTAAACATATATGTATTGTTTTAAACTTATTTTATTCTTTTAAATATATTACATTCTATGTATTGAAATTTTAATAGAAATAAAATATAAAAAAAATTATACACAATGGAAGGCAAAACTTTTATGATAATTATGGACACACTTATGCTAAGAAAGCATACAATTGAAAGAAAAAATATATATATATATATATATATATATATATATTTATAATTTATATAAATTTCTATAGTCGTATTATAAATTAAATATGATTTTTGAAATATGATTAACTCTCATATTAAAAAGATGAATTTGTAAATAAAATGATATTATTTAAAAGTTTGAAACTTGTAAAATATACATAATAAGTGGCATATATAAATTTTTGACATATTTTATTCTTTATATTTTTTAAATTTTATTTATATATAGATATGTGGTAAAAAATACATAAAAAATATATTAATGAGTAATATAATTAGTTTTGTTTTTTAATATTTAATTATGTTATAATATAATTTTAGAGTAAATTATACAATTCCAAATCTTAATAAATTATTTAAATATTATTCCTTGGAATAGTTTGAATACACCTAATTATTATATAATTTTAAAATTTATTAATAGACAACATTACATTAACTAATAAGAATCTTGTCCTAGGTTTTGAAAGTATTGTCAAATTACTAAGAAGGTAAACAAACTCACAACAGTGTAATTACTACATTCCAAATGGTTGCATCTAATACAAATAAAATAATGCAAAGAAAGTTTATAAAACATGCTATTGAATAAAAATAAAGTTATGTATAAAAATAAACAATAGTAACATTAAACAATTGATGCTTGTTTATATATATATATATAGATATATATGATTTTTTTTCTAACTTTGACCAAAAAAATGTATGTATGTAAGTATATATATATATATATATATATATTTATATAGTCTCAATAGCTATCTAATTTCTAGACTTCTTTTTTGAAAGAAATCTGGGTAACTTATATGCATAGTAAATTTTACATTTTAATTTTCCAATATTTATTCTACTTGGTGACCGTTTGATTATGTATGCAAACGAATTGGCCAACTTGCAATAGTCAAGATACATTCAATTGTTTAATGACTCAGAAATAGTCATTTGTGTGTACCTCTTCTATAAAGGTGTGGGTTACGAAAAGACTGTACAACGACACAGTAAAATCAGAACCAAATTGATAAAAGAAAATCAGTGCCAGTTGGTGACATACAATAAGACATTCCGAAGTGGAGAAAGGAATAGTAAAGTCACTTTCATGACATCGAGGCGACATTTCTACTTTAATATACAAGACTCTCACATACACATGGAGAATGAAAGAGCGTTTCCATTGAAAAACACACACACGCACACTCACACTCACACTCTCTCTCTCTCTCACACCCACCCAAGTTCCATTCTTAAACGCTATGTCAAAACAAAGGCCAAAACGTATTCCTTACAAAGTGACGAAAAAGTATCTTATTCCTCGTCAGCACCCGACGCAAGGGGGGTCGCAGCCTTGGCGAGAGGGGGGACCACCTCAACCGTCGCCATCGCCACGTCGACTCCACGTCGACTCCACGTAGGCAGGGGCACCGGGGCAGTAAAGGCAATGCGGGAAGAGCGGCGTGCTTCTCCGACATGGCTGCTGCTGCTCATTCTGCCCACTGCCCCCCACCCACCCACAATCACCAACACAGGCGACCCAATAATTCCTCGTTGCATCATTCGCTTCCTTTCTATGCTCGCCTACTTCTACGAATCCTGACCCAATACCCCACGAGCTTGCTGGAAATCCCCCGCTTTTCAATGATGGTCGACACCGTGCCATCGTTGGGATGATGTTGTTGAGGAGGAGTTGGTGTCGTTTCGATGCGTAAACTTCTTGTCTGCGGTGCGGCGGCTCGAGTGCAGTTGGATTATTTTCCAGTTGGGACTTGCGGGGAGGAATGTCGGGATCGGTTGGAAAGGTTGAAATTAGAGGAGACATGTGCCGCTGGTAGTGGGTCGAGGTTTTGTGTGAGTGTGTGAGCTTTTAGTAGGTGACAGTTGAGATGGCGCCATTGTGCAGCGCGAACGTAACGTGGCAGCATGGATGCGTGGAGCGCACGGAGAGGCAGAACATGTTGAATCAGAAAGGATGCGTGGTGTGGATCACTGGGTTGAGCGGCAGCGGGAAATCGACCGTGGCGTGCGCCATGGATCACGCGCTTTCGCGTATGGGGAAGTTGTGTTATGTGTTGGATGGGGACAATATCCGGCATGGGTTGTGTAAGGATTTGGGGTTTTCGGTGAAGGATCGGGAGGAGAACATCCGGCGGGTTGGGGAGGTGGCGAAGCTGTTTGCAGACGCGGGGCTGGTCACGATTGTGAGCTGTATCTCGCCGTACAGGAGGGACAGGGAGTTTGTTCGTGGGTTGCTGAACAAGGGAGACTTCGTGGAGGTGTACATGAAAGTTCCGCTCTCCATTTGCGAGAAGCGGGACTGCAAGGGCTTGTACAAATTGGCCCGGGCGGGGGTAATCAAGGGGTTCACGGGTATTGACGATCCTTACGAAGTGTCGGACAAACCTGAAGTGGTCTTGGAGGCAACGAATGCAGCAGGGGAGCTCGTAACTCCCGATTGCATGGCGGAAACCGTGATTGACTCTCTAATTGGCTATGGCTTGCTTTCAAAAGAGCTGGTACGGCACGGGTGCATGTGTGTCGATCGCGATCTTTCGAGTGCCCCCACTGCGGTGAAGAAACGCTGATGTTAGTCGAGCGGCTACTTTCCCACGGAGACCAAGGTCGGCACAGCGACTCACGATGTCGAGACGGCAGCCTTTTCGTCTCTCACATCAAGACGTTCGCACAGAGTTAGTGCATCACCCTACCTTGTCAGGCAGGACGTAGAACTCTCGGTTTCTTGAACATAGAGCCGCTAGATACTCACAAATTGTTTTTGACCTCCCAACTTTGGATTCATTCTAGCTCAAGCATGCCTCGTAAGGATCGATATTTGACGAGGTGTCGGGGGATTCATCACGTTAGGAATCAGCGTGGGGTTTTGTCTGCTTCCGAGGCGACCCCTCGACGCTGCTGTACTCCATACCCCTCAATCCTACACCCAGCATTCTCGTAATCACCCCATAGCCTCTCCCTTGGTATGAACTGGTGGAATTTCCGTGGCACACATGCAGAGCCGTTACACAAGCACCGCGGTTCGCGTCCGTCGAAACCAACCTGCATGTACCCTCAAAGCCAATGCTGCTCCTGCTGTTGTTGCTGTTGTGCTAGCAGCAGCAGATGGAGCCCAGCGTTGAAGAGTTTCGTTGCAGATGCTCGACCTTTTCGCGCTCTGAGCAAATTCCGCAAAAAGGCTGAATGGAGTTCAGCAAACCTCACCGCGACCGCGTTGCGCTCATCGGCACAGCACGCCCCGCTTTTTCGTACCTTGTAGATGAATGAGGATGAATGTAGGATAAAATATCCACTTACCTCTTCACATATGCCTTCGTTTTGTTTGAGGTTTAGTAAACCTAATTTTGGAGGTTATGCATGCATTTGAAGTTAGTACAAACGAGTTGCTATGGAGTTTTATGACGTTTTGTCAATTGCATTTATATGAACACGTGCGTGTGGAAATTTTTTATGTTGGAATTGTGCGTTGTAAAAATCAAGGAGTTACCCTTTTTGATTTGATTATTGAAGGTTGTGGATCATGCTATTAATACATACAACTCATACCACTTGTGACTTGTTATTCTTTTGAGAGAGGAAAAGTCTTGTGCTTCTATTAATGATCATATGGGTGCAAGACTTTTGTGGTATTGCACAATGAATCATTGTAGTGGTTTTTAATTATATACATGAATACTACTGTTTGAGTAGCTTCCAAAAAAAAAACGAGAAATAGTCTCTTGAAAATTTTAAAGAGATGAGGTCATATAGTAATTGACTATGAAAATGTATTATTTCGCATTTTTCTTAAAGCCAAACATGTAAGATTATACATATGTATCTATTAATAGTTATGGTTGTTCAAATTCTTTAGGTGGAACTTAACTTTGATTGCAAATATTGATGATTTTTCTTTAAGTATATATATATATATATATATATATATATTTATATGTGTGTGTACTTAAAATTGAAAAATACAGATACAAAATAAAAAGGCCATTTATAGCATAGGCATACCTACAAAATATTCTTTAGAGCCTTATATGTTGAAGATATAGAAAAACATTTCCTTAGATTATTTATTTATTGAGAATGTTTTTTCCATTCTTCTATAAGATTACTCTGAACACACATGTTTTTTCCCAGAAGCATTCAACTTAGAATTGGTAATACTGTGTATGTAAAATTAACAATCTACTTTCTTTACTGATTTGTTTAATTTTATGAACTGAAGAATTCTCCACAGTTATCTTTCTATTACAGACATTAGTGGCAAGACTTAACCTAAATCATCAATTATCTGCAACGATTGTCGTTTCTTTGAATGGAAGCTACGAACGCTCATTTTGAAGAAATCATGTCAATTTAATGAATTGTTTTCATTGCCGACATTTCATCTTTCAATTTTTTTTTTTTTTCTTTTTTTTAATACTATAATGTGATTTCCTTGTTCTTTTTACATACTACTTTCCTACGAAAACTTGTATGGTAGTTTATTAAAAAACATATATCGCATTTTACATTTCGTTTACCATGTTTTGCAAAGTTTTTGTGGAGCTGCACGGACCAACCCTCAGAGCCCAACACTTTCCTAAATCAAAATCTAACTTCCAGATCCTTCCAAATTCAGACAATTTTTCCACGTCAGCAAAAGAATATAGTAAAAAAAACAAACAAACACATGTTATTAGGGCTGCCACATCACCACTTGTCGCCACACTTGTCTTACGTTCGAATTGTCTCGCCAAAGTTGGATTGTGAAAAAGAAAACTGACAACCCACAAATAAATAAAAATACAGAAAAGTGCATAAAGGACATCCTACAGCGATGCTCGAGAACTGTGCCATATATAACGCAATATCTTATGATAGTCATGCGGAGATCATTGACTAGAGGCTCATTCATATATGGTCGTGTGCAATTCAGTGGCTACGGTCAATAAATTATTTCATGTAAGTTCAATGAATGGTGTCAGGGATATTCATTTCGAAATTGCTTTCTGTAATTTTTCCTCCATAAATATATACCTATTGCGTTATCTCGATGACCTTTTCATGCTTTTTACAAAGTTCCTATAATTTATTTCAAGATCTAGGTCAACAAAAATGATCATATATATATATATATATATATACTATTTCTTAAAACTTTTTACGTACTTTGAAACAACTATTCATGTTCCTTGTTTTGTCTCAGAATTTGAAAAAACAAATCATTATTCTGATGGCTTCTTTATTTTAAGTTTTTATTTATTTGTATTTTTGTAAAATTTACACATAAATTATTGGCTATTACTTTGAAGGATGAATATACAACCCAATTATGAGCTTGACTTTTATTGGATTAAAGATGGTTCATGTCATTCTCTTTTTGATAACTTAGTACTTTACATGTTTTAATGTGAATTTTCCACCTCTAAGCAACAATTGAGCCATGGTTAAGATGTTTACAATAAAGGTATTAAAAAAAATGTACATGAAAACAAACAAGGAATTTTCTGGGTAACCTAGAACAACATGGATTTATATCAAAACCTTACCAGTAAATATTTTAAAAACTTGCACAGATGATGGTGATTCTTTTGATAATTGTTCCAATTGTTGGTTAGGTCTTTGCAACAACACTTTATTTGTATCTTTTTATACATGCATGCATATTTGATTGTAGAAAAATGCAATTAATAGATAGAGTGGTACTCAGATAATGTTCATATTTGTATCAACTATTTTTAAATCTTAATTAAAATCCAACAAAAAAAAATTGCCTGATTCATGCATCTGAATTACAAATCATTTAAACTTTAATAGTTTGAACTACATTCTCATGATATATTTATTTTTTGAACAAATATTGTGTCTCTAAAATGTGAAAGGGTGTTTATTATATGATTTTTTTGTGTATACTACTTAAAAAAAAATTAATGCATATTCCAATAAAACTATAGGTATATATATATATACATACATACATATATATATATATATATATATATATATATATATAATGTTCATGCATACATCATAATCATTATTACTATTTTAAAATTTATTTTTAAAAGTTTAATTCATTAATCCGAATTTTTGGTACAATATAATACTAAGTTAATATACTCGTATACTTAAAAATAAAGTAAAACTTGGTATATTAATATAATTCGGTTTGATCTTGCTATTGATGATTATAATTGTATGGTTGAGATATCCAAACAAAGCTTTAACAACTCAACGATGACCTCAACATTTACATGTAACACAGGCAAAGTATTCAAACGTATATGTATATATATATATAAATATCTAATTATACTCAATCAAAAGCACGTAGGACACTGCAATTATAGTTTTTTGTTGCAAATTCCAATCATATATATATATATATATATATATATATTCCTTCTTCTTCTTATTATTTTTTCTAAAAAACATCCCACGTTGCAAGAGAATCTCCACTAAATTGCCCTCTAAGTGGGCTAATCCTAGGCAGCAATTTAACTCAAAGTCAGCCAATCCGAGGTCCCCAATTGGAAAATGAGGACCTCGTCTGATTCGACATCTGGAATGGGACTCCATCTCATTCGTTAGGAAGTAGCTGGGGTGCCGGTTGTGTGGAAATTCACTGCTATGCCACCTCAGCACGGACCGCTGCTTCCTGGAAATTACTACGAAACTATGGTTTTTGTAAGGACCATAAAATACATGACATTTTGGAAAATTTATTATTATTATTATTATTATTTACATTAACTGTGGGGGGATTCTTTTATCAGCGACGTGTATCTTTTTAGAGAAATTACATATATTTATAAGTTTACATTAATGCAACTCTCTACCATTCAATGTCGGCCATGAAACCTTTAAAATTCACCGATCAATCCCACTAATCGAAGATCATAAGTTGAAACAAGGGGTTAGTCATTGCATCTATGCAAGTTTAATTTACCTCGAGCTTTTCCCACCCTTAAGATGACAACATAATTGTTTACTCATGCTTCAATCACCAAGCAAAGACGTGACTTGAACTTCGTAGTACTATTCTTCACCAAACGATATTTTATAATTATAGGATTTATTCACCTTTGAAGATAGATAACACACAATGGAAGGTTCGAAAACGTATTATATTACAAGGAATACTACTTACTTGATTTGCATGATAACCAGGTTTAGTTTTGATTTCCTAAGTATGGAATATGAATATAATTTCCTTTTGTTTAAGCTCCATTCCCTTGTGTGAATCCCACAGGTCTCGCAGTCGCCGCCAGAACACGGCGACGAGAAATGCTGGTCGAAGTGGGCGGCGTCCAGAAGAGGTGGTCGGCGATCGGCGCGCGGGTGGAGCGCCGCGTTTCGAGACGCCCAGCGCGTGCTCGCGCGCGGGGGATGCGAGAAAATAGCCCTCTCACCCCGCTCGCAGGATCCTCGAATTCGCAGGAGCTGAATCTGGGTTTCGCCACTGGTGGGATTTCGCTACAGAATGCTGTGAAGTCTGCGCCCCAGTCGGGACAAGCTGCAGACACTGCAATCGGCTGGTGGCTCCGCCGGGTGGCATCTCGTTGTGAAGCTTCGCAGCTGCAAGCTCCGGGCAAGTTTCTATCGTATGTCAGTTTGGTGTTGGAGCTGCGTGGTGTTTGTTGTTCTTGGAGGAGGAGGAGTAGGTAGCTGCGAACAAGACCATCTGAGAGGAGGAGGTCGATCAGTAGGTGAGTTGTGTGTTTTTGGTGGTCTTGAATCTGCGTGTTTGTCATTTGCTTCGTCGGTAGGTGGGTTTGGGGGAGTGTGAAGGGTGGGGCGTGACGAGCACTGGGAAAAAGATCTTCGATGGGTTTTGCGTCGACTGGATTCCTTGCACGAGGCGGGTTCTTGTGTGTGAGAGCAGGTGAGTCGGTTACCCTTGTTCTCGAGGGGTGCCGGGAGCTGATGGCAATTGCACCGTGAGAAACATTGAGTATGCGGGGTTGTTTGTTGGGCTGTTTGCTGAGATGCTGCAATTAGAGTTCGCGTGTTTTTATATTTTCATAAGATGGTGGAAGTCTAGAAGGTTTTGTGTCGGTAGAGTGGGAAGTGTCACTCGACCTCGACAGTGAAGCTGTTCGATATAATCTTGTAGCGGTTGGAGTCACTATCGTGGTAGTCTGAATTTTGTGTCTGGCGTTCAATGTATCCTCGTTATTTGCTCTTTTCGATCACGTACTTCGTAAATTCTAGAAGCGATGCTTAGTATGGGTTTTCCATCTTGTGATTCTAGAAACAGCGTGAATGCAGTAGGTTCTCTGCTGTAATGCTGAAGCGTGGTTCTCTTATGCAGAGAAGCCTTGACTCTCACTTTCGATCTCGAGTTGTAATCGTGGTAGAGAGCTGGGTAGGGTTGGATTATTAAGACAGGCTTAAGGGATGATCTTTTGTACGAACCTCTTGGAAGTTGGAGGCAAAGAATGGTTAAAGGCTGACAATTAGTTTCTTTTTCAGGGTCAAAGTGTGCCTAACTGCTCCAGTTGAAGATGATATCGATCTTCTCGTATTGTATCTGGTAACAGTCACGCTTGGATGGACTTTGCCTCCATTGCAAAGGTCTTGCCTACAACAAGTGGCCGGAATGCAAACGTAGGGAGTTTTCAAATGAGGAGGGGTTCTGGCAGTTGTCCAAAAAATCAAAGTTCCTTGCCTTTTATGCAATGATCTGAGAATTAGCTGCCATAAGTGTCTCATGACATAAGCCCGATTGACAGTTGCGAGGACCCATGTGCTTCAGTACGTAAATTAGGGTTTGAAGCAGTGGGGGCAACTGGGTATTGAGTTATGGAGAATTTCGCTGGGATACCGACAAGTGACATCCGTCAGAATGGGGGAAAAGATCTTGAGGTGAGTCTAGATGCCTCTCTGAATTTTACTTTAATTGAACGTATCTGAGCTTTTAACCGAGTGAAGTAAGTTCTTCTAGCTTACAGGCAGTAAACCCGGTCATATTTTGTATTTCGCAGAATTGACGTGGGATTTTTTGCTTTATGAGTAGTCAACGAGAGCGATTTTTGAATACGCAGCAGCTTATGTTCCCTGCACATTGTTTGTCTGTCCATGCCAGCTGATAGCTCTAGTGGAAGGGACTTCATCGCCTTTAGACTCAACATTGCACAGAAACGATATCTTTCTGAAAGATGAACTTGTACGTCAACCCTCATGCAATATGAGAGACCGGCCTAGAAGCTGGATGGGCAAATTGCCAACTTATGTATCTCGGAGTATGGGTCATGTATTGTTCGGGACGAAGTTGAATTGGCTGCTGTTATGTGTTCCCTTAGCGATGATTGGTGGCCAAGGACTATTTGGACATGTAAGTCTTCTCTTGTTTACTGAATAAATTCGTCAAATTCGGAATCTTCTTTGTCATGTTTCGCTCTGCTGTTGGCTATGAGGACATTTAGCTCTATCGAAGGCTTGGATTCATGCACCATAGAGGATATATTATCTTACAAAGATTAAAGATGGGATCTTTCACATTGAGTACACTAAGGCGTGGTTATGTTTGTTCTCTAGGGCTGGGTTTTCGCATTTAGTTTACTTGGTATGGCTCCCTTGGCTGAGCGACTTGGATTTGTCACCGAGTGAGTTGCTACATTCTTTGCTATCATGGCTCTTTTCCATTGTACTTATCGATTTCCATCCTCTTATGGCGAGAAAATTTTGTGAATGAACATATTGTTGTGCTTGCTGTGGTTACTATCTATTCTCCCGCGAATATGAGTTACATCAACGCAGCATGAATTATACTAGTTTCATTCCGAGAAGAAAGGCCTAGAATCAAGGAGGTAGTCGGATGATAATCTGAATCCTTATTTGCAGCATACTAATAAGACATGCTGTTGCTTTTTGCAGACAACTGTCTTTTTTCACTGGTTCGACAGGTAATTCTCGGCGCTTGCAGCTTTATGATGTGTCTTAGAGTTGATGTTTTCTCTATCCATTTATTTGGTTTAAAGTGGATCTCGACGCTGCTATAATTTTTAAGGTTTGAAATTGATCCTTATATGGAAACTCACGTTTCGCATTTATATGACATTTTATACTCGTAGCTTATGCTTAATTTAAGTTGTTAACGGGTAATGGGAGGGTGGTTGATTGATCTAAAGCTCCTATCTCTCTCTCTCTCTCGGCTAAAGAATGGTTTTTTTCACTTGCAGTTGGAGGTCTTCTGAATGCGACTTTTGGCAATGCAACGGAAATGATTATATGCATCATTGCTTTACGGAAGAAAATGATACGAGTTGTACAGTTATCACTGTTAGGTTCCATTTTGTCAAACATGTTGCTGGTTCTAGGATGTGCTTTTTTCTTTGGGGGCCTGAAACACTCTCAGAAAGATCAGAAGTTTAACAAGGTATGTGCGCTGCAGAAACTGATTACATATTTCGGATCACGTCTATTGGAGAGGTTTAATGTGATGCTCTTTTTGCTGTGGGTATACTCTCCGTGTGGTGGGTTATCTAGCGTAGTGATCTTCTCTCATTTGTTAAATTGAATCAGTCCTGAGAAGTTATGGATGTCATCTGTTGTAGGTTACTGCCCAGGTCAGCGCAAGCCTGTTGTTGATGGCAGTCATGGGTCTTCTATTTCCTGCCGTCCTTCATGCTACTGGTACCGAACTGCAAATTGGAAAGTCTGAGCTTGTTCTGTCGAGATTCAGCAGCATTATCATGTTGGTAGCCTATATCGCCTACCTGTACTTCCAGCTTAAGAGTCACAAAGAGCTTTATGATTCAGAGGAGGTGATAATCATATTACCCCCCCTTGCCTTCATCCACTAAATCCTGTTAATGATCTTTTCTTCGCATTACGAGTTCCCTGTTTGAGTAGGTTTGCTTTGCTCCGACTTATCTCTGTCTCGTGTGCTGAAGTTTTGTTTCTTGAATATGATGCTCAAAGGTATCTTCGTTGCTTTCTTCTCTTTTTACAGGATGCAGTAGATAATGATGGTGATTCCGACGAGGGCGAGGCTCTGCTGTGTTTCTGGACTTCAATTGGCTGGCTCACTATTCTGACTATCTTTATCTCAATACTGTCGGAGTATTTGGTTGATGCCATCGAGGTTTGTTTTGCTCTCATTTCAATATACTATTTGGTCATACCTGCAACTGTCGGTTGCATTTGAGGTTGGATAAAAGTGCGATGTGGCTTAAAACTAAATCATAGAGTCTATTCTTACTGATGTGTATGTACCGGCATATTGCAATTGGAGCAAATAGTTACAGATAGCAAAATGTCTAAACAATTCTTTATAATTTAAGGCTGGTGTTGGCCCTGGCCTTAAAGATCGTGCTCTGATTGTTTTCAAACTCTTCTTTCTTCTACTAAACTTGCATTCTTTTTGTATCGTGTGAAGGGTGCTTCGAATGCATGGAATGTACCCATTGCGTTTATAAGCGTTATCATATTGCCGATTGTTGGAAACGCCGCAGAGCATGCGAGTGCTATAATGTTTGCCCTCAAAGATAAGCTGGTAAGTCCTCTCGTGATGGTCTAAGCCTAGAAATGTTACTAGACAACAACGTGATATTCATGAGAGCTTGACATTTCCAAGCCCTAGTCAATAATTCATTCCTTCGCTGGTCGTCAATCATCGACTTTGTTGTGTAAACTCATTGGCTTCGATTTTTGTCTTCGTCTTGTTCACATTTTTCTTTCTGGCAGGATATCTCGCTTGGGGTGGCTATCGGTTCTTCCACTCAGATCTCTATGTTTGTGGTAAGTCCCAGCAAGTCCCTCATGTAGTACATTCAACTCTTAATCTCATATTTGCAACTACTACACTTAGATACTCGTTGACTTAATGCAGCGCTGTTGTGCAGATTCCTTTTTGCGTCGTTATCGGGTGGCCCATGGAAACGCACATGGACCTCAACTTCGAACTGTTTGAAACCGCAACACTATTCATAACAGTTCTAGTGGTTGCTTTCATGCTTCAGGTGAGCTGTCACTGCTGTTCCCTTCTTTCTTTAGAAATTGATAGAAATGCATAGTTCTCGGTTAAATTATAAGCACATTCGTGATTGTTTAAAACACTAATGTTTTTTTGTGTAAACTTTTGACAGGAGGGTACTGCAAATTATTTCAAGGGTTTAATGTTAATATTATGCTACCTAATAGTTGGAGCAAGCTTCTTTGTCCATGTCGACATTCCAGACAAGCATCGTGCGTAGCTCATCCTTGAATTTTTAGTTTAAAATGTTCTGGAAATTGTGATTGTGTGGTTTTACTCATTGATTTTTCTTAAAATTCTCTTGATTGTTTACATGTGCAGCTGGGAGTTAAAGGATCCATTCGGACGATGCTACCTTTTTCCAACTACCGTAGCGATAAAAATGACGAAGCCCCTCTAGGAAGGCCCTGCTGGAACGAACACAGTCCAACGGGTGCCACTAATGTGGTAGCTTTTGGGACAGCCTTTTCTGCGGGTTTTCAGCCTCTGTACTATAAGTCTCTGTGCACTGTATGTGCCGGAATTAGTTGTTCCAAGCGATTCACTGATAATTGCATACTCGATGCACATTCTTTCAAGTCTCCGATAACTTTGTCCATGGTGGCTGAGGATGGACAAATGCTTGGTGTTTGTCGCCTGTTCACTCTTGATCATGCATTGGTTTCGTCTCACCATTCTCAACCGAGTCGGGAGAATTACCCTTCAGTATTACACAAATTCAACAGCAACAACGCTAAATTCATGACAAAATCAGCACCCCATTCGAAGCAAATCAAATATTTAGATGTTTCTCATTCTAACTACTGGGATAAATTACCAGTCGAACAAGTCATCAAGTGTTTTCTGATTGCAATTGGAATCTAAATTTTCCGAACAGTGATTATCCAAAGTGAATATCTTTTTCAAAAACATGAAATAAATAACCAAAGAAATTGAGCGTGTGCCATACATATGGTCAATCCATTTCACAGCAAGACACAAGTTGTGAGCACTTCAGTGGTGATTCCAAGAGTCGGTATCCAGCGAGGGTTGGACTGAAATACGTCGAGAATTGGCTGTGAAGATTCTTTTCTGGCATCGCCACACTCACTTGCTGTGATGGGGTTCCACATTTTTGCTGCGATGTGATTACAGACTCGATGTTTTTGCACATTCGAGCCGCGACCAAGGCTGGATAGGGTACTGATGCGCATGGTTATCAAGAGAAACTCCCCCTGAAACCCTCCCATGTCTGATTCGACCTGAACGTCACTATGCTGGACACACGTTTGTGGTACCTTATGCCTTGACTCGTTAAGGTACGAGTGCCTATGCTTTGATTCTGTGATTTCGCAATGAATCTCTTGGCACACTAGAAGAATCAGTTCTTGGGTTCAAACGGGATTCTTGTGTACGTAATTCAGATTGTTTTCAGCTCCTGACATCGGAAACACATCATCGCTCATATATATATTTGACGCACAGTGGGTGCATTATTTGTAGAAGGGTCGTCAATTTCAAGTGCTCCTTTTCTATAATACACAGATTGTCTTAGAGAATCGTACGTTAATCCCTGCGTTAGTTGTCTTGAAATTTGAGCTGGGATTGCGCATCCCCACTTATTCACTTTCCGAGAATAACTGATTCAGGAACGAGCCCCGTTGAAATACGCGAGTAGGGTCCCTTGCACATTCTGTTAAAATAAAGTGTTACTTAATAAGCTCTATTATTTTCTGTCTGTAGGGCCGCTGGTGAATGAAGCAGTTACCCGCTATGGGTAGGAATAGGATGAAACAGGTGCTCAGAAACTACTGGGTAAATGGCAGCTGTGTTCACCATCACTGGTGACGTCCTGCCTTGTACTCTTAAGTTCATCATCAAGATTAGACAACATTACTCCAATCCAGTTTTGTTATCGACAGCTTGTAGCTTATCTTCGAACTGATGCTTTTAAATGAAATTACAAGTCGGTGAGTATGAATGATGCGAAGCAGTTGCCTCATTTTTCTTTTTTCTTTTCCAGAAAAGGTATATTATGTCACCGGCACTGATAATAAAAGCCGAAGTTCTCACTTCAGGTTGAAAAACCTACTTTTTAAGTGGTTGTCATTGAGGATATGGTCAAGAACGGGAAGGTTGCACCTGATATTTGGGTTTCTGATTTTACTTCTTTTAAATTTCTTGTTGTATCCTTTCTAGCAGTCGTCTGACAGGCATCTAGTGACTTTTTTCTGTTCAACCTAAAATCGATATACTCAAGTTTTGGGATATTTTGGTTGCCCAAGTGTTTCTTGGAATCATCGAACGGCTGCTAATTACTGTTTCCAAGTTTTGACGGTTTGTTTATTCCTTGAAACACTAAGTAAAGTCAATGCAGAGCAAACTATGTGTCTTGTCATGGAAGATGCTCCATGAGCATGATTTCGTATTCTATTTCGTGAGTTTTAAGTTTTTTCTAAGAATAACGCTTACCGCAATATAAACGGTACGTGAAAGTATGCAATGTTATGATCTAAACATGCAGTCTCCTGAGATCATCGGTTTTTAGCGTTAGTGCTGAGACGAATGGTTGTTGAGGCGTCTATCATTTTCTTCACTTGATTGTCCATAATATACTCATGAGACTCTGGTATGATTTGAGGCGAAGCTGGTTGAAAACTTTGTTGTTAAGGTGGTACCCTCAATCTCCCATTTCTCTGAATCAAGGTTGCCTGAGCTGCTTAGGGCTAGCATGGAGGAAGGCAAGGCTGCAGGAATGCAAGTAATTGCTGTCCCTTCTATGCGATCAAAGGATGCCCCTTCAAGGAGCTGCTGTTACACACCCCTGCTTTTTTCTTTTTCTGTTTCTTTTTTTTTCCTAATGTGTCGTCATATGAAGATTTTATAGAACAGTTACGTGTGCCACATGTAGGGGTCACAAAGTTTGAGATCTCATGTTTGCATTACATGGTTGCAATGTGCAGGGAACCTTTCTACTTATGGTCTTTCAAGCCAGTTGTCAGACCACGTATATGTTTTCTATGCTGGCTGGGTCGACCTGGCAAACATAGATACGTACAAGATGCTGATGTGCGTAGGATAGAATTCTTTAATGACATAAGCCAGGGGGCAGTAGTAAGCAGTGGGTTTAGTGCTCCCTCATACTGACAGTACTTCGATCACGTGTCTACAAATCACGAACTACTGCTTACTAATGATGCGCCTGATGGCGTTTTCTCTACTTATAGGAACCACTGATGTTCCTCTCCTCTGAGGACTTCTATGAAGACCGTCAGCTTATTATTCAAGGGTGCATGCGCTCAGAGATAGATTCTCCTTAAATATGGTTCTTTATTAGCTTTTCATCCCCAACTTCAAACGCGGTTACAATTTCGGACCCGGCTTGTTCGATGAACTCAATTTTGAAGTGTAGATTTTCCTCCATGCCATCAATTGTGGGATACGGTGTAGTTATAGTTGGATTTCGTGCTTCTGTTCAGGTTGGGTTTCAGTTTCAGGCATATTTCATGCCACCTAATGTTTTAGTGCAGAACGTTTATGATTCTCCATTGTGGCAGTTGCAGAGATGGCACCGTTTTCAGACAATGCAAAAGACCGCTATCTTAACACTCCCTTTACTGCTAGTGTCACTTCGAATTAGAGCACATGAATGCTCACACACACACCTGCCCACCTACCAGCAAGCCTTAACAATTCGCAAATCTTCCTCTCGAGTGCGCATTTGTTCATTGCCATTTGTTCTCATGCTTTGTTAGTGGGAATTCGCAGGTGAACCGCACACCTTAGATGTGGAGTGTCCTGGAAGGATCGAAGCTTCGCACCATAAGCTCAAATTCCGGGGTTAGGTTTGCAGCATATCCGCCCGAATGTTGTGATGGTGATTCATGCGGTGTCTTAATCAAGTGAGGTATAATTCCTAGATCAACTTCTCATATATATATATATATATATATATATACACACACATACACAAACATACATAAATACTCATTGCAGCGCCACGATTTATGAGCCTCGAAATCCTTGTTTTGGCGCAACTCAACCGATGCATCGGCGCATATGGGGGACCCACTGATGATCGTGATTCTTATTTGATCGTCGCATACGAGCGCATGGCTCGAACCAGTAGCGTGCCCAGAATGATAACTTACTGACACTAATCACGCAAGGGCCACTGAAGTCCACGAGTTGTCCCTGCGTGACGTTTGTTCCACGCACCATCTCAAAGCGCCGCAATCTCTCAATGTGTCCAAAGATTTCAATGAGTCACTTACAGTCGCAGTGCGCTGTACCACCGGGTTTCGAAAAACTCCAGATTGCTCTGCTTAACCCCGATCATCTCTGCATTCTTCTACTGCGCTATGTGGGTCTCTTCTGCGACGCACCCGCGAGGTGATATATCAAAGCCTTCCGCAGGATTCTTACACTACCCACCAGTGGCATTCTTGGACTATCTAAACATCCGATTCTAGGTCTTGGATTCAGGTCAAACAATCCCACCAAGTAAAATGGTGATGCAATCTTTTCTTCAATAATCTTAGAGTAGATTCTCAGACTGTAACTGGGCACTACCTGAAGCGAGGAAAATTGATGCCCTATCAACTTATGAGTCGGTTCGAGATATCTAGAATGGGTGATGATAGTGTAGAGGTCAGAGCATCGGCGTGTTGATAGATTGGAGCGCGGTTCAAATCCCTCATCAGCTCGGTTTCATCGTGAACCATTGCTTCGCTGCCAGCTCTACATCTAGTCGCTTCTAGCAGTGATGGTGGCGCTGTGGTCGCTGGCTGTGGCGTTCGTCCCGGCGATCGCGTGGCTGCTTCTCAAGGGAGAAAATGATTCACCCGACCAAAAGGGCTGTGTTACGAAGCCAGTGAGAGGCCGTCGACACTTTTTGGACACCGCAGCGCAGCGTCGCGTTGCAAGGGAAGAATTCTACCGCGACTTCAAGAATTTCGACTACAACTGTCCTCCCGTAAGCGCACACTCTACACCCTTCTTTGGGTCTTTCTAATGAATTTTCTCTTCTCCTCGATAATGCGTCTAGCGGCTGGCACTTCGTAGGTACTAAGTAGGCTGGCTGGCCGACCGATTGAGGATAATTGTGAAATCAGGCCCATGAGTAGAGAACTTATGCAGCGGTTAACGGTCTGAATGGAGATGACATTGTTGTGTAGCCGCTGATTTGGTTCAACCGTGTTGCCCTTGTTGTGTGGATTGACAGCACAGTGATCTAGACAAAGGTCTCAACGTTGAAGAGGTAAAAATATTTTCCTAACACTTTTTCTGCACTTTTTCAGCTTGGCGCACCAGTCAACGGTAGTATGTTGCGACATTCTTCTCGAATTAATCCCTAGAATTGAAGATATGAACACTTGTTTAGTTGATATCGATGAAATTGTAACAAACGCTTGAACAAACCTACTGTTGCAGTGGATCTTGATGATGAGTTTTGTCAAGTCTGCTCAAATAACTTTCCTCTCGTGATTTGTTCTAAGATCCTCTTTCTCTTCAGATCCTCGCAGACAGATGCCAGCTAGTTGAGATCTCCATGAGGTCGCTCGAAACCCTGGAATTCAGGGGTTGACTTGAACGTGCTAATTATCTTGGGTGCCTCAATTAGCATTGCAGAGAATGTCTGTTACTGGGATGGAGAATTTTTGTGTTCAGCAGCGTCAATATGCTATTTCTTTAATATGCCAGCTTATTGATCGCAGAAATATGTACTGAACTCGAAGGGCAAGGAGATTTTCCTCAAGAGCTGGGCACCTGCTCACAAGCCGCTCTATGGCGTGATTTTTCTGTGCCATGGTTATGGAGACACCGTCACCTATTTTTTGGAAGGTACATCCGTGTGATCGTGTTTCTTAGCTGCTCTAGCATATTATACGACTCTCCGCGCTTTCGTTATACCATCTCCCAGATCATAGGATTAATTTAGAAAGTACACATTCTGTTGATTTAGAGGATACAAATTAGGTCGCTAAAGAGTCTTTCTCGAACCCAGTAATGGCTTCTTATTTATTTATTTTTTATTTCGTTTTGTTTTTATGGCTGGTTGCGGTATTCCAATCTTTCAAAAGTAATATGAATTTCGTTTACATTTTTCACAATATGTTACTAAACCCAAATGTGCAACCTAATGTTATAGGTGTGGCGCGAACGTTGGCGTTAGCTGGATACGCTGTGCACGGCATGGATTATCCGGGCTTTGGCATGTCTGAGGGCTTGCATGGATATATACCCGACTTCCATGCTCTCGTGGACGATGTCATAGAGCAATACCGCGCCATTAAGGGTGATTTAGCTCACCTCACAGAATGCTTAATATGCTTCTCATAAGTTTTTGAAGAGATCACATTCTCTCTTTCTCTCTCTAGAATTGGCAACTGTGTTCAGATGAAAATGGTGGTTATTCTGGAATTTGTTCCCATGCAGAGCGCGAAGAGTTGAAAGTGTTGCCATGCTTCCTGTTTGGAGAGTCTCTGGGAGGTGCTATTGCGCTCGCGGTTCATCTGAAAAAGCCAAGCATGTGGAATGGAGCTGTTCTTGTCGCTCCCATGTGCAAAGTTGCAGACTCAATGTATCCTCCGTGGATACAGTTACAAATTCTGCTCCTTCTTGCTCGCATTGTGCCCAAGGCAAAGCTCGTGCCGGGCCAGGATATCGCAGCTCTCGGATTCCGCGACAAGGAGAAGAAGAAGTTGGTAAGTCCATGACAACTGCAATGCTTGCTACTGCGAGATCTTTACTGTGAATTAGAACAAGTGAATACCCTTGTTCAACTGATTGCGTATTGCTCTGTGGTGGTTTTTGCAACTAATAGTTGCGGTTGTTACGGTTTATGTCTGAACTCTGCAGCAATTTTGCAGGCTGATATGAATCCCGTTGCTTATATTGATAATCCTCGGCTTGGAACTGCACTTCAAATGCTCCAGATTACGGACTACATCGATAGCAAGCTGCACGAGGTTAAATCCGCATGACTGTTCAACCAAAAGCAACACATTCTGAAGTCATGCATCTCTGATATCTGAGCAATTTCCTCTTGTATGTTCGGAACTCGGTTTTGCTTTGAACGAATTGGCCATCCACTGTTCCTGCAGGTTACTTTGCCGTTTCTCGTGCTTCATGGTGATAGTGACCGGGTCACGGACCCGTCGATCAGCAAACTGCTCTACGAGAAGGCGATGTCCTCCGACAAGACGCTACAACTGTACGAGGATTCCTGGCATTGCATCCTGCAGGGAGAACCAGATGATGTGACCCGTCGCATCGTGGAGAACCTTGTATCATGGCTCGATGCTCACTCCGCAGCACCAAAGCTGCCGACACTCGACGCTAGTGAGAAAGAGCTCCAGAAAAGAGTTGATGCAGCTTCACCCAGTTTGCTCAGCTTTGGCAGATTGAATACTGCAACATAGACTGATTCGCAGGGATTCTAGTCGCATCTAACATTTTTACGATTGCTGCTCCGAACTAGCGGACCAACTAGTCGACATTCCAGAAGCTTAGGCCGTTCGGAGCATAGGGCTAGAAACCTCCTCAACTTCGAGGCCTCTTCTTCATTCTATGTTATTGTTCAATCTGTTGAAAGACTCTGTACACCCTGATACCATATACACCAACAGCATGTAATCGTCATTGGGTTGTTTGTTTGTACTGTTTCTTTTCATACTTTCAAAAAGATAGTCTCCATTACTGATTTCTGGCAGTCGTTCACCTGTCAAGTCTCGTCCAGGCCACTCGGTTTGACATGCACATTGGAACTAGATCATATGCCTGAAAGATTTTTAGGTAGAGCTTTAACAACATGGCATTGTATTACTTCTATACGAGTTTTGTTTTGCGGTATAATTATCTTGAAATCAAACATATGTTCTTGATTTCCTAGTTTAATACAGAAATACAGAAAAGAGATTGGTAACAGTTTTAGTTTATCATATTGTCAGAAGACATGATTTGACATTGCATACGTAAATAAACAAACAAATGTATAAAGAATAAAGAAACTACTATCTGGAAATCTATTACTGCACAGGGAAGGAGTGAAATATTATTCGCGAAACCTTCTTTTGCTCCTAGATTTGCACATTTTTCTCAAGAATTATTGATATGTTGCATTTGCGCATAACTCTGTTCAGAATTTATTCCTTGGCTACATTGAATTGACTATAAATCAGGTGATGGTGAATTCCTCAAATGTCTGTGTCAGTGATTATCGACGAAAGCACATTCAATATGTAGACACACTAAGTTACAAGCAATTGATGAAGTGGGCAGAAGAGGCTCACGTGCCATGCGACGAATGTTAATAGAAACCATGCCATGAATTATATCTCACAAGCAGGTTTGTAGCTTTCATTCGAAACAACGAAAGAATTAAAAAAACTCAACTTAATTTATGAAAATGCATATGCTTTCTGGGAATCCAACTTGATAAGGTCTTTCAAAATGATTCATGTAAATGCAAGAGATTCGTGTTCTTCAATTGTTTTTCTTAACAACACGTCGTGTAACTCTCCTCACAATTGTTGTTAAGACAGGGGTTACATGTCACGTACAATTCAAGCACATTATTTTGAATATCGGAGAGTAGGTGTTCTCTGTATCCCCGCCGTGGACAGGGCTTAAGAGCAATATTACGTTTCGTGCAGAATCTTATCACTCATCATCTGAATGAATTCCAAAGCTATGGACTATAGAATTCATGTACCTCAGCTCCTGATATGAAGGAGACGTCGAGAATATCGGTTTTTAATTGACGTGTCATTGTAACTGCTCAGAATTTGCCAAGAGGATCATGATGTCATCAACCCTGTTCTATTTCTAAGTCCTGCAATAATAGAATGCAGGTTTCGAGGTTGGTCGACTGACTGAGGGCTGATGATTCAGCTGCACGCATTACACTTATGGACCACAAATGAAAGCAGTGTACATCATCCGGGCGAGCTGCATTTGATGAAGCCATTTGACCTTGTAATAGAGACAATGAGGAAGAGGCACAACACGCAATTCCATTACGACTACACACCCGATTCTAGTAACCTGAATTACCTTTTCATAATGCGTGGCACAAACAAGAAACATCCTCAACCATAAATATGTGCAAAATTTCGAAGGGCACTTCTACAATGCATCAGATTTTTCTGGATCCTTGGCATCCTTCCACGTTGCTTGCCATTGCTTGTCATAGTAGGTGGATTCCTTCGCAAGGTCTCTAATGGTGTCTACATCACTAGTTTTCCTGATGGCTAAAACTCCGACAACCGAAATGAAGAGTAGCAACTTGCCGAAGAAGCTGTTTTGCTGGTCAACCAAGCCAATACCAGTTGCAGCATCGACCAACCAGCCCGAAGCGTAGCCAATCATTGCAGCCCGACCTGCAATGCAAGAGTCTCACTTTAGCTCGATGCCATTACTAAAATCCTGGGCAAGGCAAGAACACTAAGCTTCGAAAGACAACAGGCATAACACCGGGGTTTACCGTTCAAAAGCTCTGCCTCTGGAAGATGGAAGCGCTTCACCCACGCCCACCATGGCACAATCGATGTATCAAACACAACCTCGTCCTCATTGTTTGATGATACGGGATTGGTTTCCAGGATCTTCCTCCTTACCACCTCTGCGAGCACAGAACCACCATACCATTCTTAAATTAGACCAAGTTCAGCAGTCTGAGTGAGTTATGCAAACATTCAAAGCGTGCGTAGCACCGCATTGGGAGAGGCCGCTAGAAACACTATAGCTCCGGCATTCCACGAAACCCAAAAGAGAAGCGGCATTTTCAAGAAGATTTTGGCATACCGGCATCAATAACAGCGTCCCAGTCAGTCTTGCCATCCGTCGTGAACTGCGACAGGTCCCATGTACCATTCTTCCACCTGGGATCGTCAAATGTGCCTAGTGACAACGCGGGTGAGGTTTTGCCAAGAGTAGCGGCAGCTGGGGCCTTCCCTTCGGCCTGCGGTCCGTCCAATGTCCCACCCTTCGCCAGAGGGGAAGGCTTTCTGGGGGAGGAAGTTGGAGGGGCTAGATTTCCAATTCCTTCCGTCTCCGGCTCCTCGGGCAGTCCTGCCACCTCCAAGACAATACTATTGCCTCCCGCGTCCGCAGCGCTGCCCAAACCCTCGCCATCGGAGGCTCTCACGACAAACCTGGACCCCGTGCTCTCCACATTCACCACAGTCCTGTACCTCCCTTGCCATCTCCGACATGACACCAACAATTGAGACGACTTCCCTGCATTGGGCGACAACGCACCTCCACTAGCCACTGGGGCCACGACTGCTCCAGTCAACGGCTTCGCAAGCGTCACCATGGCTGCCATATCCTCACAAATAAACGGAAGATGCACCGAGGATAGGAAGCGCAGGGGGTTATGAGAGATTAAGAAGATGAGCTTCTGAGCTCTTCTTCACGAACCGACTCGCTCAGAGCACGGTGTCTATCAGCCTGGATAAGAGTCTAAATATGACATCTGCCCAAACCAGGTCTCTTCCCATTTGAGATGTCAATACAGGTACTCAACGGAGGTCCTGGAAATCACCAGGTTTGAAGTTCACCGCATCGCTCTGTAGAAAGTGTGGTGAGCACCGAAACCCTGGGGGCGAATTAAAATTCGATGTTGCTTTCCGCTAATTCTTCAAGTGGTCTCTGATCTGGAGTTGAGGATCATCGAAGTGCAGGTCCAGTACACAGGACTCGATCTTCGTGAACGCTGCTCTGTCGATAGTAGTTTAATGATACAGGACACCTTCGGTATTTCAATCGGAGTAAACGACGTGTTGATATTCGCAGGGAATTGAACAGTGTCGAGGTGGACGCCACTGACGGGCTACAACCTTGGAACACCTTCACCGTTCTGTGCGCTCTGCTTCCGACTACCTACTTGCGACTGAACCAAAGTAACACCAAATTATCATTTGGAAACTTTTTTAGCTTCGCTGACGAGTCGATGGGATCGAGCGCTTCATAGCCATCCCCTTCGTATTCTAAAATCCGAATACAAATGCAACTTGTGACCTACATTCCATAGGACTTCAGGCTTACACCTTTGACATGGATTGTTCCTCATCATCTCGCTGATGGAGAAAGAAATATTTAGCTGAAGGTAGAATGAAATCCTTGGTATCCTTTAACTGCCTTATCAGCTTCCCTTTCTATAGGTGGTCACGAACATCGAACTTGTTCTGATCTAGCTGCATTTGTCTCTTCGCAACGGTAGATGTTGTGAAGATGCCGTCACCAACTTAAGCAGCAGCTAATCCAAGCGCATCATCCTCGATTTTCCCCGTGAGACAAATTTCGCTTTCTTAAGCTTCGTACCGTGAAATTGAGCTAAGAGCCTTGTTGTCGTTAGAGACTTCGGAATTATAAACCTGATGATGTTCGTCATACTTGCAATCCACACATAGATTCCACTACATTTCTACGACGAAACGACATAGACTAATTTGCAAGCACTGACATCATTGCTATTTAACCACTAACCAACCACTTTTAGGTCAGGTCTTCAATTCAAACTCCACCATTCCAAAGCACGAATCTGCACAACTAATTCCCGTGCCACTCGACTTGATTGTTTAACTGATAACACCAACAATGTGGGATACTTTCGCTGCTGGATTTCTCTGCTGCATAAAAGAGTCTAACTGGCAATGAATTGCGACAAGAAAGGTTCACAAGCGTGACCTTCTCAAACTCGCAAAGATTCTAAAGGGCAAACTCTCTGCACCAATTTTCGTTTGGGATCAGGGGACGTGGATGACTCCATTTGCAAAGATTCGTCAGATTGTCTAGTTGCGGATTAAAAAAAATTGTTACGATTTCTATCCACAGCCTTACAGTTTCGGCTACTTTCGAAAGATCTGTGATGCGATGCATCTCTATTGCAGCATCTGTTCGAGAACTTAAAGATACCGCTTCTCCTAGAACTAAAGCTCATGTGAACGTCGTCAAGCTTTCAGAATGTTAATTACTACTACTGTTCACAAACAGGCAGTGTCTGGCCACAGATTGTCTCTCTTCTTCCTATCACTATGCAATTGGGCAACTTGCTTAAAGGGCAGTGCCAGCTAATCAACTTTTGATAGAACCTAAACTAATGAATTCTTTGATGTCACAATGTGTGTTTATCCGCTGTACATCACGATCTTACTCATCGAGATAGCAGTGATATTTCTCCGACACGTCCAGTCAAAAAGACAGGACCAGTCATAAACACGGCCAAGGTCAAGAAGCTTCTCAACGCAATGCTCATAGTGAGCTGTAGAGAGAAGGGGTTTTAGGTCTGTAACATTTTCATCAAAGAGAAAACGGTATTCTGATACAAAGACCCAACATGATTAGAAGTGAACACAAGATTTGAGGAGTTGAATATTCTCCCCCAGCACTTGATGGTAGTTCCCAATCCTACAGTAATGAGAGGCGATTTTCTCATCAAGATTTGAGTTTTTGCCCTCTGTAAATTCGGCATACGCGATCCAGTGATTTGCAATTCCGAGAGGATCTACAAACCCGAAGTTGCAACATCAACTGGAAGGTTCACCCTCCATGAACCATCGCAACAAGGTGTGCACTGGTTCATCAACTCTTCTCCATCTCTCGACTATCTACACAGGCTGTCCATGGATTCCTACTCCCTGTTTTGAAAGACAGATTCACTACAAAAATACCCGTCAGACGACGGGATGAAGCATCTGCTTGACTCTCATAATTCTATGAAGCTATATCTGAAGCCTTCAGAGGAGTACAATGCAAATGCCAACCTGTCGAAATTTCAATCCAGGGATCATGTGTGCTTGGTTTCCGGCCCAATGACAACACTCTGTATCAAAATGCGCTTGTTCTGCCGCCACTTCAATATCTACGATACGTTAGGTGCTTCCGCCATACTCACGGCGTGAAGGTAGCCGACCCATTTTAGGGTACCCCCCCATTTCCGACCAATCTTGACATGATAACACAAATGAAAACATTTGTATTACATGATATACAACCTTAATTCACATTTTGCCTCAACTCCATGATGCCATTAGGTAAGAAATTAAGAATTTTCCTGCCAATTTAGAAAATTCATCAAGAAATCAAGCATTTTCAATTTTATAACTAACCACTTGTCAGAATTAGCATGACTCAAATATAAAGTATGACTTACTTGGAAGTTGTGCAATTTTTTTTTTTTTTTTTTTTTTTTTTTTTGTTGTTGTTGCAGTTCTTCACGGATGTTTGTATTGTGCATGTTGATTTGTTTTTAAGTTCCTTGCACTCTCTCTATAACTATTGTTAATGTATTCTTGTTAAGAAAAATGTGACTAATTTTACATTGTATTTAGTTTTTGACTCATATCAAGTAATAACAACAATTTTCTACTTAAGAATTTAGTTAAATAAATTGTGAAAAAATTCAGTCAACATAAATTACTTAAAAGTATAAATCTATTCAAACTTATTCATACATGAGTTTATAAAAAAATATACTTTTGCTCAAGAATGTAGAAAGATCAATCCATTGCATGCTCAACTTTGTACAAATTTTGAATTTACACAAGTATTGACCTAACACAAATTCTAACTAGCTTTAATTCTAAACTTTTATCTATTTATTTGAATCAATAATGTTTTTAAATTTTATATCTACTTTGTAAGTATTTTATAAATATTTGAATCAAATGAAAATTTCTATTTTATTTTAATTTCAATAAATATTTAATGATGTAATTATATAAATTATTTTATGTAATATGTTATGTATGCACCTATTATATATTAAAAAAATAGAGAATTTTATCCAAAACTAATACATTCTATATTAGAAACACATATTCTATTATTATGTCTTACTAATATTTAATTTTAATAATTAAAATGTGTTATAAATATATATATATATATATATATATATATTCACATACAAGGACTTACTAAAGCAACACTTTCAAATTATTAACACAGCACCTCCATGGGTTCTCAAGATTAATTTAGTCTATCTGCCATTTGTGTCTCTTAATTCTCAATCCTTCCATCCATGTTTTTAGCCCATATCCCCCATTCCTAATTTCTACTCTTTATTCCAAACCCCCTCTTCCCCTTCATGTCTCCATTCTCATCTCTATTCTATAAAAAATGATATACAACTTTCAAAGTAAGTCATATTTCTTACTCAAGAAACCAACTTTGAACCTTAAAGCTTTCACTTGTGGATTTTATATATGATGTCTATTTCAAAAGATTTGCACATTTAAAATTTCAATTGAATTTTTTTTAGATTCAAGAAGTACACATAACACAATCAAGTGATCCAATAGTGTTTAAATTAAAACAAGATGTATTATCTTTTAATTACAAATTGAAGATTGCAATGCAATATCAACAATGTTTTAGTCACAAACAAAAATTATAAAAAAAAAAACATCTACGTTTAAGGTCATTGTTGCCATTCACAATGCTAAGTATTGAGAATAGGGATGGAGGGGTTGAGATGGGGAATAAAGGTGGAGAATAAGAGAATGTGGATTAGAAATGAGGAGGGGGAGGGAGGGGGGGGGGGAGGTAGGAACTAGGAACAAGGAGGGAAGACAAGGAGTAGACTAAATTAATTATGAGAATCTAAGGGGGTGTTGCATTAATAGCATAGAGATATTACTTTAGCAACTTCTTAAATATGTATGTATGTATGTATGTATGTATAGTTCTAGTTACATACTTGGTACATGGTATTCTTAAACTATTATCTATGATTTTGATTTTACATTTTTTTTAAAGAATATTTTTTGGTAGTATTGATATAGAAATTTTATTTTTATTTTTTTAAACCACTTATTGTATCCCTTATTATACACTAAATGTTTAAAGAAAAATGACTTTTACATTTATTCTTACATATATATTGAATGAATTTACAATTTGACTTGAGCCACCAATACAATTGTTTTTTTTACAATACTTCTAAATAGAGTGGATACAAATGTATTAAATTTTATTTTATAGTAAAAATAATCTGGTTTCTACACTGAATGTATTTTTTTTGAAGACAAATAGAACTTCTTTTAAATAAGTAAATAAATAAAACACCAACAAATTTTATTTTTTTATGTTTTTGAAATTATGTAAAAAAATTGTAATAAACATCTTACAAGTGTTATCATATTCTAAATGTGCTAATTAAATCAAACATTTTACAAAATATGTTTATGCACAACTAAAGTATGATCTCATGAAAACTATTATAATTAAGTGGTTTTTCAGATTCCAGAAAAGAAAAGATAATGAAAATGAATTCTATATACAGGTGAAATAAAATTCAATAACACAATTTTGTAAACCGATTTTTAAATTAATTAATTATAATTTTTATGTAATATTTCTAAAAAAATAAACTAATCTCATGGTTTAAGGTCTTGTATTGTATGGTTGTGTATATATATACACACACTTATATTAGTGGTTATACCATTATGTTATTATATCTTTATAAGTTTATAGTGCTGAAATAATCATGCTGTTGACATGAGTGAATCTACCCTTATGATTTTTGTAAATTGGAGATTTTAAAAGTAATTTTTTAAATAATAATGTTAAGCTATAAATATATATATATATATATATATATAACATGGAAAATATTAAGAAATTTTAGACAAAATAAAAACCCCTTATTTATCAAATTTGATAATTGTTTAACAAAAATTTATATGAAACGCTTATAACAGAGAGCATTGATTGCGGTACTGGGAAGAACTCAAACAACCAAACAAAAGATATTGATGCATTTGCTTCATGCTGTTCCAATTGATTTTCTATAAATATTAAAACAATTTTATGTAACTACTTGTATTCTACCTGGAATTTGATTTCAATGCAGGGGGCTCTGGGTTGTCAATTTTGTTATGGTTCCCAAAGTGTTCGCATCACGGTTCAGCGTATTGCAAGGGGAACTCTGTTCTCATAGCGTTCGCATCTTCACTTTGTGCACATGTGAAGTGAACGGTTCCCAAAGTGTTCGCATACCATCTCCGTGTTCCCAAGCTAACTCAGGGTTTCGAGCTCCGGAAGCCAAGCACTCCGACGCTCATATGTTGCGGAGATTGGAGACCAGAGGCCTTTGCCGCATTGTGAGTGCGGGCTGATCGTTCGCGCACACGAGCTGAGCATCGAAACACAAAGCCAGCTTAGCACCATGGTAAGTGGGTTCTCTTCCCTTTCTCAATTGAGTTCCTCTCCCTCCGCTTCTTTGTGTGCTCCCCACGTAGTTTTTAGTGTAAACCTGTAGTTAGGGTTAACGATTTATTTGGATTCTCGTTGTCATGCGCGTCGCTGCAACTTTTTTCTGATGGGGTGCGTTCCATGAGTCACTTGTGCAGCTTTTCTTTTCATATTTCAAGGAGCTGGTCGGCAAGGAGGTGATTGTAGAGCTCAAAAATGACTTGGCCATCAGTGGTATCCTGCACTCGGTTGATCAATACCTCAATATCAAATTAGAGAATACGCGTGTAGTTGACGATACAAAATATCCTCACATGGTTAGTTTTTTTTTATCTCTCGCTCTTGTAGCCTTTCTGTGTGGGAATGCATTGTTGGTTGGTGTCGTTTTCGCCTAATATTGCAATGAAATGGAATGCTTGATTAGATTCAGACACTTTTGTATGGATGTGAGGGACGACTTTGTCTTAGAAGTGGAAATGTATGATGGGAAACGTTGGTTTATTTGTTGGTTTTTTATTAGGATTAGATCCATAGCTTACCCTGTAGGTGCACAACCAACCGAGAGGTTAGGATTGGGTTTTGTATCTATTTTCGTCTTCGTTATTCCTTCTTCGGAAAACTCTATTCACTAAGGATTAGGGTTGAGATGTCTATAAACATCTGTTTGATGTTTGTCTTGAGGGAGGATACTTTTGACGCTATTTTTGTTGATGTTCACTATTTATTCGGAATTGCAGCTTTCCGTTAAGAACTGCTTCATCCGAGGTTCGGTGGTCAGATATGTGCAACTCCCACCTGATGGTGTGGATGTTGATATTCTGCATGATGCGACAAGGAGGGAGGCTCGTGGTGGATAAATCGCCAGCTTCGAAATCCGGGCATGGTGATGGACGCAATCAGCATATTGAAGTCTGATAGTCCGCTGACAGTCAGCCGAGCGAATAGGAGGTTACTGGACTTGATGCAAATCTTTTGTACAGATACAGTTCAGAAAAAGTCTTGACCCTCTAAGAATGTATGTCGTAAATTACCGCATGATGTGATTCCTGGCATATGTCCGCCTCGACAAATAATGTCCGTTGTTCCTGGTCTGACGCCCTTGTTTGGGTCGTCTTCACAGCCGTGCAACTTTCGAGTTCATCCTTTTTTATTCACGACATGTTATAATGAGGTCTTAGTAACTTGGAAATTTCCATGAAGCTTGTTTATCTGCTTCAAAAAGATCCATGCTATGCATGAGAAGTCTGTAGTTTGCGTCTATTCAGTTATTCTGATCGTGTTCAGGCACATTACTTCAACAAAATTAGAGCTTACAAAGGTACGGGAATCGTGGATAGTAGGTTGCTTTCAAAAATAAATTTGAAACAAACTGTTGTCTGCTTCTAAAGTCTTTTCTACTTGGCTTTAATTCAGATTAACTGTTGCTAACCCAACACTTCTACATTTTACCTGTCTACATTGATTTTTTGGTAGGCAGACTTAATGCACACTTACCACACGCTCCAGCTGGGTATTATTCACTGAAGTATTTTAAATCTTTTTAATTTCCCGTCACCTACTTCACTTTCTGTCTATGTAATTTCTTAACAATGTTTCCACGATTTGTGTAGAACGTTGTATTGGATTACATCACGGAGCTGTGAACAGTTAGAAGAGTCCATTGTATGCATCCAATGCCCACTTTAAAATTCGTCTTGTATGGAAACAACGATAGGTGTGCAAATTTGACGAACATGCCTTTCCGATGTTGCGTGACTCTGCGTCATATAAAATTGTACCAAAAACGTTCAGGGTACAGTCGTATAAAATCCCTTCATTGAAAACATCCATCTGGCCAAACAACCACATGCTATTCGTGCAATTTAACATGCACAAAAATCATGATCGGTTGCGAAAACTCGCTTACAAAATTGCTATAAAGAAACTGATGGTGTCTTGAATCATTACCACTATTTTGTACACCAACGCTTCTACTAATAGCAGTCTTACAAATGCAGATGCAGTCAAAATATGTCCACAACAGTCGAAGAACTCTCAGCTACACATTACCTCAACACTCTAGAAAAAGCTTTATGCAAACAGTGGCTGGAACTCCCTACTGCTATTCACATTCTAAACTACCAGTTAGGGTTGTAACTTCCGCTGCGTCCACCAGATGAGTAACCACGGTCATCATATCCTCCTGCGCCATAGCTGCTGCCTTGGTAAGCATACTGAGCATTATCCTCATAACTGCTGCCTCCACCATAGCCTCCTCCATATCCACCACCACCGTAAGACCCACCGTAGCTGCCGCCACCACGGGAACCGTATCCTCCTCCAACATTGGCACCTTGAGGACACTCCCGGGCGAAATGACCTTCTTGGCCACATGTGTAACATGGACGGCCACCCCCGCCTCTGCCACCACCGCCACCACCCCCAAAGTTGCCACCATACCCTCCTGCACCTCCACGACTGCCACCTCCGTTGGGGCATTCGCGTTGGAAATGTCCAACCTGACCGCCATACTAATGTGAGGAACTGCTATCACTTCACCAAACCAACAGTGCCTCGTAGCTGTATGATCAGGAGCACCAAGAAATTAGCTCAAACAGGATATGCACTAACCTCTCCACAGTGATAGCATCCTTGTTCTCCCTTGTTGCCACCCTTAGCACCGCCCCAAGCATCACCATATGAGCTTCCTCGTCCTCCATCGCGTTCACGACCCCGACTAAAATTTGAGTAGCCTTCGGCCTCACCACCACCGTAGACAGGCGCGACAGCAGCAGGGGCTCGCTCTTCCTCACGCCGAGGACGTCTTAACCCTCCAGATTGAGCAGTTTGCACGGCAATTTTCTGAACATTGAGAGAGACGTTAGTCAGGCACGGAGGACTCGGAATGAAGTTAACAAAGTGTGATCCCATCACGAAGAGGACAATTATTTAACGGAAGGATCCGGAGCACCTAAGACAATTAATAAATTCAAAACACAAGGACCAATACATTTCAAGTAGTAAACTGCAACTGTGGAAAAGACTGGGAAACTTAAGGACAACATCCAAGGAACAAATATTTAGCTCTAAGAAGTAAAATCCGTTATTGCAGGGCTAGAATATGTCAGCTTCCGTGACTCAACTGAAAAATCTGGTAATGCTTCTGAAATTATGTCCATGCAGCCAAAAAAGAAGCAAAATGTCATTGGTGATACATGCCTAAGGCTACTGCAAGATTGGGTGATTCTACAGATCACATGCATACCTCAAAAGACACCAGTAGCTCGTCAAGTTTCTTTTCCATTAGGTTAACCTCCTCTCGGAGTGCTTTAGACTTTGTTGGATCCACCTCTTTGTCAAGCTCACTTCTAGCAAAAGCCAGTTCGGCTTCAGCAGCCTTCTTGTCCTCACGCTGTTGTTCAGTCAAAACAATCTGCGTACATCCAGGATGAGAAAGTGTAACTAGCGATGCGATGTGCATGGGAGACTGGAGACTAAAACTCGGGTCAGTCATTCCTCAGAATTAACGATGCCATTAAAGTCAACACTCACAGAAGCTTTCGAAGGACCGTAATGTCAAAGACCGAGGAAGACAACTCAAACACAAAAACAAGCCAACTTAGTGCCAACAACAACACCAGCTCTCACATTTTTCTTCCATTCCTTGGCAGCTTGTTCCTTCAAGACCTCTTGTTCCTTCTTTCCTGTCCTTTCTGCAATAACTTGTTCTCTTGGCCTTGCTGCACCGAAGGGATTAGGCTGCAAAAAAGGAACCATGTCTTAAAAGCAATAGGACAATCAAAAACAAATTCCATCTGAAGTCCCTCATAAAAATCTCACTACATTGAAGGGATAAAATCTCATTATTAGATGTGTAGGGTAGAATATTAACTCCATGGCGTGTGCGGTTGATTGAATAGAGAAGTCTAGGCATAAAAGGGGCATGTTTTTCGTATTAAAGTTTACAGTTTGAACCCCACAGGTAGAATCCAAACATTCCTTTATTGCAGGAAGACTACAAAGAATAAAAAGCAAAAAAAAGAGTGCCATGACCATACTCTCGACTAGAAATGCTGCATTTGAACCACTCCTGAATCTAAAATGATAGTCCTCAAGCGAACTCTAAGAAAGATTGCTCCGTTCTGATGCTTCAGCTCACACCACGCCCCTGTCTGCCGCAAACCCATTACAAATTGCAGATCCACAAAAAGAAAAAAAACAAACTTACTCGGCTTGACTTGGCTGGGGAAGGTGAAGCAGTGTCGGAAGCAGATCCACGGGGTTGGAGACTAAGCTTGGGCCTCCCCGCGGTATCTTCCTCCGTGTAACTCATCCTGCAAGATGAAAAAAATATGCCATACGCGTCTCTTCGTCAGAACCGCTATCGATCACATACAACTGACAGCAAAATCAAGTCAAACAACTTCCATAGCACCCAAAAAAACCCGAAAGGCAAACAACAACACACAAATTCTACCATAACCCCAATATTCCATACCCAAGACCTCCCCAAAACTTCGACACTCAATACCTCACAAGCCCCAACTCCCAACCCCATTGCAAAACTCTCTACTCCAATAACCTAAACACCAAGACCTCTTCCCTCTCCTTCAACCACCCTTCTCCCTTCACAACCAACCTCCTAATCCCTCTCCGCACCCAGGCGAATAAAATAAAATAAAATAAAATAAAAAACCCTTCCCCCCAAATAAAACCCAATGAAAACACACTCACAAACAAAAAAATATATATAAATAAATAAACAAAACATAAACGAAACTAGAACCTGAAGACCAAATCTCTCACTCACTCTCTCTCGAAAACAGACACACGCATCCAACGACGGCGACGCTCACATGCGCGATCCGGAACACGGCCCCAACACTCGCGCTGCTGCGTCAGAAAAAATTCCTCGCTTAAAATCCGGTAAAAGAAGCAGCAGGACCCAGAAACTTGGCGACACAAAGGCCACTATACAGCGTAATGCCCTCTCTCCTCGCCGACCCACAACAACATCAACAACATCAACAACAACAGCATCATCATCAATCAGCCAAAAAGAAGAAGTTGGCGGAAAATGAAACAACACTCCCCTCCTGCGCGGCCCAGCCTCGCACGCAGCCCCCGCGTCCAGTCGTTAGGTCGCCCCACCCTGGACGCGCGCCACGGAGCCGCGCGTGGTCGTCCGATGTGCCATCGCACGGCCCACGGCAGTAAGGCTCCTAATGCCGCGCGCTCTGAATCGCGGGCCGGATCCGCCCGCTGTCGCGTGGGAGAGTTTATTAGTTTGCGGCCACTTCCCCCGACTCGGTTTCTGTCTAAGGGCCTCTGGTGAACGGTTATCATCTCTTGGATGGATATATGGATGTGTACTTTCATCCTTGTGGAGGTCCCTTTTATGGGTCGCTCTAGCCAGGTGTGCGTCTGTGGTGTCATCAAAGCGCTTCCTCTTCTTCTTTCCCTATATTTACAATTTATGGTGATAATCTCTGGCCATGAGCACTACTAAGTAAGGGTAGTGGATTTATATCAATATTTATGGATATATGGATATTTTGGATGAATTGTGGATGGTTTTTGTATATTCGAGTGGATTGACATGTGTGTACATGGCTTTCTTACATCATTTTTATTTTATTTTATTTTTTCTCGGTCAATTTTCCTAAAGAAATACTTTATTAAGAATAGATTTAAAATACATAATATGATGAAAGTGAAACAGGTCATATTATAGTGGTATTAGAATATCATGTGCATTAGAAAGTCTAATATATAATTTAATGCTCATAAAAATAAAATAAAATATTATATATATATATATATATTTCTTAAAATATCACTATTATTATTCATCTACAATATACACAAAGCGTTTAATGCATGTTTAACTTATTGGGCTTACAAATGAAGTTTATAGATTTGTAAATTTGTATCTGATCCATATTAAAAGGCCATTTTTACAAAAAAATAAATAAATAAAATAAAATAAAATAAAAGCTATTTTGTTGTTTTTGTTAATTTTAATTTTAATTGATTTTTCATTTACTTTTTTACTATTTTCAACCAAAATTAAGATATGATTTTTGTGATTGGAATCATAAAAATAATTATTTAGTTCACTTCATAGCCATTTCTCACTTCATGTTATCCCTCAAATCTAACAATCAAAACTAACAATTTTTCTTTACTAAACAAAGTGCCTCTGAGAGGTTTTTGGACATGGTCTTTTATAGAGGACTATTTGACATAAAAATCTCTTAAATATTTGGCCTAGCAATATGATTTCCAAATTCATTGGTTTTTTTAGATATAGCAATTAAAAGACTTGCGTGTATATAGACATATTTGTTTCTTTTGACACTAAATACATGTACTAAAATAATGTACATGAAAAATTGTAATTTTTTCCATAACCAATTACAGTAAAAGATACTAATGATAATACTCATGATCCCGATGGCAAATTTATAAGAAATGCTCGTTTGTAACTGGTATGTATATACATGATTAAGCAGTGTTTATTTGTGGTGCTAAAAATAGCGTCAGGAAAAACAACCTCTACAATTAGGCAGAAAAGAGTGTATTCTAAACACGAGTTACAACTATCAGCCCTGGAATTACCACTTATCACTCGATTTACTACGAATGTGTAATAACCAGAGAATGCAACGTGCCATGGAGGGTGGTAAAATTCGAAGCCACGCATCGGACTCCACTGGATTTTAGTGCGGCTGTCACCAAAGTGATTGTGCACAGAGAAGAACAGCCAGTTTCCAACAGACTGAGAACGGTTTCCATCCTACTTTCTGGAACATGGGCACCAAAGCTCATCAAACATGCGTGGGCACTAGGCCAGTTGGGTTCACTCACTGCAAATTCTTCGGCCAAATCCGTCCGGCCCGAGGAGAAGTAGACAAATATTGATGTTAACACATGCACATAAATATCTACAAAACAAAAAGTAGGCCACAAACATGAGAAATATATCACCACTGTTAACAATGCACGGAGAAGCCTAGTTAAGAGGAAAACTCCCAAATTGTTACTTTGAGGCTACTGAAAGTCTGACAGCACTTTCTAGAATTGAGCATAAGGCCCAATGTCCCGCAGGCAATCAAAGAAGTGGTCAATGTCTATCCTTTTGTGGCCCCGACGTATGGAAACTGCATCTTCGCCTGCCTTGCCTTGTACGGCCATTTCAATCAACATCAATAGTCTCTTGATTGGCATCTGTAAATCCCACCCCAAAATCATATGAATACGAAGCTCATCTCAAAAGCCAATCAGGGTTAGCCAAAGCAGAATAATCCAAAACATACAAAGTTCAAAATCACGGAGAGAAGATTAAGAATACTGCTGCTACACAACATGCTATACAAAATTAACCTCCATCCAACAACGCCCGGCAGCTTAGGCTTAGGGTACGAACCTCTGGACCAAGTGCTTCCAAAGCAGTATCAATATCTTCGGGATCGAAAACATCTTGAGCTTGCAAAATCTGCAATACGGGATCCAAAATCGAAACAAGATCAACAATGGTGCCACAGGTGGAAATGAAGTGCAAATTATACTCCAAAAAATATTTGAACTTTTAGTTGTAAGCCTCTCCATATGTTCCACTGCTAATTGTGATAGGACCATCTTTACCTCCCTCATGTCGTTCAATCTCAACCTGGGAACGACCAGATCCACGTTAAAAGATTCCAACAAACCCATCGACTCAAGAATATCTTTCTCACTAGTGGTCCCAATGACGAAGAGCTTTTTGCCCTGCAGGGAGAAAAAACACGGGTCCAAGTACAAAAGAACAATCAACTCGGATAGAAGCAGAAGCATTGCAATGCACAAGTTCGTATTTCAATTCACTAATCATGAGGAGTAATGGCTCTCCTTATAAAGGATAAAAAATTGGTTAAGAAACCGCAGATGCCCCCAACAGCCGAAAACTACTGCATGAAAACTTCAAAGCAAGCCGCGCATGTCTGCCTCACATTTACTTCTCTACTTACTGTTCCACAACTAAGGATGGCACCTGTTACAACGGTTTAGTGACCACTTACTTTGGGAGGATTCCTTTTCAATAGAACAAGAAGTGTCTGCAAAATAAGGTTCGAGAAACGAGGACCGATTCTGACGTATTCAATCAACCTGCACAAGGATAACATTCCCGCACATTTATTTGATGCAGATGCTCTCAAATGCTGTAATTGATATCTTCCCACAACGAGAGAAGGCTGAAGTAACCCACCCTCCAACTTGCAGTTGCCAACAACAGAAAACTAACAAAGTACTTCATCCATTCGAAACAAAAGTATCTGCAATCCAATGTCACCAATCTAATGCTGACCTTTCAATGTTATCTAGGATGATGATACTTAAGGGAGACTTGTAAGCATCCTCGAACACCTGCAAAGCCATTGCAAACGACATAGATCACGAAGGCGTACGGAGAATTGCACACAAAATAGACGAGGGGAGACATAAATACTGTACGTGCGGCAGTCGCCGATCCTTTTTATGATGCTAAAACCAAGAAAATGCAGCAATTAATGTTCTCTTAAACTAAGCCTATTCACGCAATGTACCTTGGCAATCATGGCAACTTTCGTAGGCTCTTGCAAACCAATCATGTTCTCTGCAGAAACCTGGAATACATATTTGTACTTAGCTTAACCACCATTGCAGAATAACCTGGACACATTCTTATGTCACTACATATGCAACCGCTTCATAAAAGAGACGTGTCTACATGCAAAATCACAGAGAATGTGACTACGTTTACTAACAGGAAAGCTAGGAAATGAACTTACAATCTTAATGAACGGAAACCCACTTGCAATGGCGATAGTTGCAGCAAGCGCTGTTTTCCCCCTGCACATGATCCCGTAAGGCCACTTCAGAACATGCTGCAAGTATAGCATGTACAAATCACTGTGATTTGAACATGTTAAACAAGAAGGCAAACACTAAAAAAATCCTTCTAGTTCTGCTGCGCATGCCTTGTAAAAAACTATTTCAATCTCTAAATTAGTTTCAAATATAATAACTGGTTAAAATTCAGGTGAAGAACAAGGAAAAGAAATCAACAGGTCGTGCTTTATCTTCATTGAAGTCTGAAAGCTGGAATGACCACATACGTGCTAGAAGGTCCTTCCAGAATACATGTCATGAGGGGTGTGCGATCACTTTTCTTTACTTGCTCCACAAGCGTTCTTCCTGTTTTCAAAATGTGCTTGTGGAATTCACCGCACGGCAGCATGCCGCCCGGCCTGATAAAATACAAACACCCAACAGTATGTGAAAATTAGGAAAGGGTGGCAAAAGAATTTGCAACCGGGTGTATGTGATGATGGCATGTAAAAATACGACAACTTAGAGAAAGCACCTGCACAGTTCCAGCGTATTGATAGCTGCACCAAATGCAGGTTTCACTTCATCAAGAGCTTTCAAAAAGTCGTCCATTGTCACTTTGATATTATCCTCGTCGAGTGGTTTTGAAAGATCCGTTAAATTCACTTGCCTGCCAAGAGAATAGGAAGTTTAGAATTTGTGAGTCCACGACGGGAGATAAGATATAACGTTGAATAAACATCTTATGCTCATTGGAAGTGAAATACTCTTTATTAAAATCAAACAACTCATTCCAAACCCAAACCCTGAGCACTACCACCACTGAAAACCATGAAAATTCGACATTCGAAAGGCACGCAACTCAGATTCATTTCAATAACTTCACAATTCCACGATGCAATTTTGTGAGCACGTTTCACATTAACAAGCAGTCGGCTTCTGAGATCAAAACCAACAAGCCTTCCGTCTCATCTCCATAATTCAAGACATCGCCTATTGCAAGGTAAAATGCAAATACAAGATGTCCGCACGCCATAGAAATTTCATGACGAAGCCAAGAAATAATCAACAACTTGCACGCAAGAGGGGCAAACTAACTCTCTCTGTGAAGGGCAAACATCCAATCACCTGTTTAGAGCAAAAGAGGTTGCACTCTTCACCAGACCTTCCAATTCTGCTCCGCTGAAGTTCTTGGTCCTGGACGCTGCACCAAATAAATGTGGTCAGATGATCCGTCACAGCAAGAATATGCCATGCACAAAAGCAAATCTGCATATATTTGCAGCTAACAATTCTTGTGACCTGTACAAGAGCTAGCAACATTACACAACGACCACAACCGGGCAGAAACTCCTGAAAAGGTTCAGCTTACCAAGTTCTTGCAGATCTACGTCAGCACCCAAAAAAGAGTTCTCTTTCATCTTGTTAGAGTGTATGTTCAAAATCTGAACGCGACCATTCTCGTCTGGCAACCCGATTTCAATTTGGACCTCCATACGTCCTGGCCTGCAAACATCACGAAGATCAGACTAACTAAACACATAATAACAAACCAAGTCCAGGCATCTGTGAGTTAATTAACAGCACATGACTATTTACAAAAACCCAAGCTGTAAACAGCCAGTATGTTCCCAAATAACAAAGGTGAAGGATTTATAGCTTGTGAAAGAACCGCTTTACCGGAGTAGCGCCTCATCAAGAAGGTCCTTCCTGTTAGTCATACCGATCAGCAATATGTTGTTTAGAGCCTCGACACCATCAATCTGTCACCATGACAAGATACACGATAAATAACAGATCTCTTCTGCTCAAAACATTCCGTTCAACCACTGTATAAAAAGATGATAGCTCCGACACAACACTCAGTTTTCCGTGGGGAAAATGCCCCATACTGCCAACATTAATTTCTGTTCTTTTAATACTTTTCGGAGCAGTTACTAGAACCCATCAACTCCAAATGCTCATGATCCGGAACCGCAGGAAACATTCAGACACATCACAACGCACCGATGAAAATTCTAAGCATAACATAGTCACTTCCAGGTTCGTTCTTTAGACTAGAATCGTTCCTTCGTGCCTGGAGACGAAAATGAACATCAAACTTCGCTCTAGCTCTCTAATATTCAAGGCTTCAGGTTGGAATCAGCTTAGTATAAACAATGGACCAAGTATATTAAAGCATACCTTTGTGAGAAGTTGATTCACAATACTGTCGTGAACACCTGTCCCGTCTCGGGTGGAGCCTCGAGCCTGGAAAGAACACGACAGGAAATGAGAACCGTCGAGTCAGCATTACAGCTTGTCCATCTGAGGACAAGCTCGACGGGTCACATTAACCTAAAATAAAACACATCCAACTTAACCGTGCGATTCATTTGCTCATCTAACCTGTTCTTACCTTACATATCGCATCCAGTTCATCGAAGATAATAATATGCAGATCACTTTCATCACCTGAAACACAACAAAAGATAGATCCTTACCATTAGATCTCCTCAGTGTGCACTTCGGCCTATTCCATTACCTTAAAACGCTCATACCTCCAATCTGACAGACAAACATTACCTCGCGACTTTTGCTCGGCCTCGGCATCCGCAAATAGGTCTCGCACATTCTTCTCGGTTTCGCCAACAAACTTGCTAAGAACCTCAGGGCCATTCACAACCTGTGGTCAAAAAGACAACGATTCAGCACTGGACACTATACCTTTGGGTCGGTTGTATGGCTGCCCTCCACACAAAGCACGGACACAAACATGGATTCTCTTAGTGAGCAAAAATCATGATTCCAAACAACAACAGAACCATGATATTCGAGCGGCGAAAGACCTCAGAGTTCAACATGGAAATGGACACTGTACCTTGGGTTCACGCCCATTCAGTAACTTTCCAATCTGCCGCGCAATCAGGGTCTTTCCAGTGCCGGGAGGACCAAAGAGCAAGATTCCTTTCACGTGTGGAATTCCCAACCTGAACATTTCCGTGAGGACTTGCTATTCAGTGCTAGCAATCGCCTCAACCAACACTTCGATACCACAAAGCCACAGATACAGTACTGAGGAGCAAGCTGCTGAACCTATTCAAGGCTGCTGCAATCAGCCAAGAGGTCATGATCATGAAACAAAAGAAACCCTATCAGGAAAGGCGTGTCATCAACTCACTTCGAAATCACATGGGGCGGGAAAACTCTGGATGCAAACGCTCGCCGAAAAATGTCGCCAAACTCCGCATCCAATCCACCGATCCCCAACTTTTGAAAATTAAATTCCTTCGTCTTGAACAGGTTGGTGGTTCGTCCCCCCTTTTGGTTCACTATCTGTGTGGAGCACACACAACTAATAAGAATGCGATGTAAATACGGCTTCGTAACCTCTAACCGTCAGTGAAAAGTTGTCCCTGTATCTAACTGGTTCCGAACTGCACATCCAGGATACGGTTCCTCAGATTGGAGCAAACTCTTTGTCTCCGCACCACATCAAAACTTTTCAGCACTCTCGACAGACAACCCAATGCTCAATCAGTGAACTCCACACAGACTACACTCCTATTTTCCGGCTTCATCCATCAGGTCACTGGTATCCATAGTGATATAAATACATCAACCAATTCATAAAGATCAACCAAAGCAATCTTGGCACTTGAAAAAACTCGTACACCTGACGTCCTACCCTTGGCATTTACAGAAAACAAACTGGATGCTGAACAATGCCTGACCTTGATGCCGGAATTAGCAGGCGTTTCAAACTGCCAAACGGTATCTTCGGTCAAAAGACCCGCGCTCCCTTCTCCTTCACGACGGCCCTCCACTAGCACCGTGACGACATTGAACGTGAAGTTGGTACCCAGGTACTCGAAAGAGACCTTCTGGTTGATCGTCAAGACCTACACATACACCCAAGACTCAACCTCACCTCATTGCGCCCAATGATTGCGTTACTGCGCTGGTGCACGACCACGTAAAAGATGACGACTATCCAGCTAACAGTTTCTGGCTACACTTATGTTCACAACAACAACAGCCGCAAATTCTCATGTCTGCAGCGCTTCCGTCAATCGCCAAAAGCTTATCCGTCACCAGAGTAGCCTCCGACACATGCGTAAACTTAGAGCAAGCTTCTAGTTTCATACAATGGCCGCAGACGGTTCAAAGGACAGGTTTATTCATGTCCACAACCCTGTAAATCATGCACTCCACAACCTAGTAAACAGCATGCGCATATGCACCTGGCCGGAGAACCGTTTTGTAAGCTCCTTAGAGATGATAGTTGCATCAACCTGCATGCCAACCATTCAATGTCATGCACCCAGCTGATCACGTAGTACGCTTCTACCCACCCACTCATAATCTTGCATCATCCGAAGTACACTTCAGTTATAGATCAAGGGCAAGGAAAATAAATGGCATCTTTTCACACTGAGATTCCATCATACCGTCTCCTGTTTCTTGCCTTTCGACACGAAATCCAGCTCGGCTTGGATCATCACCAAACCGAACTTGGATGATGGGAGCGCATATCTGAGCAAGCAATAACACAGGCTCATGAGAGGAATCGCCAGGCGGTTACCCAATCCCCTTACATTCACTCACATTAAAACTGAAGAATAACTCTAAATTTAGCCCTAGAATTACATGTGGGAAAGAACAAGAACAGTGCCGTAGCAAACGCAAAAAAAAAAAAAAAAAAAAAAAAAAAAGAGTATCCAACTCCAAACAGAGCCTTGTCAACAGGTACAAATAAGAAAGTACACGACATAAAGGATCCATAATCACCTTTCGACAGAGACATTGTCCCCGTTTGAGACCTTCAAACAACGCCGTTGGATGGCATTGAGAGCGAGAGTACCGTCTTGGATGGAATCATGCGGAGTAATCTTAGGTCAAGGCTAAAACATCGTCTAGAAGTACTTGTTAGGCGATCCAAACTGTAGGATACAATCTCAGAATGCAAAAGAAGCCTAAGACGCCACACCATCCTGCCTGCCGAAAGACCAGATCGGATAATTATCCAGTTCACTCCCCCAACTTCCCCACCAGAATCTTTTTAAAGAAACTTCGCGATACGATGACTAAATGGCAAAAATCAACGATTATCCATTTCACTCAACGACAGTTTCAATGAGAAATGGTATGCCACCGCATTGTCTACTTCGTATTGTCAGTGACTTGCATTGCTTGACAGGCGTTATCACAGTGGAACTCAAACCTAGAATCTCAGTGATTGCCAAAGCTAACAAATCCAGAGGGTTCGAGGTATTCAAATCTCGAACGGCCGCTTCACCAACTTTAGCAAGCCTCACACAAGATTGAGATAGCTTACGCGTAGAACCGAACAAACGCTCTAAAATGACAAAACAAAATAAACAAACAAATAAAAGACGATTGCATAATAGTTCCAACTCAGCGAAATGTGGCAAGTAAACATCAGATCTACCATAAACCCAATCTGATTAACTTGCTTCAGCAAAATACACTAGCAGAAGTCAAAAAAGGATATAGCACTTTGAAAACAAGCTGATCGCCTACACGGCACATGCCATAGTCCGCTCTGGGTAGTTTGAACTGCGCGAATTGGCCGCGCGAGCAGAATGCACAATTGGTGAGCGCCAAATCCTGCGAAGGTGTGCTCACAACCAGCATGGTGGGCAAGGCCTTATCCCTGAACATCGTGGCTGAAGTAGATCGTCTATCTCCAGGCAACAAGAACTACAACAACTACAACGACAAGCGGTAACAAGCCCTTCCTGCCGGTGCGCAACGCTGCTGAATCCAGACAGCGGCAAGCACAATTTCGTCAAAACAACAACATCAACAACATCGAGGGGCTTTTGATAAAATAAGAATGAGCCGTGCTGCGTAGGTTTTGAGAACAGTTCGTCAGGACCGAACTCTGATGGTCTTTCGAGGGTCGTGGCTTTGGATGGTTTTTCCCAGAGGAACGCGTTGGAAGAAATTTTGACCTTGCTGAACACGTCAGATCTTTTGTGCTTGTGTGTATTTTGTTTTTTGTTTTGTTTTGTTTTTTTTTTTGTTTTTTGTTTTTTCGCTATTGTAAGTGCAGAATAACATCTTCAAAGACTGATGTAACAATGTCCAAAAAAAAAAAAAAAAAAAAAAAAAACTAGGGTTGTGGAGAATACTTTAAAATTGTGATATTTATTTTGTTGTGTTTCTCAACAGACTAAATAAAATATGAAAGAGTTTTGTAGCATTATATCAACATTGCTTTTATATGGATATGATTTAATTAGAATTGATTACTGTATCTTATGAATTATAGTAGGAATTTTGTGGTTTTTTTTAATGACTTTTGTATTCCAATTATTGTTTGATATTTTGAAATTTTATCTAAAAAAAGATATTAGATAAACTATGGCAATATTAAGTATTAATCTATGAATGCAAAACAATTTTTTGGGTAGTATTTGATTTTAATGCTTAAAATTAAACTAAAGTCAGATTGAAGTCAAATTCTATATAGAAAAAATTTCTATATAGAAAAAATTATACTACAAAGGTTTTTCAAATATAAATTGGATACAATTTAATCAGTAAGAAAGACTAACATATTATTGGACTTTGCAAAGGATTTTATTTGAAAGACAAAGTTGAAATAAATTGAGTTATTTTCTACATATAAGCTAGCAATTACAAACTAGTTTGATATATGAGAGAAGTAAATCAACTTATTTGTTTATTTTGGTTAAATTTAAAAATTAAGCATAAGTTAACAAAAAGTAATTATGTTTATATTCAAACTCTAGATTATCATTGCTAATGCTTTAAATATATGCACATTTCAGTCAATTTGGTGAATTTAATATAAATACAATTGATGATATTTGATCTATCAAATATAAAAATAAAAATAGTTTTAACAAATATTAGTTGTTAAGCTTAGATTTTACATTGATTGGATAACAATTCAATAAACATAATTATATAAGTTGGTAATATATGTCACTAAAAAAGAAGGATAAAACTTATTATTTAATAGACCTAAAAGTCTAAATTTTGGATACTTTGAATGTAAGCAAGTCTAAATTTTTGGTAGATTAGAAGATTTTTTTTCAACTTTTTTTTAGTTTACAAGGAATTTGTTGTTTAGCTTAAACCAACAATAGATGGTAACTCTTCTTACTAAGTATCAAGCTACAAATATTAATCCAAAAATAGTCTCTCATATATCAAAGTTGACAAATTATAGACAATATTATTTGCACTAACTATTAGTTTCAATTAGAATGCCTATAATCTAACTTTTATAGGTATTGCAAGCATTAGACTTGAATAAAAATAAAAATAAATAAATAAAAGAAAGAAAAATCAATCAATTAAAAAGTAATATTTATTTAAAATTAATTATTAATATTTTTAATATTATTATATTAATAAATATGGTAATAATACCTATTGTATCATTTTGGATATTTAATACTATTTGATACTTCTCTCTCTCTTTGCACATGTATACACAACCATCAGCCTTTGTAATTATTTATATTGCTTTTATTAATTATATGCAGCTATTTAATTTTTTGTTAGTTGCTATTTATTTTCTTCACTTGATCTATTTTAATCCAAGTTTTAAGATATCTAATATTTTAAGAATTGAGTATCTCCTCCCTAACTTCTACTATCTATTTTTTAATTTAGATCTTTCTAATAGATTGGTTCTTTCAAACTGCCTTTAGCTAATAAGGCCTATTGTCAATATTTTTATTTTATTTGAAGTGTATCCTTGGACACTTCTATATTACAAGTTTAGTGGTCAAATGTTGAACTTCAATTCTTTTTTTATTACAAAACAAGATCTTAACAAAGTTCACATCTAATCTTGATTTATATCTAATACAATCCAATTATTAAAAGATGCAATTGTATTTTTTTTAAGAGATAAAGAAATCCATAATTCCAAATGTTGAGATCTTGATTGTAGAGTCTTTTTTGTTAAAAGATAATACATAAGACTTAAGTGGTTTGGCATGGATTAGACTATGTCCAAAAAATATTTTAATATCTAATTGAAGGTATTAATAATGTTTCAAGCTATACTAAATATTTGGCCCTTCTTATAATAATCAAAGTGGTTTGAGGTTGTTGACTATTGAAGCTAACTTATAAACATGTATAAAGTCAAATCTACACTTTATGAATCTTTAAAACATGTTTTTTACAAGATACTATCAAATTTACCTATTTTTATTTATTTCTACTTAATTTCTTTTATTTAGGTAATTACCAATGTTAATTTATGTCTATGATATTATCCCATTTTTAAAAGTAAGTTCTATGACGAATAGTGATTAAATATTGAAGAAGTCTAAGATGTAACAAATTATATTTATTATATATTGTAAACTTTGTTTGCTTTGAAGGTATTATATATATTTAATAAAAAGATTCAAAGAATATTTATAGAATATTATATTAGGTTTTAGAAGGTTTCAAAAGATTTTAAAAATATTCCTAAAAATATTTCTAAAAGATTTCTAGAAGATTCTTGAAGGTTCTTAAAATATTCTAATAAGTTCTAGAAAGTTCTAAGAAAATTAATGAAGTTGTTTGAGAAACTTCTTAAGGTTGCTTTATCTTCAAGCAATCTTAAGAAGCTTCTTAAGATTGCTTTATTTTCAAGCAACATGGAAACTTCTTGAGAAGCTTCCTAAAGTTACTTCATCTTTGAATAATATGAAAACTTCTTAAAAAGCTTCTTAATATCTAATATATATTGGAGTCAAGGCTAAAGAAATGCTTAGTCTCAATAATACATCTCTTGGAGTTTTACCTCACCTTTTTTGATGTTGATCTTATATTCATTTGATTTAATCAAGTTCTTTTTAGTTTTCTTGTTAAAACTCTTCCATTCAATTTCTTGTTTGGTCTCTTATATAATGCATTTGTAATAATTTTTCAAGACTACTATCTAATTAATATTAGAATTTGAACTTTGTAAATAGAAAATGCATTATCTTTCTTCTTAAAGACATCTGAGTACTTTAGAGGTTGCAAAGTATCCTCTTCTAAATTGATATTATTTAGAAACTTTTTTATTTTTACTTTTAAAATAGATAGAGGTGAAGATGTTAATATAATTGAATTTTCAAAGTCTAAATTAGATGTTATTATGAATATACTCAAAATTTTAGCTTATAGAACTATTTAAATTGAAAATTTTTTTGCAAGATTTTATAGTGATACAAGACGTAGATCAAGTCAACATGTGATACAATTACTTTTTTAAGCTTCTTTATCCAAGGAGGCACTGGCATCTATACTTTAACAAGAAATATTATCTATTCAACAATGTAAAGAGCCTCAAATTAGTCTTTTAGAAAAGCTTGATAGCTCATGTTTAAAGTTTGAAGGATTTATTAACCAAATTCAATTGGTAACTTTTCTACAATCTGAGCGCTATCCAAAAAAAGAGTTCCAAGTTAATTTAGTTGGAACCTTCCTCACAAAACAAACCTTATTTTGATTTTTTCCTTTATTTGAGCAAAGATCTCTAATCTTGAATAATTTTAAAGCTTTCTCAAAACCGTTGGTAAAAATATTTGGAAAATATGATAGGATGTAATGAGCAACAACAAAGATTTGTTCATTACATCAATGGTCTCATTTTACATCAATTTATGCATTTGATTTTAAGCAATTGTCTTATGACATCAATTGAGATGAATAAGCTCTTATGATCTAATTCTATTTGAGACCAAGAGATGCTATAAAAGACCTATTATTATAATTATGTGATCTCCAAATATTCAATGAAGCTATTAGCAAAGTTGTGAAGTATAATAATTGATTATTTCAATGCTATCAAGTTCAACACTTGTATACTTTAATAAAACAACACACTAAAATTTCAAAATCTATTACTTCAATAAATACATTACGTCCACACTTTGGAGCTGAGGATATGCAAATTGATGCAATATAATTCAAACCTCTTAGAGTAGAAGAGAAGAAGCATCAATTTTAAAAAGGCTTATGCTTATATTATAGTAAAGAAGATCACAAATTTGAAAATTGTTTAAAGAAACAACATACAACTAGGATTAGGAGTATAATTATTTAGGAAAACCAAGAAGTCCAATCATAATAAAAAAACATACAACTAAACATTTCAATGCCTCAAATTCATCAAAGTCCATCTCTTTTTATCCAATCTATTTATTGTTTTATTATACTTTTATTTCTTAGCCCACAAAAACTTTTTAAAAATGTCTTATTAGATTCAAGAGCATTTGCTTACTTTATAGATGAGGAGTTTTTCAAACTTCATAATATTCTTCTAATATAGAAGTCAAAACCTATACATATAGAAATAATAGATGGTCAAGTTTTATCTTCAAGCAATGTTATTCATGAGACCATACTGCTAGAAATAACATTTGAAGGCTATAGTAGCAAAATAATATTCAATATTATTAAATTTCTCTCCAATTATATCATTCTAGGACTTTTGTAGTCAAAAAGATATAATCTATTTACAAATTTAAATTAGAGGTGTTCCAAGGTTGAATTTCTTGTAGAATCCCTTTGAGAAAAATCTATCAAGAAATCATAAACAAAAAAGGCCCTTATTTTTGAAAGCAAGGACTTTTGTGAAGATAGCTAAGAAGGAAATGCCATTTGTTAGGTTGGTGGTTCGTCCCCCCTTTTGGTTCACTATCTGTGTGGAGCACACACAACTAATAAGAATGCGATGTAAATACGGCTTCGTAACCTCTAACCGTCAGTGAAAAGTTGTCCCTGTATCTAACTGGTTCCGAACTGCACATCCAGGATACGGTTCCTCAGATTGGAGCAAACTCTTTGTCTCCGCACCACATCAAAACTTTTCAGCACTCTCGACAGACAACCCAATGCTCAATCAGTGAACTCCACACAGACTACACTCCTATTTTCCGGCTTCATCCATCAGGTCACTGGTATCCATAGTGATATAAATACATCAACCAATTCATAAAGATCAACCAAAGCAATCTTGGCACTTGAAAAAACTCGTACACCTGACGTCCTACCCTTGGCATTTACAGAAAACAAACTGGATGCTGAACAATGCCTGACCTTGATGCCGGAATTAGCAGGCGTTTCAAACTGCCAAACGGTATCTTCGGTCAAAAGACCCGCGCTCCCTTCTCCTTCACGACGGCCCTCCACTAGCACCGTGACGACATTGAACGTGAAGTTGGTACCCAGGTACTCGAAAGAGACCTTCTGGTTGATCGTCAAGACCTACACATACACCCAAGACTCAACCTCACCTCATTGCGCCCAATGATTGCGTTACTGCGCTGGTGCACGACCACGTAAAAGATGACGACTATCCAGCTAACAGTTTCTGGCTACACTTATGTTCACAACAACAACAGCCGCAAATTCTCATGTCTGCAGCGCTTCCGTCAATCGCCAAAAGCTTATCCGTCACCAGAGTAGCCTCCGACACATGCGTAAACTTAGAGCAAGCTTCTAGTTTCATACAATGGCCGCAGACGGTTCAAAGGACAGGTTTATTCATGTCCACAACCCTGTAAATCATGCACTCCACAACCTAGTAAACAGCATGCGCATATGCACCTGGCCGGAGAACCGTTTTGTAAGCTCCTTAGAGATGATAGTTGCATCAACCTGCATGCCAACCATTCAATGTCATGCACCCAGCTGATCACGTAGTACGCTTCTACCCACCCACTCATAATCTTGCATCATCCGAAGTACACTTCAGTTATAGATCAAGGGCAAGGAAAATAAATGGCATCTTTTCACACTGAGATTCCATCATACCGTCTCCTGTTTCTTGCCTTTCGACACGAAATCCAGCTCGGCTTGGATCATCACCAAACCGAACTTGGATGATGGGAGCGCACAATCACCCCATTAAGTTCAAAATACTCCATACTTACTAGAAGAGCAACATTGTTGTACATGCAATATTGTATCCAATATGGCCAAAACCACTTTTACAACCATTACATTTATTTTTTAGCTGTCACAATTTTCAAGTAAGATAATAGCTATTATAAAGTCACTTCTAATTTTGAATCCATTGATATTATTTTTGGAGCATTTGGAGGTTGAATTTGGTAGCATTAAGTAGCTTAAGATGTGTCATATGGAAGACTTTAAGAAAAAGCCTAAAGATGTTCTAAAAATAAAATTTACTTAATTTATTTAATTTGCTAGATTTGCTGAAGAAAATAGAGATTCATTCATAGAGCACCAACTAATATCTTTATACATGCAAAAGTAAGAAAAAAAGCCATAACATATGGCATTTTTTTTATTTCAATATATGTATTAAGGCCAAGTTATGTTGATTTAAATATTTGTTGTGAAAAACAACTATGTCGTTGTTTATATATTGAAGAAGCTTAGAGATTTTCAAATATTATGACAGTATGAAGCCATTCCAAAATACTTGTGGCTATCATGAAAAAAGACCAAAGAAATTTTTAGCCATATAAATAAATAACTATAGTAGTTGAATTAGAAGAAAATACAAATGCTAATATGTGATGTTAGAAGTATAAAGGATCAAACCATAGAAAGAATAATTGTCCTTTAGAAAGATTATTTGAAGGCAAGAGTGGTAGAAAAACTTCTACTACTAATAGTAAAAAGTGATAAGAAACTAAAGATAGTTAAATAATGTATAATAAGTATAATCATTAATTAATATAATACTAAGGTATATTCATGTGTCTTGTGGTTGAAGAAGACAGACAAAGGTAAAATATTGGATAAAAATTTATCATTAAAACCTCAATCTTTTATAATAAAGATTTTCTCAATAGGTAGAACAGCCTCAAGACATAATAGTTTTAGAGTAAGGATAAAAGAATTACAGAATATATCGTCATTGTTTATTGTAGCAGGTATTAAATCTATTTATATAGCTTTTGACTTAAAACAAATAAACTTATGTTTGTAACAATGGTATGATCAATATGCATATTAAAAATAAGGCAAGGTGATGACGGTAATTTCTAGTATAAGATTATAATGAAGTATACTACCAAACAACCTTTAAAGCTTGCTAAAAAATCTTTAAAACTTTGATTTAAGATAGGCAATAATGTATTTGCTCATATTTTTATAAGGAGTATGATTACTAGTACAATTTCTTATGACATCTTGTGATAGCAACAAGCATTGTATTCCATTGATTTTGGTTATGATTCTTGAACTTAAGAGGCATAATTTTGGCCATAATGATCAAATTAAGATAGAAGATAAGAAGTTATTTTTATACTCTTCAATAATATAGCTACCTTAGTTGAAGTAAAAATATCAATATATGGATGTTAAATATTTTTTTATATTAAAAGATGCTTGTAGATGCATAATTTCAATAAGATTCATTCTTAGACTTGATGCTAGTTTGGTTGCAACTTTAAAGTCATGGTTGTTAATACAAAGCTATATGTATGTAGACAAAAATATTTTAATAATGAAGATAACAAAATATTATTGTAATTACCTCAAAGCTTTGTTAATTGATAAAATATGGTATATTTTTAGTTTTACTATCATATTTGAATAAATAATCTTCAATTAATTTACCTTTAGATTATTAAGAAATTAATTTCTATCAAATATTTTATTAATAATTAATTTTAGTCATTATAATTTATATCCTATATAATTAGAAAATTTCTAATATGAAGATATATCTTAATTTGGAAATATCACCAACTAAGAAAGATTAGAAGTCATTGAATAGTTACATTATTTTATAATAATGAATCTTACTTGTATTTGAATTTGTACTTGAAGTCTATAGGAAGTTTATGCTATTGGCAATAGAAACAATATTAAAGAAAGTTATTTTATATTATTTAAAATTAATAATAATTATATTAATTTTAAAAACGACAATATTACAAAGTTGAAAGTAAGTAGTAATCTTATTGGAATTGCTTTAAGATAAGTTATTAATCAGAATAAATGCATTATATCAATCTATTGGTTTATCGATGAATAAAAATGCAATATTTTTGGACAACTATTAAAGTACTTCAAATTAATTTATGTATGAAAAAAATCAAAAACAACTTAATAAAAGTGTAATAACAATTAAATGAGTTATTTTTTATTGAATTTAAACCAAGTAGTTTACTATCAACAATTAAAAGAACTAAATATTTAGAAGAATAAAAGACACTTAATATAGTTCATACTACTAATGACTGCTTCCATTTCTATTAAGTTTATACTAATTGGTATAATTTAAATTATAATTATATTTCATAAATAAGTACATGTGTTGATAAATTATTTCTATCAAAATGAATTGATTTATATATCAAATAAATAAAATTTATTCTATTATAATGAATATCTATTTAGAAGAACTATAGATGCAATATTTGAAAAACCTACACGCAAATATTAGCCAAGATTGTATATCAAATCTTCTAATAGATATTTTTTAGTTCTATATTTTAATATAAATTAAAATAAAAACCTCAATATACATCTTTGATCTAATATCAAGTTTTATAGTTTACATAAAAAATAAATAATATAAATAACATAAAATAAAAATTTCTTTTCAAAAAATATTAATAAATCTAATATTTGAGAAATGCAAGTCTAAGACATGTATTTTACTAAGAAATTATATATTTAATATGATACTCTGCCTCTTGGTATAAAGGAGTGATCATTCATCTTATAAAATAAATATTTTATCTTACAAAAATAATAAATAAAAATCACTCTTTCATAACACAACACTAGTTTTTTTTCATTCTTATAGATGTACAACACCAGATTTTTACATTCTTATAGATATACAACACTAGCTTTTCACATTCTTGTAGATATACAATACTAAATTTTCACATTCTTATAGATGTACAATATTAGCTTTTTACATTTTTGTAGCCTTGATACCACATATTTCTTCCTATTTAGCATCTTCTTAAGTAAATGAATCTCCTTTCATTTAAATAATTTGGTTTATTGTAGGATCTTTTTCAACATGTTACTTAGCTCTTATAGAATCCTTTTGGTTTTGGTAGAGATTTCTATTCAATCTATCAATATTTATATTTATCAATCATATCCTATGTACTACCATGAAGTAATATTTTTGCAGCATGAAGGTCCACCTTACAATTTTTTTCCAGTCAGTTTGTCAAATTCCATGAATCATTTAGGTGGTTGATGGTCCATTACAAAGAAAAATTCTTTGCCATACAAATAACATCAAAAATATAATATTATCCAAATTGTAGTTAAACATTCTCTTTTATATGAATTATATTAAGTTTTATCATTATTATTCAATCTGCAAGCATAAGCCTTTACAAACTTTTTATTCTTATAATTTGTTTGAGGGAAAATAATTCTAATATCTATAATACTTTAATCTATAATTTATTATTTTTTTGCAATTAATATAACCTCCTTAAAATAGGCCTTTGTAGAATTGGTGCACTAGCTAATCTAGTCTTAAGTTCTATAAAAGTTATTTCTTTTTTATTATCTCATATATACACTTTATTATTTCTTATGAATATAGTTTAAGATTTTGCTATGTAGCAAAATTTGAATTAAACTTCTAATAATAATTGGCTAATCTGAAAACAATTCTCAACCAACTTACATCTTTAGATCTTAAGATACTTGTTAAAGCTTCTATCTTAATCTTCACAATAATAAGGCCTTTTGAATAAATTTTATGCTTTGAGTAATCTACTTATAAATAGAAAAATATATATTTATTCAGATACACTTTGGTCCATACTCTAATAAGATGTTTTTAATATTTTTTTCTTATTTTTACAATATATATATATATATATATATATATATATATATATATAGATTATCAATGTAATACCTCACAAAAGGTAGTTCCACAAGTACTTTATCTACCATCCTTTAGAATTCAACAAGTACATTCTTCAATCCAAATGGTAGATATAATTTTTTTTTTTTAATTCATAAAATCTTTCAAAATGATGTTTTAAGTCTAACCTTTTTTTTCACCAACATTTGGAGATGTTTAGATTACAAATCCAATGTATTGAAGATCTTTACATATTCAATAATATCAAATATTATTTTAGAAATAGGCATGGCATATCTATTTGACTTTTTTCTTTTATTGATAGGTCTATAGTCACCATACATCTGCTTCTTTATCCAATTGTTAAAGATGTTTATTTTAGAAGACATTATAGTAACTATTGCATGTTCTCTATTAAAAAACTCTATTAATTTGGCATCCAAAAGCTCCTCAATTTGAGCTTTTATCAACCCTCTTTTAACTTCAATATATTTATAAGGTTTGCAAAAAATATGAGCATCATCCACCAAATTAATCCTTGTTTTTTAGAACACCTAAATTCTTCAATTCAAAAGAAAAATAATTATTAAATTTCTTTAAGAATTTTTGTTCTTTTTACCCTTCTACTTCCCTTTCAAACTCCACATTTGATTTCCAATTCTTTTGGATTAAATCGCATTTCTATAGTAGCTATATAATTACATTTGTTTAAGATATTAGCTATGCAACTAAGCAAGTTGAAATATCAGTAACTAATAATCTAATTTTAGATTTTAATAAAATCTTTGTATATCTCTCAATTATCAAATTGTAAAAAATTACAAAAAAATTGAAAAAGACTAAATTTACCAAATAGAAGATAAATCCTAAAATTTCCTTGAATGTTGATTTGTCTCTTTTTTCAACCTTGATGCCAATCTCTTAGTGCAAATATTTTTTAATGAAAATATTTTAATGACATTCATACTTTGTATAAGTTTTTGAAATCTAATAAACTATTATTGTACAAAATTTTAATTTTGTCGAATTGACAAAGTGCTGTAGATTTTAATAACCTTCATTGGTCTTCTAAACTCTAATTTTTAAGGTCCTACTATGTTGAAATTTTAATGTCCTTTGAATGAGTTTTTAAATCAAGCTCAAACTTACAACAAAGATTTAATACAAAATTAATTATATAATCACAAAATTTCATTTATAATCATCTATAAATCTTACAAAATTCTCCAAAGTATAAAATTTGTAAATTTTTCGGAATTCATAATAATTCCAAAAAAATCCTAATTTTTTAAAGTCTTTATAAAATCATTATAAACTTCATTCACTCAAAACTAATGCCTAAAAAACTTCTTTCTTGTTTGCTATCAAATTCTACTCTTTAATTAATCAAAAACCCTAGAATTATTATAGATATATGATTTTCATCATGATTCATAACCAATCCTCTTTAGGTATCAATTCTTATTTTTTAAAATAAGTTTTGCTAAAAACTACTCTTAATTCCTTCTTAAAGATGTCTATATTAATTAATTTTCTTTCCTATTTTAATTTTTTTATTTATGGCTCTACAAAATAGAAGTCTTTTTTACAAAAAAACAACATTAGAACTTATTAATTTTTATTATCTCCTTATTTTTTTAGTATATTTTGCTCCTATTTTATTGTATACTCTTCAGATAATTCTCTACAATGTTTTTATTTAAGCTCCTCTATAATAAAATCTTTTTTTTTTCTTTTACGTAATAGTCGTATTACTATAGGACACTAGATAGAATAATTAACATTGCATTTTAAAATATACCTTATCAATCACAATCGGCTCTAAATCAAAAAATAATACACAAATAATGTGCTTCTCAACTCTTCATCGTCCACTATAAATACTATTGTCACCACAATCTTCTCAACTTTGTCAATATTACTCATGTATAATTCAATAATATGAAGTGGATGGATAAGTATGGCACCAAATTCGTCTAGAACTCCATAATATCTACATTTAGTACATCATCTAATTGCAAACTTGTTGTCAAACATGATATAATCTCAAATACCAACTTGTTTAAATTCATATACATTGGCCATTCAATATCTAACAACCTCTAGAATATTTTGTAAATTGTCTTGTTGTCCAATAATACAACTACATCCATATGTTCCAAAAAATTGTGAATCAATAATACAATATTATACAGCTCCACTATTATAGTCCAAACTTAAAGAGATAGTTAGATAGTAAATTTCATCTTTGTCTTCTTCTTATAGTCCACCAAAAAAATTTCTAATAATAGTAAATTTAGTCTGAATCTCATCTCGTCTCTTATATCATTGTACACCAAGAATCCTTGTAGTTCCATACAATTATATCTCAACTTCCTCACTATATCCAAGCACAGATCCACAATCTCTTTTCCAAATAGTGTAGTAGCCACAAGCTAAGTTGTACACTACTTCCCTCCTTGATTTAGCTAAAATATTCCAACTTCCATGCATTTACTCACTTACAATAACTATTCCAACTTACAACCATCATGCAAAAAAAATTAAAAAATATATATACACACTTTCACAAATCTACATATTTGTGGCATCAACTTTCCTACAAAAAAGATGAATTATATCAATTTGGATGAAGAATTCTTTTTGAATGAATGTATTAAATCACCTATAAGAGACATTCAAGCATATTTTTTACATACTAAAATCAACCAATGAAAGATATCAGAGCTCAAAAATCTGTACAATTTCAGCATTTATTATCTTCAATAAAAACACATCAAAACCCAAATTTTGATTAAACTAAGTGCACAAATCCACTATGGGATCTTTTTCAAGTGATATTACATGAAAAAAAATCCTAATAAAATGCAAAAACTCCACAACAAACACAATAAGTGAAGCCACATATGAACACTATGAAAGTATACCAACCTACAATGACGAAAGCAAAACACTCAAACTCCTCTTTCAAAGGTTTATCTTGAAGAAGATAAGCCTTTGTAGGATTTTGAACACCATGGAACTTGAGTCAGAAGTTAAGGACCTCCAAGACCCCATTCAAAGCCCAAGTTTTGATGGTATTCTTTGTTTATGAAACATAATGGTGTTTGAAAGTAGTCCAGCCCTCAAGTTCTGAGAGCAGATGTGTACAAGCTCATACCTTAAGTCAAAACAGAATCAATCTTCTGCATGATACTATCAAGAATTCGAGTTACTTCAGTGGAATAAATTGAGTTCCAAACTTAACGCTACTTGAAGCGGTGAACAAAGCATGTAGTAGAAGACCCCTGAACCTAGAAAGGTGTTCAGACATTGAACTATTCAAGGTGCATCTTCACATTTTCTCAGTGAGAACCCAAAATTGTGCACTAGACAAGACTGAGATTGACTGCTCGATATTCATGTTGCTGAAACATTAACTCGCCGATCTTGACAACTCAGCAAAAATATTCAGCTGTTGTGATTGCCACAATAGTGCATTTCATGTCGATGTAATGACCTGAGAAGCAGATCTCGCACTTGGAACAATCAGCGAGTTTCGTAGAGTGAATCACTCATCTATTTTATCTGGCCTTTCCGTAGGACGGTATTCAGAGAGGAGCATTGAAACAACGTTCTGCAATGCAAGGTTTTCTGAGAGCTGGTGGGGGTAATGGGCAGTGAACCCGTGTCCAACTTCCTCCGTGGATGGACGTCCATCCACAGCACATCTGTACTGTGGAAAAAGCTCATCGAAGACCAAAATATGATAACCCACAAATCCCTAAACCCTTCAAACACAACTCTCGTCAACAGCCTTCAAGTTACAAACACAAGGATTATCGACAAAAAATTAGCACAATTCGTGCAGCAGCCCAATTTCAACCAACAGAACCGATCAGCTTCACTCTCACCATGAACGCCAAAGTTGCACGACTCAAGTGCACTTCAGCTGAGATGACAACCTTGGGATAGTGTCACTCTGTTATAAAAGTACCTCTTCGAGGTGTTGGGAAAGAATGCGACTGCCCGTGCATTCCCGACAAACCGCAATTCGGTCATCCAGTTATCCTCCGCACAAACACTTCGTTGTCACCAATCGATGCATATGCTTACAACTGGAAGGGAGACACAGCAGAAGAGACAGCATGTCAGTTGGACCATCCAACTCACACGCTTGTCACATATTATACATCCTACACTGCGTCAGGCATCCTTCCATGGCTTTGGAAATTCCCCACCAGGGGCTATCTACGCTCCAATCCTCAGACCAGAGAGACATGCCCTACAAAACACTAGTAGGTCGAAGAGTCCCGCTTCCACCTTACCGCTCCTCCCTCAAGGCCCGTCATATACTTTACACAAATCCGCTCTAGAAGAATCCTCCTCACAAATCTACAACTAATCACACCTGCAATCCGCGGATCATCCTCTGAATACCTCCTGAGCGCTCACAAACATTACCTTCACTCGGGTGCGGCCCTATGTACAGACTACGCCTGCGCTGGGGCAGGTTGTTGCGACATCACGATTGCCTTCTCAGGATTTGGTATCTCCCCGCATCCCGCGTGCTGCACAAATTCGGCAGGGGTCATGTGGCGCCCGTGGCAAGCACAAACGATCCGAACTTGACCCTTCTCCACTCTGTAAAGAACGCCCGATATCGTGCCATTGCAAGTCACCCACGGCAGATCTGGTGTAGACCCAGTGCCTCCGAACTGTTGCCCGGCGGCAATACCTGCCTGCAAACTCAATGCCTCATGCCCTCCCATACCATCTAAGCTCGGCAGAGACCCCTGCCTCCACATGCTGATGGGGTAAGGTCTCTTCACATCCTCGTCTGCTCCAATTGTAATCTGAGCTGCAGGCACCTCCAACTGACCCGTGGATCCTAATCCACCCGGACGAAAACCACCCGAAGGCGCAGCATCGTCACCTGCACCTGCCACTCCTCGAGGTCCAGCAGCCTCTGCCCGAGGTACCAACCCACCCCTGGAAGACGCCTTCGATCCACTTTGCACACCCAGCTCATTGGCTTGTCCGTTGCTCCCGCCTGGATACGCCTCCACCCCAAGACTCGCCACTGTAATCCCTACTAAACCTTCTTTTTTTATTCCAACTGCATCCGACTTCGATCGGGAGAGCCCAAACTGAGGGACCAGAGGTGACGGATTCGAGGATGCAATGGGACGCAGCCTGTTCAACGCTCCACTGCTCATCGACTTGGTTTTCGCCAGACCCTGCAAAACAGACTCCTTGGCTGGGGACGTATTTCTACTTCTACGCTCGCTGCCTTTCGGAGCACCTAGGAGCGACAGTACGACGTCTGGAATGTTAGCCTCAGTCCGAACCCATAGCACCAGTTCATGACTACCGCTTACAGAACCAATGCAACAACTTGCAGCAACTGGGTCTCACGCCTGCCCAAACCATCAGACATTATTGCAGTTGTACATATGTCTTATGCTAGTACGCGGGTGCGGGCATTCAGAAAGAACGGCATCAAACACAACTTCAGCACAAGCACAAGCATCTTCTGTTGAATTCATTCCAGGAGATCCCATACATGCACATGCCACGCAGTTTCTCCAATACCAAGCCCAAAGCAACATTGTCCCAATGAAAGAAGGCCCAATCCCACCCTCGACCCACCTCGAGCACCATGCTCCTCCTCACGAACCGATGTCGCCTGCCCACACTTCCCTGCACTGCTCCGAGGTGAAGTCTCAGGGAGAGTGGCGTGCGGCCGCACCATCGCACCTGGCCACGCTGCAGCCCCCTCGGGAGGCTGGATCTGAAAAGGTGGATAACCTGGAGGCAATGCAATCTGAAATGGGCTCGGCATCCCTGGGTAGCACCGTTGCTCTTGGTTCCCATCCCCTCCATTTGGAGGACCGGGCGTAAACTGCATCAGATATGGAAATGGAAAGGGCATGCTGAACGGCAAACCACCCGCACCACCTCCGGCTGGCACCGAAATTGGAAACGGAAATGAGCCTGGCATCATTGGAAACCCTCCGCCTGCTGAAAATGACAAGTTAGCCAATGCCATCGCATTGCTCGCGGGAAGCATGAAAGCATTCGCCTCGTGGCCTCGACCCTCTTCAGGCGTATTGCTTCCCACTGGGGTGGAATGCATTTCCGCGTTCCTCTGATCAATCCTTAACCCGGTATTCGTGTTCTCGTCCTTCCCATCTGATATCTCGGTCCCATCGGAGCTTGTCTGGCTCGAAGCACTGCTCGTCTTCGCGCCCTTCTCTGCCTTTCCTACTGCAGTGGCAGCCGGTCCATCTACTCCTCCATCACCTCTTCTTGGCATCCCAGGAAAGCCTGACGAAACCTTGTCTGCGTTTTCCCTGTTCTCCATTTTCGCAGCCAGTTGGTGACTATTTATCTCCCTGCTACCCGAAACATTTGCTGGATACCTACCTCCGCCATTCGCATCCAGATCCAGCTTCTGCATCTGAACCACATCCGGCGATCCAAAGCTCACTTTCCCATTCTCGCTGCTAGACTCCACATGAACTCCACTCCCACTGTTCTCCCTAGAGCCCCTATCCCTCGTTTTCTCCAGTGCAAGCTGGATTTCCGATACTTGCTCGCCCGATTCCACTCTCCCATCCCCTCCTCCTGTTGCGTGCATTGCCTCTACCTTGGCTTGGACTGGAGCTCCAGCCATTCCTGCCATCCCAGAGGTACCTTCCCAATTGTAATTCATCCACGCACTGCTTCCGAGTCTGCGGAATGCGGTCAAACTAGAAGCACCGCCATGCTGTGACGCTTCCTGGCTCTCCAGTGGAGACGAAACTGCAGATTTCGAACTCTGCTTACACATCCCGGACGATGGCTGCAGCGAAGTCGTCCTTCTCAACCCACTGGGCGGTGCCTCCAACCCAGATTTACCGCCGCTTCCACCACAAGGACCACTAGACCCCGCCCTCTCGCCCTCCTTCTTAGCCTTCTTCGACTTCTGCCCCTCCAGGAGCGTTTTCCTCTTCCGCCGCGCCTCTTGCCTTTTCTGAGTCTGCAACTCTCTCTTCCGTTGCTGCTGAATTATGGCCACATGCCGCTGTTGTTGGTCTATCTGCATGTTCTTGCTCACGTCCGAATCGCTCCTTTCCAAATTACCGGTTGGAGCTGCCGTTTGCTGCGACATTGGAGGAGATGGAATCGGTACTATCTCCGAGTGAGAACCGGAACTGAACGATTTCATAGATAACGAACGTTGCAAATCCCCGCCTCTAGTCGCCGGATCCACTCCTTCTTTGATTGCATCGAAAAATTGCATTGGGAATCCACCTCGAGCAACCATGCGCGCCCATGCCGCCGCAGTCGCCACCGCCTGAGGAGGAAGTCCCTGCAGCTCCTTGATCAAGCTGGCTTCATCTTGGGCACTCAGAGGCACGCGTTGGTGCTCCGGCTGAGATGACTTCCCTTGCAGCGCCTGCCACATGTGCAGGGCGAACGTCTTCGAGTCCTCCGCTATAGAGCTTTCCCCCGCTAGCCAATCCGGCTGTTGGGGTAAGGAACCTTGGCAACCATGCAAAGGCCCACCGAGCCCATTCTCCTTCGTGTCGTTCCTTGATCGATCCAAATCCTGCCAGAGTGACTGGCTCGTTCCGTCTTGCTCATTCTTCAAGGATTTGAAGACCACCCCACCACCATACGATGTCTCCTCGCCATTCAGGCCCTTAGCAACGCCACCCTCATTCCCAAGCTCCCCGGCCGCAGCCCTGAAACAGTCCTCCCGGAACGCATCTCTGTCCAGAAGTATATCCTTCTCCCTCTGCTTCGGTTTATTATTCTTATTGCCGCTTCCACCTCCTCCCAATGACAAACCCAAATTCAGATCAAACCCACAGTCATCATCCATGTCATTTGTCAATCTGGAACTGCTGTGATTCTGGGCAGACTCGGACCCACTAGCTGGTTGATCGGGCTGCAAGCACCAGCTGTGCATAATGGGGGGGACCGCAGCCCATGATCCTCCTGGCTTCGCCTCATTGTTCCGCGAAGCATACTCATCCTCTGCGTTAGCAGCCATAACCGGTCCAGTCCCCACTCCTCAAACCCCAATGACAGCGCCCTCTAGTTATTCTCACTTGGATGACGAAGATATTGAAAATGGCATCTGTGCACGCACATTTGTTCCGTGAATCAGACTTGAGGAATCGCGTAAAATACATGTCATACAAGTCAGCAAGGTCTTCTCCCATGGCTCAATCAACAACAACTTGAGTAACCATACCGTGCAAAGACTACGACTATTGACCCAAGATGGCTCTTTGGGCCCTGTCAATCCTTAGAAGTAACAAGCGTGCAGGTGAACAATGTTTCTATTGTTTTTCCCACTTTTCTGTCATGCAATCCGAATGATTAATTATCCATCTTAGAGAGGCACGAAAACTGACCTACAAAGTGGATCAAATTAATCAAGTTCGCTTGGAGTTCAAGTTCGAAACAATGGAGCTTGAGTACAAGGGAAGAAATAGTATCACCCTACTCCTGGCCACTTCGAAGCAGAATCAAATAGAAGACAAGACCTCTGTTTAATGCGGAACTTGCATCTGATTGTGCAAGTCTCGGCATATTTAGATAAAAATAAGCTTCTTACTGTTCTCTACATCTTCAAACCTATGCCGTTGCAGGAATGCCCACACTGGCACAGCATCTTCATTCCTGGAGTGTGTGGGGCAAAACAATCGAACCCACTTACAACCCACCAAGAACCTAGACCTCGATCGATACCTCCTTAAAAGTGTGGCTCAAGTGATTGACGTTGTTTGTACACTTTGTTGTCCAAGGAAAATCTTATCCGTCACGGATGCTGGAGTACAATCTCCTATACATGATGCCCACAGCGCAGCTCATTGGGACCCTTCCATTAGATAAGCTATCAGATCTCACAATACCGAGTCCCCTTACTTCAAAATTCATAAGCACTAAACACACAACAAAACAACCACGAGGGGCACACAATAGCCTAGCGTCAATCTCAAGGCGCTCTGAAAAGACGATCAATACATCTGGGATACATCGACTAACCAGACGTTGAAATCCTCCCCCACCAAGGCCCCGCCTCTAGCCGAATTCAGCGACCCCTCCCCCAGCCCGAACTTCAGCCACTGCTGCACGACAACCCAAGTGGGGATTGGACCCTCAAACCCTACTGCTACCTCTCATTCCGGAGCATGCACAACCAAATCGGTCAACCACTCCCCCAACTCCCAGAGGTTCGTGAGCGTTACCAATCCATAGCCCCACGAAGAATGCAACACCACAAGGTAACCCACAAACGCATCACTCACTCACTCACTCACTCACTCCCCGTCCAATCCTGCACCATCCATGTCCAAGCCAGTCCACAACAACAACAGCACCGTATCCACTGCCTCCGCTATCCTCAAACGCAACCTGAAAAAACAAGCCAACAATCTCCAAGAGTGAGAGTTATCCCAAGTGCCAGCTCATCTCCCCTATAGCAGCACCCTCCGCGAACAAAAGACCCCCAAAGCCAGCAGACAAAGACAGACATCACACTTCCATCGACTGAATGCAAACAGGCGCACTCTCTCACTCTCACTCACTCCCACTCCCACTGACGAGATGGATGATGATGAACAGCAACGACGTGAAAAAAAATTAGGGTCTGACCACACCCAAGACGGGACCCACCAATCCCCCATCGCGGAGGGCTCCGATGCCGCGCGCTCTCTGGCGCCGTGGGGACCACATGACTTCGCCGGTGATAAGCAAGACGAGAGGTTGCATGCTGATGTGGCACAGCATAGCCTCGTGGGGGAAGCTAAAGCGAGTGAGAAGCTCCTCCGGTGTGAACGCGGCCACGAGCCTAAGATCTGGCTCTGCGGGCACGTGATGGCTTCGCAGCACCCGGGTTTAGGGCGCTGTCTTATGGCGGCCCCACCACCGTGCCGCGGGACCTCGTTGCCTCCGCCCTCTGCCTCACTTCCTTTCCTTTCCTTCGTTCCTTCCAATTCTGCACACGCCACAGTCAAAATTGACGTAGTGGGTTTGGGTTCAATGGTGTAACCCTACGACGTGGTCAAACTTGGTGGCAAATTACAGAATGGCGAACTGTCAAAAACCCATATTTCCGTAGTTGACTTTGGGAGTTTGGATTTGGATCGTGAATACCGTACACTATAGATCCACACATGTGTGAAAAGTGTTGGACATTTATTTTTATTTTTATTTTTTAAATCCACTGTGCGTCAATTAGAGCTTTCAAAATAAAATGAAACATATGAATTGCTGTGTGCTCACATTTGAGTGAGTGAGTGAATGAGTGAGTGATTTTTTTTTTTTTTTTTTTTTTTTTGTGTGTGTGTGTGTGTGCGCGCGCGCGTGTCTCATTGTTTGAGACGCAGGAAATGATGGAAAGCATGCAGAACATGCTGTAAATTTTTGTTTGTTGAGAGTTATTGCATGTTGAATCATGTGTGGAAATATGTTTGTCCCTGGAAAAAAAAAAAAAAAAAAAAAAAAAAAATCCGTAATTTAGGAATGAAGTTTTTATTTCAAAAGGTTCATCTGCTTATCCCTAAAGATCTCAAAACTTGAATGACGGGAAAATGTTGAATTTTAAAAATGCAGATTTCTTAAATGTCATAGTCAAATACATTTTTTTTTTTTTCTAAATTGATTCAATATGCAAAATCAATTACAAAGATACATATGCATATACGAATATACATGTTTGTGTGCAACTTTGTTGTTTTATTAACAATTTTTTAGATCGAAACAGTGACTTGTCCTAGTTGATGCCAAAAAATATTTTGTATGGGTCAAACACGTTATAAAAATAAAACTTGATGATGATGACAACTATTTGACTGTGTGTGTGTATATATGTAACAACATCATACATTTTACTAATAGTGTTTGTAAACAAATAATATTTTGAAAGTGTTTCTTTCATGTATGTATATATATAGAGAGAGAGATATATGGTAAGAGGCTTATTTGTTGCTTAGATTAAAAACCAATGAGCACAACTCTTTTAAAAATATTTTAAATGCATTGAAATTGAACTAATTCAATATATTATGTATTTTGGTAATGATAATAAGTTTGAAAATGATGCTCTCTATATTAGTTGTTGTGCATATTGATAGTAAAAAATGTTTCATTGCCAAAGTCCGATTTCATTTCTTATGAATTGAGTGAAATTCAAAGCAACTATATGTCATCTATTGTCAATGAATGCTTACAAGTTGAAAATGTCTTTCTAAGTAGATTGCAGTAGTTATGTTAGTTCAATTGTGACTCCTTTGAGAAATTCTGAGCATCCAGAGTTACAAATGATTGATGCATGATTAACAGTAATAATAACAATGTTCTTGTTATTAGAAGATTTCAGGATATTATTCATAAAAAATACTGTAAAGATGAATGATTTTTTGAGGACAATATTATTCCTAACAACGAGAATTGAAGGGGTTTTGCAAGTCTACAAGGCATTTTCAAGAGTAATTTCTCCACCCATGTACTTACAAGCTCAATGGATTTCACATCATTTTCATACATAGAAATGATAATCATACAAGTTTATGAGTGTGTTTGGATACACACAAAGGAGTCACAATTGAACAAATATTAGCTGCACAAATTTCAGACCCAGGAATTGTGTTTAACTTCCCATTTCTAACTTTGAACCTTGAGTTGAATGTAAGTTTGATTGCATGCACTGCTACACTGTGACATTACAGACACTTCAATTCTAAAGCTTTAACGACATATTCAGTAATAAAACTCTCATAAACAGTGTTCATTAATAATTATAAAAAAACATGGGTAAAGAGGAGACAACCAAACAGATAATTATCCCAAAGTTTTGAAGTGCCGGCAATTGAGTGGTGGAAAAGCCTTCCAATCAGTCCGAGTCAATTTAGGCTTCTGGGGTCCTGACTTCGGTACCACCAGGTGGTGGTGCCCAAGTCATATAAAATTTAAGTGACATAACGCTCTTATTCGCAGTCCTCTGCCCACTTTGTAAGAAGCTCTCCAAAGCTACCTTCCATTGCCACTTGTCATAAGAGTTTAGACCTCGTAAAACGTGCCTACGGTTGACACCTGGAGATTCCTGATTTAAGGAGTGTGTGAAGGCAGGGTGCTCTGGTTTACTTTCTGGCCTTCAAACGAATGATAACCTGAAAGATTCATTCATTCATTCATTTCATATTGATAAGTTGATTGGAATGAATGAGGTTTTCCAGCCACCTTGGATGTGGTGCCATAAAGTGAGAATCCATCAGACTTCATGGTCAAAAGCTGGACTTAATCAACTTCAGCATGCAGTCTTACAATAGTCTTTGCATTCCCCCACACACTCACTCCAGAATCCATTCTGAACAGATATTGGGAACATGTGCAAGTATGTAGGATCTAGGACTGGGCTAGTTTGCTGATAAAGTAAAACTGGTGACTAGCCCTTGACAATGGCACCCAGGGATGGCTTTTATCAAAGAAATAATTGGTTTTGCATGGAAGGCTCTTATTTAGACTTTGGGAAAAGTATGAATATCCTTGACATCCCTAAAAATAAGTGTGCCCATGGATCACATGGACCCAAAGAAATATGTTAAAGTTGGATGGAGAAGTCTGGAGAATCAAAACACTTTCACCAATTAATTTAGCCTATCATCACAGCAATAATATTAGAAAGGGGCTTGAGAATGCCCCCAAGTATAACCTACATTACTGAGTACTGGGGATACATGATGCTTGTTTGCTACAAAGAAACAAAAAGACTGGACCTGATGGGCATGCTATTCAATAATCCAAGTTATCACATTTTGTATTCAATAATTGTCAAGTGGTGTTAATGAGAAAGAGGTGCAGCAGGAATGGCCACCCACCTGCCCCATGATGGAGAGGTACTGAAATTATATGGTGAATGGAATTAGGGTGGATGGATTCCGCATGGAATGTATCATGGCTTGGTCAGGATCTGACTCAACTCTTCCAAGAGACAGATGTGAAAGGGAAAGATTCATCCTTCCATCTTTACAAAGACTTTTCTGCTTGTCTGGGGCAATTGCTGCAGCAGAAGAAAGGGCAGGGCAGGGCAGGGCAGAGAAGAAGAAAAAGCTTGCATCAAACAAACATGGCCTGGGTCCTGATATCCTGACCAATCCCCATTAATGAATCAAGAACCATTCCCATTTTCAAAGGGAGCAGAACCCTATACAAAAAAACCTACAAATATCCAAGTTGGGTTGAATTGTATCCTTCCAACTGAACATTCCAGAATGGTTTTGACCATCAGTGTGGAATGAAAAGAGGAAGATAGAAGTCTTATATGCTTGTTAATATGTATGTATGTATACATATATATATATATATATATATGAGATAAAGGAGTAAACACGAGATGTAGAATCAGGGCTTGAAGTCAAAACCGTCCTGTGAGATGAATCAAAATGCCGCGTGTTCGCCTTAAAATATCTTCCAGAAACTTTTCCCTGGAGCTCAATAAAAGCCCCGCCCGCCTCCTCCGACGCTCCTTCCTACTGCTGACCCACCAACATGGCTTTGTACCTACTAAAACTAATAGTGGGCCCACGATACTTTCCTAAACTGCTGTCCAACAACGTGTTCCACCCTACACACACAAAATATTTAGGTCGGTACCTGGTGCGGGGTCCAGGGGGCATTAGAATAAAAACCCCTCCCGCTTCAGAATTTTTAGGCGCTTTTGGTGGACCAACCGAATCATCAACACAATGGATAGGAGCGTGACCAGCTGAGCTGGCCCGCCACTGTGGCAAGGCTTGATGACGTGTGAGTCCAGCTAGGATTTATGGCGGGAATGCGGCATTGTTTCTGCTTGTGTATACTTTTCTGCACACAGCGGGGAGCCTTTAGTGTGCCTGATGTTCAAAGCATCTCCCCTGATCTTTTGTTACCTATTTAGGGAATAACAATTTTTACTGTTGAAATTTTTAACTGGGATTTTTTTAAAAAAATTGGTTCGGTTAAATTGTAATGTGATATAATGCGGATTCCATTCACTTTGGAAATCCAAGAAAATGGAATCACTAGAGTTTATAAAGAACGGATAATCTCTAGTGGTTCCGTTCTTCTCTACAGAAAATAATACAAAATAAAACGAAATTGTACATCATAGATGTGATATTGATTTGTGTTGGATTTGTACTGTAAAAAATAATATATATATATATATATATATATATATATATCTTTTGTCATGATTATGTATATATAGTTGGAAAAATTAATTAAAATATTGTATCTTCTTCAGAGGTTTTATTTTAGCTTTTGGCATGCTAAAAGGCTTTCAATTGTGCTATTAATTATCATGTACGACTCTTTTACATATAAGTGTGTATGTATATACACAGTTATATTCTTTCAATGTGTTACAAAAAAGTATACTTTCTAAAATTATACGATATTTATAAATTATAATGAAATAATTACACAAGTTATTTATGATTTAATTCATTTATGTTCTAAAATATAATGAATTTTAATTTAGAATAGAAATATAAAACAATTTTATCTACAAACTTATATGAATTAACTATCAGTAGTTTAAGGTATTATGTTATATTCTCTTTTTTCTTC